CTGGCGCTTCTCGCCATGTTTGCTATAATCGTGCCTTTTTCATGTAACACCCCGACTCCAAATTTAAGTCCCTATTTAAATTATTTAAGTCAAATTACGAATTTACCCTTGGGGTAGGGGTAATTTGGTCATTTTCTTATCTGGAAGGATTGTGGGACAACAAGTGGTATGGTTACGTAGGTCGTACTGAGACGAGTCCGTAAACACGCGGTATGCTTGAATCGGAGTTGTAACGAAGAAGTTACGAGCAAAACAACACCAGCGGCAAAACTATAAATATTTTGAACTTAGGTGTAGAAAAATCATAAACCTCTTCTCTCTCCTCGCGCATGTCCTCTCTCTCTCTCTCTCTCTCTCTCTCTCTCTCTCTCTCTCTTTCTCTCTCTCCCTCTCTCTCTCTCTTCAATTCTCTCAGCTCCGGCCACCGCAAGGGCCGGGACCGGTCCCGATCGACTCCTCTCGAAGCCCCAAACCTAGACCACCAGTTTTCCCAGCCGAAAAGCTCGAGTTTCGCCGGCAATATCGACTGGTTTGAACCGGTTTTCCTTCCGTCATTGGGCCGCCGCCTCCTCCGCCCAATCCCAGTGAAACAGGTGAGGTTCCTTACTCTTTTTACATGTTCTAGCTGCCTATGGGGTAGGATTGGAACGATTGTGGCGTTTTGGAAGTTAATTTTCAATCTAGGTTTTGGCCGGATTTCAAAGTGAAATTCCGGCTGGTTGCAGTCCAAATTGGACCCCCTTGTAGTTGAATGAAATGATCCCCGCCTCGAGTAGTAGCTAGGGTAGGAAGGGTGAATCGCGGTGTGGAGTTTTTCCGTTGCCGGAAATTTCTCTACACACCCACGCGCTGCCGACGAATGTGGATGTGCGTGGGCAAGATGGTGAAGCTACATTCTATCCTAATGTAATCCTTGTGTTTTTCACGAGCGCGTAGGTGTGCTCGGATTTCATTTCGGATGTCGTTTGACTATCGAACGGATTTCGCATATTGTGCGTTATCCGGGTTCGATAGGTTTGAACCGTTGGATTGTTTCCAAGTTTTATATGTTGATCTAGGCATTCCTAGAAGCATGTAGGAATTCGCGGATCGTGAATCGGAGCCCCGGATGTTTCGATTCAATAATTCGAAGTTTTGTGGTTTGCAATAACTGTCCAAGTGTGAGCGATCCGATCGTTCTTTCCGGATCACACTTACAAGACGAATTCCCTAAACCCGTAGTCGGACCTTAGAATACCTCGTTCTACGTACAAGCACGGGAATTTGGGGAGATTGGTATTTAATTTGTGAATTTCGTTTCGAAGTGATTTTATATTAATTAAGGGTTTGTATCTCGAAACAGGTGCTCCGACCGCTCGTACGCAGCAGGCGGGACTCTCTCAAGGTCAAGCAGCATGGGACTACTTGTGAGTCGACTTTGTTTTCACATCTTAAGCATGGTTTTATTGATGGAAAAATTATGCATAATGTTTTAAATGGTATATTGGATATATTATATATTCAGTTGTTGAATTTGATGTTCTTATAAAGCTTTGGCCATATATTTTGGGTTTTGACATATTTGAGTATCTTGAGTATGTATATATGGATTTTGAGAAATTCTATCTATATTGTCTATGTGTGTGGGGTATTTGGGTTGTTAAGGTGAGATTGTGGAAGGGTTTGAGTATTATGGGTTAATATGGAAAGATGTATGACTACACTAGGTAAGTACCATCCCCTAGTTACTAGGCTTCCCACACGTGGCGTTGGAATTTCTAGTGGGTGGGAAGAACATGTGATTATTAGTCTCACATATGGCGTTGGAATTTCCGGCGTGTGAGACACTTCCCATACGTGGCGTTGGAATTTCCGGAGTATGGGAAGATTATGTATATTGTTAAGAATCATCACACATTGCGTTGGAATTTCCGGAGTATGGGAAGATTATGTATATTGTTAAGAATCATCACACATGGCGTTGGAATTTCTGGTGTGTGATGATGTAGTCTACGCGCGTAGGACTTAGTATTGGAGCTACACGTGACGTTGGATTTTCCGGCGTGTGAGCTATGGAGTTTCGTCCCCCGGTTGGACCGCTCAACCCTAGTTGCAGGATAGCAACAGGAAATCCTGCGAGCTAGCCAAACAATCCCCCGGTTGGATTGTTTTCCCCCGATACTAAGTAGTGTGATAAATATTATGTATATATATATATATATGAGTATAAGTCAGTTAAAGTATGTATAGTGGTTTGGTGGGAACAGTATTAAGTTTGTGAATGAAGTTTATGGATGGAGTGTTTGGTTTTAAAGGGTTTTGGAGAGTGATGTTTTTGATGATTTAATGAAAGTTATGAATCTGCATGTTTTGAGCATTATTTTTACACGGTGAGGTTATTATGTTGTGTTTGAATGCAAACTTTGTTTTTGTCCACTCACATGTTTTCTGTTTTGCGTCCCCCAGACAATAGTCGCTCAAGGAGAGTTAAAACCTGTGTTCGAGGCCCCGAATCGTGAACATCAATAGATTAGGCTTCGAGTAATTCCTTTTTACTCAACTGGATGTTCTTGTAAACTAAATTCGATAGAGGCTCTGTTATCGCCCATGTTAGTTTTTACTTGTAAGGCCAGAGGCCATTTAGTGTAAACTGTTGAATGTTGAATGCATGCTTCTGGTTGGGACTATATTGTGTTTGTTTTGCATGTTGAAATTTTTGGGATTGTTCTATTTACAGGGGAGACTCTACCAAAATTTTGGTAGAAAGTCTCGGTTTTTAGTAAGTGGGCCTGGCATCAGGGGTGATGTTGGTAACAAGACGGGATTCGTCCTGGTTTTCGAGGAATTCCGGGGTGGGTCCTGTCATTTCAAGACCTATTCTTTGACTGATGACAAGAAAGTGTTGTTGGGTGATTCTCACACAACAATTGTTGTTGGAACTGGAGAAATAGAATTAAAGTTTACTTCGGGAAAGGGTGTCATCCTTAAAGACGTTCTGCACACTCCAGAAAAAAGGAAGAATATGGTCTCAGGCTATCTTCTCAACAAGGGCTGGGTTTACTCAAACAATTGGAGCAGACTTGTATACACTTATAAAAAATGGAGTCAAAGATGATAGCCCTAGCAATGGCTAGTGAGGAAGCAGGTTGGTTGAGAAACCTACTCTCAGATACCCCCTTGTGGGAGAGATCGATACCAACTGTTCTTATCCACTATGATAGTACTACAGCTATTGCAAAAGTTTATAACCGTTTTATAACAGCAAGAGGCGACAAATACGTCGCAAGCATAGTACTATTAGAGAGTTTCTTTCTAATGGGGCTGTAAGAGTGGATTTTGTACGGTCTGATGAGAATTTAGCCGATCCTTTGACGAAAGGACTAGTACGAGAAAAGGTTTGGAAAACCTCAAAAGGAATGGGACTAAAACCCCTAGAAGGTTAAGTCACTTGTGATGGTAACCCAACCTATAGATTGGAAATCCCAAGAAACAGGTTCAATGGGTAATAACAAGTCATTTAGTGATATGAGTGGAGTCATGCTATTGTTCCATATCCATCCTTAGAAGCATGAAATCCTGAAGCGATTTAAGGTTGAGTTGTTTATAACTCTTAATGAGATCTATACTGTATATTGAGTGGGATATCTAGCTACAGGAATATCTCTGATAGTCTCACCTATGTGAATGTGAAAGTGAGGCCGCTTTCTATGAAAATTTTGGGGGAAATTTTCTAGAGCATTCGCTATACTGGGATACAAGCACATGGCCGTAAAGTGCTGGCTTTTGAACTTCACCTTAGTAGGTCTATGTGTGTGGTGTTGTTAGAGATAGAGTTCAAAACTATATGTTACTCTTATATATTCTGAAGCTCCGTCACTATGTAAAGGTTCAAGTTGAAAAACACCTCTACTTATGCATAGTCTTATGATATGTTGCTTAATGAATTTATTTCTAAAATAAACACGTGGGGGATTGTTGAAATTGGTACGTTTATTTTAAAAATTATATATATTCAATAATTCAATAATTGCCTTAACTTATCTTTATTAATAGGAGTTATTTTCTATTAATATGGGCTGATTTTTTCAAATTGGGGAAAAAAAAAAAAAAAAAAAAAAAAAAAAAAAAAAAAAAAAAAAAAAAAAAAAAAAAAAAAAAAAAAAAAAAAAAAAAAAAAAAAAAAAAAAAAAAAAAAAAAAAAAAAAAAAAAAAAAAAAAAAAAAAAAAAAAAAAAAAAAAAAAAAAAAAAAAAAAAAAAAAAAAAAAAAAAAAAAAAAAAAAAAAAAAAAAAAAAAAAAAAAAAAAAAAAAAAAAAAAAAAAAAAAAAAAAAAAAAAAAAAAAAAAAAAAAAAAAAAAAAAAAAAAAAAAAAAAAAAAAAAAAAAAAAAAAAAAAAAAAAAAAAAAAAAAAAAAAAAAAAAAAAAAAAAAAAAAAAAAAAAAAAAAAAAAAAAAAAAAAAAAAAAAAAAAAAAAAAAAAAAAAAACATGGCTATCTGCCGTAGACGACCACTATAGAGCCGGCATTCCCTCTGAATGTCTCATCATGTAGATGTTGTTTCATTTTTTACTAGTATGGTGTAAGGGTAAAAAGTTATCAGAAACGGTGCGAGATGAAATGGTAAAAATTTTATCTAGTCTATACTTGATTGAACTTCCAAGCAACAACTTCAGTGGACATACCTAAGGAAATCGGGAATTCAAAATCACTTACGTGTCCTTAACTTGGTCCCGAAATGCTTTCACGGGCAAATCCCATCATCATTTAAGTAACATGACGTACTGAGTCCTTGGACCTGTCAACAGAACAAGCTGAGCGGGCAAATTCCACCGAAGTTGGCAGAGCCTTACCTGCTTTTCATTCTTGGATCTCTCATATAATCAACTGGTCGGCCAGATCCAAACTAGTACTCAGTTTCACCATTCCCCCACCATCTTGCCTTTACAGGTAACAAAGACCTATGGGGGTTTACTTTGACGGTGGAGAAGTAAAAGCAGGGATTTCACACGCCACCAAACAGTGAATGGAAGGGCTCCAACCTTCTGGACATAACATGAGGTTCATTGGGATCTTATTGTTGTGAAATTGGATTTACATTGGCTTTGGAGTTTGCCGGTGTGTCATTGTGGGTGCAAGAGATGGAGTAAGTTGTATTACAAGGCTATGTACAACATCCTTCTCAAGACTATTCCCTCAGGCTGGAGGAGAAGAATTGGGATCATCGAAAGACATGTTCACATAAAGCAAAGGTGCGGAGACTTTGAAATGAGTAGGAGGAACAATGCAAGTTTGGATTTCTTGTTAATTATGCCTCGGGATTTTTAAGATCCAAGAAAATATAAGATTGTGCCTGTCTTTATTTGGGTATCTTATATATTTTATTTTATATTTATGGAAATGTTAGCAAATATCATAAAAATATTTATTTTATAGGAGTTTTCACGATACTTGGAGGGTTTGAACACATAATTATAGAAACCAAAGCAAACTCTACCCTTTGGCTCGAATTTCCTCAGCAACTCATGTCTGAGGTGGGACCAACTTATCCAATCTCTAAGATCACGGAAATCAACATGAAAATACGTGTACATGATATTAATGGGACTCCTAGACCACCAAATAAGAACTATAACGGGTCGTAACCATTGTTTCGCTATCCTTCAGACCTAACAACACAATGCATACAGTGAACAAGTATCATACATGTCAGTACGTTATTGGCTCTCATATAAGCAACAGAAATACTAGCAATGTTTTCAATTCTACCATAATTTAAGTTTTATTTATTTTATGTTCATTTTAGATTGAATTCGCATATTTATAATCAAGTAAATTAATTTAAACTGACATGAACTTGACTAAATGATCCGGCTATAGATAGAAAGAATAGGACTATGTTCAAATTTAAGTTTTAAATTTATGATTTTGCAAGGGGGTGTTGCGTAGAGTTTTTTAACTTTGTAATTCAAAACAAACTGAGGCAAATATACTTCATATACATCCGGGGAATTGGAAATTCGGAACCACGCTGAGGCATTCTTCAAAACACATTGTGTCGGAAAGGACATAAAGCGAGGACCGACGACTCAAACCAGGGAGACGGATGAGGAAGCACATGACATGTTAAACAATAAGGTGGACTTGCTGCATTAGCGGGCACCCATCTTATTACCACGATGGGTCCCTGTGCTTTTCTGGTAATGTTAAAACGAGTATTATGAAGTCTTTGAAACAAAGGGTGACGACTAAAACATTAAAAACGCAGAGTTGTGGGGGGGAAAAAAAAGGCGCACCCTTTGGTGCTACATTAAAAAAAGGCGGACTTAGCGAGCCACATCACTTAATTTAAGTTCTCATTTTTTTATTAATTTCGGTTAAAATACTTTAACTCATCTCTTCCACTCTTCGTCTACTAATCTCCTCCACACAGGCTTGAAAAGTCTCTCTAAGTTCCTGCACCTCCCTCCATCATCCCCTCCTGTAGTTTGAAGGCGTCTGAAAGTAAAAAAATGGAAAAAACAAAAAAGAACCGAAAAAATGGAACAGTAATGGTTATTGACATTGAACTAGAATTAAAACCAAATGCACGTAGGAATGGTTATGGAAACACCAGTACGTACGTGGGACATGGAAGGATGCCCATCATATCCGTCACTGATGGGACCACTGGGCTCTCTCTGTCAGGTGTTTTGTAGGGGCAGAGTTTTTTTAGGCCTCTTTTGACGGTGACAGTAGTCTTACAGATAGACGGGTAAGAAGACTTCAAAGTCAAGTCAACAACGACGACCCATGCCAAGCGATTATCGTTCTTCATGCCAAAGGTGAAGGGTGTGAGCTGGTCCAATGGTAATCGTCAGGCTCCCTTATTATATGCCCTTATGAAGCTTCAAGCACTCTCAGATATTCGTTTTAGATTGCAAGGATTTGGTCGCTGAAGTGCCAGAGTTCTTCTCAGCAGCTTTCCAAATGTGGATATTCCTTGCCATCAGTATATCTGGGTTAGCTCGGGCCATTCACAAAGAAGATCTTCCAGGTACACATACAGACTTATTGGACTGTCGGTGTATCCACAACTTCACGGTTCTTTCCAGAATTCCGAAGAAGATGGGATCAATCGTTCAGTGGTCTGAAGTGCTTGGTGCACCAATTTTACAGGGTTTTTTTCCAAACTCTACGGGCGACCTCAAAATGTGTCCAGAATAGATTGTTTCAGGTTGCCCATTTCACGATCAATCCCAAGGTAATGGAAAACCTACACAATTATATGTGGACCTCTCATGAACAAGTTCAAGGTCTGTTCCATTCTTCAGTATGGCCAAGAATCGGACCCAAAAAATCTTTATCCAATCTTCTGAAAGGTCAGATTTTAATTTTCTCTCACTGGGAAAACCATATAATCCTGAATCGCGACTTGGCATCTAAATCTACTTGAGGAGGACTATTCACCGTCCTGTTTTTCTATACCGGTGCAGAAACTACAGCTTCAAACAATCAATTTTTGGTCAGTTACTTGAATTTGCACTATATCTGTAGGACACCCTGATTTGAAGTTAGCCAACAATTTGGAAGGGCCTAATACCAATGTCTATCTTTTACTCCAAGGGCTTAAAGATTCTTTCACTTTCTTCAAACAACCTCAGCGGTTCCTTTCCTCTTAATGGTATTTAGCAAGCTAAGAAAGCTTTCAGCTCTTGTATCTTTCATACAATAGCTTGTCGGATTAATTCTATGATGAGACCATTTCCTGACTCTTCCTTTCCTCAAATTACCAATTGGGATTAGCTTCGAGGAAAAGTTGAGAAGATTCCCAGAGTTTGGGAGAAATCAATTCACTTAAGCTATTTGGACCTTCACAAAACCAGATCATGGAGAGATGCCCAACGGATTTGGAGGTCAATATTCTTTATGAACTAAATCTTTCTCGAAACTCTCTAGTAACTCTAGGAAGGTTCCTTTTACTCAATATTACTTCTAATAAGACTATGCTTGGACCTCATTCCACCAGCTTCAGGTACAATTCCCACTTTTTTCCAAAATTTGCCGTTATCTAGGGGATTCAAGAACTAATGTCAGCTATACCATACGGACTGAACATTGGTGATTCTACTTATACTGTCTGTTCTTCTCTTTTCAAGCAACAATTCCACGGAATCATCCAGATCATAGCAAATGCGCCAAATCTGAGCGTCTGATCTGTCAAATAATGTCTCCAGTGGCATGATGCTATGTGCTTAACTGCAAGAGCGATATTCTTGGAGAGTACTTAATTACAGAGGAATAAAACTTTCTGGCTCATGCCCTGATTAATTTCCTTGGAACTGCAGTTTAAAAACCGTAGAGCTCAATGGAAAAATCAAATAGAAGGTCGTTTCCAAATTCTTAGCCCACTGCACAATGTTAGAGATTCTAAACGTTGGAAAACAATTGGGATACAGATAACTTCCTGCAGTTGCAAAGAACCTATCACCTTGCGTGATCTTGTTTGCGATCAAACACTTTAATGAGACATGGATGTCCCAGCTGAAACACTGGCCCAATGCTTCCAAATAACTGTTGATTAGCTCACAACAATTTTAGTGGTGAAAATACCAGGGAAGATACTTGAGAACCTGGCGAGGCAATGATGCGGACTCACAAAGATGATGCTATGTCAAATCATTTTTCGATTGAGTCCAAATTCAGCGAGGTATATTCCAGGGATGCTCTAAACTGTTACCAACAAAGTCGAGAGATGGAGTGGTAAAGATTTAACTGTCTTCACCTCGACGGACATGTCGTGCACAAGTTCAATGGAACAATACCTGGAGATTGGGAGAACTGAAATCACTCTCTGGCCTCAACTTGTCGAATAAGCTCTCACAGGACAATCCATCATTCATTAGGTAACGGAACAACTGAGTAGTGGACCTTTCAAAGAACAGCTGAGGCGGGCAAATTCTCAAAGAGGTGGGGGTCTTACTTTCCTATCGTGACTGGGACTCTCAAACAATCAACTGGTAGGGCAATCACAGTCTACAGTACTCAGATTTCAACATTTGTTTTCCAGCAGATCCTTGAGCATGTAAACAAAAGATCTATGGGTGGCCTCCTTTGACCGGGGGATAACAAAGCGGATTGTCACACACCAGCATAATGGGAAGCCTTCCAAAATATGGCCACATGGGATTAATTGGGATCCTTATCCACGTTGTTGAAATTGGATTCACAGTTGGCTTTGGATTTGCCAGGGTCACTTACGTTCGCAAGAGAGGGAGGGTAAATGGTATTACCAAAGCTATGTATAACATACTTCTCAAGATATTCCTCAGATGGAGAAAGAATTGGTCATTCATCGAAAGACATGTTCACTAAATCAAAGGTGTGGAGACGTTGAAATGCTTTATGAGGAACCAATGCAGCTTGAAGTGGACCTATTGTGTTTTTTTGCCTAGGTATTTTGAGATCCAAATAAAATCACAAAGTGTTGCTTTCTGGTTTCATAGTCATTTTAATTGGGCCTAGTTAGTCTTGGAATACATGTAATCTTCTTATATTTTTTTTTGTGGCATGTAGGCAACATTACAATAAATGCCAATATCAGCAAAATCATTGCTAATAATTGTGGACAGACAGGCCCTCCGCCGCGTCGGGGTATTGCAGTCTGGAGATAAAAAGTTTTAATTGAAAATATTCCTTGGAAAAACCGTATGGTAAAGCAAACATAATGTTATTTTAAAAGTAAGGAATTCCACAGCAGATCATCACTCCTGTATTTTTCTTTTCAAAATTACCAAAAATTATCCTTCGCAAAAATTTGATGAGAATTATTTATCAGATTCGCTCTTCCGCTTCTCTTCACAAACTTTACCAAGCCACCTTCTCGTCAGACTTCAAAAGACCATACACATTTCGCTTTTGGTCATCCTGCGCCTAACCTCCAAATGGCGTGTCTTTTTTCCAACACACATCTAGCATTTCCAGGCCCATCAACACCAAAGCTTTCGCTTCCCATAAAATTCTTGATATATTTGGTTGCAGAAAGAAAATACAAATAATACAAAAAATAAGTCGGAGGGAAGCTCTAAAATGATTATCTAAGGAGAAATTGGGGGTCATGAAAGGACAGCACAGCCGTCAGAGGACAGAAGGGGGAGGAGCTGCAATTAGGAAGAGCACATGCACACTGGACTCCCATGAGGCTTGGGTAAACCCTGTCTTTTTTTTTTTTTTGGTTTAAAATGTCTAGGAAATAGCACCAGTTCCAATAAATCAAAGAGCTGGGCTTTCTTGTTTCCAATTATCGTAGAAGATAGGCCATGATCAAGTTTTAGAGGGTCTGAGCTGTTGGAAACAAAAGCGTCAGCTCGAGTTGGACTCAAATGTATAGTCTAAGCGTGACAAAAAAAATGCTTATTGTTGCTTTCAATTGCCTTCTTGTGAAAGTTTCAACGGATGGGAGTAAAACCGCATCACGACTCGAACGCTATGCAAAAGGAGAAACAAATAAGCCAACAAGAGAGCATACTATCGCTAATATAGCTGGATTTGCAGTCCTCTTAAGCTTCAAGATTTTCATCTTTCCCGCCTGAAGATATGCTCGCAGCGAGGGAAAGATTGGAATCACGAAGACATGGTCACAGGACTTGCGAGATTAGGAGGATTTTTTTTTTCCTTTGTTCTTCGTGTAAGACTTTTGCCAAACCGGTTCCCATTTTGTAATTGCTTCCAAGAAGATGAATGATTGTGAACATTCCAGTAGTTAACACGTGCGTGCCAAGTTCAAGCTAGTTTTCTTTGTTGAAATGGCTCAAATTCATCCCGCGCACGACCATGCAACTTCACATTCAAACATGGAGTCCATGAACCAATTTTTAATTTCATGAACCCAGAAGAAATTCCGCGACGTATTCACGAGTCAATAGTCCCTTAAGTGAAAAATCGAATAAAAACACCTACATACATTTACCTGCAACACCCCATTAAGTAGATGGCAAAGGCTTCGAAGTGAACAAGTCCAGACACACCACAAAATGTTGTGGAGACCTTATCCACAAAATTGAATTTGCCACCTATCCTCACTATCTCAGTTGTCCCAGCGTCTTATTTCCACGACCTGTGAAGCCACATTTGGCAAGTCACCTGGTCAATCCCCTAAAGGCACTGTCAGATTTCCACGACGCTGAAGCCACATTTACAAACTAATATCCTAGCCTATTCTGTGCTCAACACAATTGCTGTTACATATCAGCAGCCAGCTAGAGCTTCCAATGAGAATTCCTCTGTTTTCATGGCATTTATTAATCCTTATTCACTATGTTTCACTCAGCGTCCATGTATTTGTGGTCTCTAGTCCAATGTCCAGCGACGATCAGCAATCTTTGTTGCTCCAATTGAAGAACAGCCTCAAATTTGACTCTGCAAAATCTAACAAACTTAAGCAGTGGAAAAATGGTTCAGATTACTGTTCTTGGGAAGGTGTGTCTTGCAAAGATGGATGTGTTTCTCATCTCGACTTAAGCAGCGAGTCAATTTCAGGAGGACTTGATAATTCAAGTGCTCTTTTTGATCTGCAGCACATCGAGAACCTGAATTTGGCTTACAATAACTTCAACAATACTCAGATTCCATCCAAGTTCGACAGCCTGGACCGGTTTGAGTTATCTGAACCTGTCAAATGCTGGCTTTGTGGGGCAGATTCCAATGAGATTTCACTCCTAAAAGGTTGGTAACTCTTGATTTATCTACCCTTTACTTACCCGGAAATCCTTCACTGAAACTTGAGAATCCACATTTGAATGTGCTCATACGGAACCTTCGAAGCTTACTGAACTTATCTTGATGGTGTGAGCATATCAGCACAGGGAACTGAGTGGTGCGAAGCGATATCGTCTTCACTGCCAAAGTTGAGGGTGTTGAGCTTGTCCAGTTCTAATCTTTCAGGCCCTTTGATATTTCATTATTGAAGCTTCACGCACTCTCAGATATTCGTTAGAGAACAATGATTTGTCTGCTGAAGTTCCAGAGTTCTTCTCAATTTCCCAAATTTGAATTCCTTGCACCTCAGTATTTCTGGGTTAGACGGTACATTCCCAAAGAAGATCTTCCAGGTACCTACACTACAGACTATTGACTGTCGGTAATCAAACAGCTTCAGGGTTCTTTACCAGAATTTCCGAAGAATGGATCACTTCGTTCCTTGGTTCTAAGTGGGGCAAATTTTACGGGGTTTTTTCCAAACTCTATGGGCGACCTCAAAATGTGTCCAGAATAGATGTTCAAGTTGCAATTTCACTGGATCAATCCAAGCTCAATGGAAAACCTTACACAATTGATTTATGTGGACCTCTCAATGAACAAGTTCAATGGTTCTGTTCCATTCTTCAGTATGGCCAAGAATCTGACCCCTAATAAATCTTTCATCCAATCTTCTGACAGGTCAGATTAATTCCTCTCACTGGGAAAACCATACTAATCTAGTGAATCTCGACTTGAGATTCAATCTACTTGATGGGGACTATTCCACCGTCTCTGTTTTCTCTTCCCGGGCTGCAGAAACTACAGCTTTCTAACAATCAATTTTCTGGTCAGTTACTTGATTTGCTACTATATCTGTACTGGACACCCTTGATTTGAGTAGCAACAATTTGGAAGGGCCTATACCATGTCTATCTTTTATCTCCAAGGGCTTAAGATTCTTTCACTTTCTTCAAACAACCTCAGCGGCTCCTTTCCTCTTGAGCTTCTTCCACAACTGAAAAATCTTTCGAGTCTTGATCTTTCCTACAATAGTTGTCGATTAACTACAACACACCAATTCCTCTGCCACTTCCTTTCCTCAAATTACCACATTGAAATTGGCATTCTGTCAAGTTGAGAAGATTCCCAGATTTCTTAAAAACCAATCCCTGAGCAATTGGACCTTCACAAAACCAGATTCATGGAGAGATACCCAACTGGATTTGGAGGCTCAATAATCTTTTTCAACTAAATCTTTCTTGCAACTCTCTGGAAACTCTAGAAGGTCCTCTCCTCAATGTTACTTCTAGTTTGTCTATCCTTGATCTTCATTCCAACCAGCTTCAGGGACAAATCCCACTTTTTCCACAATTTGCCTATATCTAGATTATTCAAGAAATAACTTTAACTCCAGCATACGGACTGACATTGGTGATTTCCTTTCTTATACTACATTCTTCTCTCTTTCAAGCAATAAATTTCATGGAAGCATTCCAGGATCTATATGCAATGCACAAAATCTCAGGTTCTTGATGTTTCAAATAATTCTCTCAGCGGCTTGATTCCCGAGTGCTTGACTGCAATAAGTGGGACTCTTGCGGTACTGAATTTGAGAAGAAACAATCTTTCTGGCACTGTTCCTGATAAATTTCCTGAGCATTGTAGTTTAAAAACTCTAGACCTCAATGGCAATCAGATAGGAGGTCAGTTTCCAAAATCTCTAGCCAATTGCACAATGTTAGAGGTTTTGAACCTTGGAAACAATCAAATAGAAGATACGTTCCTTGCCTGTTGACGAACATATCCACCTTGCGTGTTCTTGTGTTGCGATCCAACAAATTTTATGGACGCCTTGGATGCCCCAATACCCATGGAAATGGTCAATGCTTCAAATTGTTGACATAGCACACAACAATTTTAGTGGTGAAATACCAGGAAAATGCTTGAGAACCTGGGGGCAATGATGGGTGACGAAGATGATGACCCAGTCAAAACTCAATCATCTTCGACTTGAAAACCTAAAATTCACCGAGGTATATTATCAGGATGCTATAACTGTTACCAACAAAGGTTTAGAGATGGAGTTGGTAAAGATTCTAACTGTCTTCACCTCTATTGACATCTCCTCCAACAACTTCAGTGGATCAATACCTGAGGAAGTGGGAGAACTCAAATTACTCAATGGCCTCAACTTGTCCAGTAATGCTCTCACAGGTGCAATACCAACCTCATTAAGCAACTTGCGACAACTTTGAGTCCTTGGACCTTTCGAACAACAAATTGGGCGGAGAAATTCCAGCAGAACTTGCCAAACTCACTTTCCTCTCATTCCTGAATCTCTCTAACAATCAACTGGTCGGGAAGATTCCGAGCAATGCACAGTTTCAACATTTTCAGCAGCTTCATTCACAGGTAATAAAGGATTATGTGGGATACAGTTGAACAATACATGCAATAATCCCAGCGAGTCACCAGATGCAGCACAAAAGGCTCCAAATCATCATCGTGAGATTAATTGGGGTGTTATCAGTGTCGAAATTGGTTTTACATTTGGCTTTGGAATTGCTATTGGGTCACTTGTGTTGTGCAAGAGATGGAGTAAATGGTATTACAAAGCTATGTATAACATCCTTCTCAAGATATTCCCTCAGTTGGAGGAAAGAATTGGTATTCATCGAAGACATGTTCACATAAATCAAAGGTGGAAACGTTGAATTGATTATGAGGAACAATGCAGTGGGAATCCACGTTTTGCCCAACATATTTCGAGATTTAAGAAATCAGAAGTGTGCTTTCTGGTTTCATAGTTAGTCTTGGAATATCATGTATCTTTTATATTTTATTTTTGTGGCATGTAGAAAACATTACATAAATTCACATATCAGCAAATCATTGCTAACTACTTGTGGACAGACCCTACCCGCTGTGTTTGGTATTGCAGTGTGGTAAAGCAAAATGACCTTCTATTATCGTTTATTTTTAAAGTAATGAACTTCTCACAGCAGATCATCATCCTTCATTGTCTTTTCAAATCAACGAGCTGGGCTTGTTCAACTTATGCCCAGTCGAAACAAAATGTTAGCTTGTTTCTTTGAGTTTGTACTCAAATGTATAATCTGAGCTTGTTCAAAACAAAATGATTATCTCGTTTCTTTCAATTTGCCTTCTTGTGAAGTTTTAACGGATGAGATTAAACCGTCTCGACTCGAAAGCCAAGAAAAAAGGAAAACAAATAAACAACAAGAGCATTACTATCTGCTACATATAGCTGAGATTTGCAGTCCCTCTGTTAAGCTTCAGATTTCAGATTCACCTAAACCAACATCGACAACATCTCTACCGTTGCCTAACGGGCAGGAAAAATCTGCTCAACTCATTCATGGTGTCCTAGTCTAAGGGAGACCAGGGCAGGTGGGGGGTTGGACAAAACACGGGACCATTTTTGACCAAAAAAACAAACATGGGACCGTTTTTGACAGAATATTTCGTCACTTCCTTCTAAGAATCCAATAATTCTGTGTGAATGTGTTTTTTTTCTTCCAATTGTTGGACTTGTATTTTGGTGTCTTTGATTTTTCTTTCTTCAAGGGTTATTTTCTTTCTTTTTCGCCATTCAATTTTTCTGTGGGAATTTCCCAACCCTTTAATGAGATTTTGACTGCTGTTAGCCTAGATTGTAAAAGTACCAAACTCCATGGCTAAATGTCAAACTTATCGTATGACTTTGCTCTTTTCCAACAATGACATTGAAATTAGTTTGAAAATCGTGCATGACTCTAAGAACAATAAATAATTTGTCCATCTTTTCGTCGATATAAAGCCTCCCTACCCTGTCCATATCCATCACCCTCCCACCCAAGATGCCCGACTCATCGATGTTTTTACACCAAACAATATTTAATCTTTTTTTCTGGTACAGAAAAATCAATTTTTCTCACTACGTGGATGACGCGTTCCAAATCAAAATTTGCATGGTGTATTATTTTGCACGCAATATACAAATTTAAAAAGAAAAATTATTCTGACAATTGTTACATAATAAGAACGAGATTATACATGCATACTTTCTGGGCATTCGGATTCAGGGGAGCTTATAATTTAGTCCCTAAAATACTGTTTTAAACATGCAACTAATCCTGCTTAATTAATTTTCAAACCTAATTAGTTGAGGATGATGATGGCTTGTTTGCAACAACCACGCCTTACAAGAATTATTAATATTTTGAAAGACAACTACCGTTTGGTCAGAATCGAAGACTTCATCTGAACGTCTTAAATTACCCAAGATTAAGTTTTAAATGTAAAACTAAAGAGTTAAAAACACGAGAGTGAAAATGAGATTTATTTACCCACAAATCTAGAGGGAGAAATGGGATTGGTATTTTTCCACAATACAATACAAGAAAGTCAACAACCAAGACAAACGCAATTGGGCTTGAATATTCCAAGTTTGCAACTTGCCAGGAGTGACTGTCAGAAAGCTGTGGGGATAAATACAATAAAGAAAGGCCGCCTCAAGAACAAGTCCACATTATACAAACAAACGCGGCTCTGAGTCTTCTCACTCATCCATCCCAATTCTCTCTCTGTTTTGTCTTCTTCCATGTTCTGCCTCCCATTGAAAACTTCCAATTAGTCTCCCTTCCGTGCTACCTCTGCAAGATTTTTGGTCTGGTCAACGGCTCAAATCCAGGAGCTCAAGGTTCATGTTCATGGATCTTTGCCTTCATGGGACCATTGCTTATATCCTAGCCTGCTCTGTTTCCTCTTGTGCGGGTGTCACTTATCAGAGCTTTCAATGAGAATTCCTCTGCTTTCATGGCTTTTCTAGTGCCCATTTACTACGTTTCACTCAGCTTCCATGTATTTGTGGTATCTAGCCAATGTCCAATCGATCAGCAATCTTTGTTGCTTCGATTGAAGAACAGCCTCAAATTTAACTCTACATCATCTAAAAAACTTGCACAGTGGAGGAATGGCTCAGATTACTGCTCTTGGGAAGGTGTGTCCTGCAAAGATGGATGTGTTTCTCATCTCGACTTAAGCACCGAGTCTATTTCAGGTGGACTTAATCATTCAAGTGCTCTTTTTGATTTGCAGTACATTGAGAACCTGAATTTGGCTTACAATAACTTCAACAATGTTCGGCTTCCATCCAAGTTCGGCAAGATGACCGGTTTGAGTAATTTGAATCTGTCAAATGCTGGCTTTGCAGGGCAAGTTCCATTTGAGATTTCAAACTTGACAAGGTTGGTAACTCTTGATTTATCTAGTGCCCCTTACTCATCTGGAATAACTCTGAAACTTGAGATCTCAAATTTGGGTTTGCTCATACGGAACCTTTCGAAGCTTACTGAACTTTATCTTGATGGTGTGAGCATATCAGCACAGGGAACTGAGTGGTGCGAAGCGATATCGTCTTCACTGCCAAAGTTGAAGGTGTTGAGCTTGTCCAATTGTAATCTTTCAGGCCCTATTGATATTTCATTACATAAGCTTCACTCACTCTCAGTTATCCATTTAGAGAACAATAATTTGTCTGCTCAAGTTCCAGAATTCTTCTCAAATTTCACAAATTTGACTTCCTTGCACCTCAGTAATTCTGGGTTAGACGGTACATTCCCAAAGAAGATCTTCCAGGTACCTACACTACAGACTATTGACTTGTCGGGTAATCAACAGCTTCAAGGTTCTTTACCAGAATTTCCGAAGAATGGATCACTTCGTTCCTTGGTTCTAAGTGGGGCAAATTTTACGGGGTTTTTTCCAAACTCTATGGGCGACCTCAAAATGTTGTCCAGAATAGATGTTTCAAGTTGCAATTTCACTGGATCAATCCCAAGCTCAATGGAAAACCTTACACAATTGGTTTCTGTGGACCTCTCATCGAACAAGTTCAATGGTTCTATTCCATTCTTCAGTATGGCCAAGAATCTGACCCAAATAAATCTTTCTTACAATCAGCTAACAGGTCAGATTAATTCCTCTCATTGGGAAAACCTTACTAATCTGGAGAATCTCGACATGAGACACAATCTACTTGATGGAACTATTCCACCGTCTCTGTTTTCTCTTCCCGTGCTGCAGAAACTACAGCTTGCTAACAATCAATTTTCTGGTCAGTTGCTTGGATTTGCTACTGTCTCTGTACTTGACACCCTTGATTTGAGTAGCAACCATTTGGAAGGGCCTATACCCATGTTTATCTTCAATCTCCGAGAGCTTAAGATTCTTTCACTTCCTTCAAACAATTTCAGTGGCCCCTTTCCACTTAATAGTCTTCAGCAACTAAAAAATCTTTCTAGTCTTGATCTTTCCTACAATAGATTGTCAATTGATTACAATGATATCAATTCCTCTCACTCTTCCTTTCCTCACATTACCACATTGAAATTAGTATCTAGCAAGTTGAGAATATTCCCAAATTTCTTGAGAAATCAATCCAAATTAAGCACCTTGGACCTTTCACAAAACCAGATTTCTGGAGAGATACCCAACTGGATTTGGAGGCTCAGTAATCTTCTTCAACTAAATCTTTCTTGCAACTCTCTGGTATCTCTAGAAGGGCCTCTCCTCCATGTTACTTCTAGTTTGTCTGTACTTGACCTTCATTCCAACCAGCTTCAGGGACAAATCCCACTTTTTCCAAAATTTGCCACTTATCTAGATTTTTCAAGAAATTACTTTAACTCTAGCATACGGACTGACATTGGTGATTTCCTTAATTTCGCTTTGTTCTTCTCTCTTTCAAGCAATAAATTTCATGGAAGCATTCCAGGATCTATATGCAATGCACAAAATCTTCAGGTTCTTGATGTTTCAAATAATTCTCTCAGTGGCTTCATTCCCCAGTGTTTGACTGCAATGTACGGGACTCTAGCAGTACTTAATTTAAGGAGAAACAACCTTGTTGGCGTTATTCCTGATAGTTTTCCTGGGCATTGTAGTTTAAAAACTCTAGACCTCAATGGCAATCAGATAGGAGGTCAGTTTCCAAAATCTCTAGCCAATTGCACAATGTTAGAGGTTTTGAACCTTGGAAACAATCAAATAGCAGATACGTTTCCTTGCCTGTTGAAGAACATTTCCACCTTGCGTGTTCTTGTTTTGCGATCCAACAAATTTTATGGACGCCTTGGATGCCCCAATACCCATGGAAACTGGTCAATGCTTCAAATTGTTGACATAGCACTCAACAATTTTAGTGGTGAAATACCAGGAAAATGCTTGAGAACCTGGGGGGCAATGATGGGTGACGAAGATGATGACCAGTCAAAACTCAATCATCTTCGATTTGAAATTCTAAAATTCACCGAGGTATATTATCAGGATGCTATAACTGTTACCAACAAAGGTTTAGAGATGGAGTTCGTAAAGATTCTAACTGTCTTCACCTCTATTGACATCTCCTCCAACAACTTCAGTGGATCAATACCTGAGGAAGTGGGACAACTCAAATCGCTCTATGTCCTCAACTTGTCCAGTAATGCTTTCACAGGTGCAATACCAACCTCATTAAGCAAATTGCGGCAACTTGAGTCCTTGGACCTTTCGAACAACAAATTGGGCGGAGAAATTCCAGCAGAACTTGCCAAACTCACTTTCCTCTCATTCCTGAATCTCTCTAACAATCAACTGGTCGGGAAGATTCCGAGCAATGCACAGTTCTCAACATTTTCGGCAGCTTCATTCACAGGTAATAAAGGATTATGTGGGATTCAGTTGAACAATACATGCAATAATCCCAGCGAGCCAGCAGATGCACCACAAAAGGCTCCAAACAAAGCGTCAGGAATTGGGTTTGATTGGCAGTCCATATATACTGGAGTGGGGTTTGGAGTGGGAGCAGGAGTGATTGTTATCCTCTTAATCTTGTGGGAGGAAGGAAGAAATTGGTTGGAGGACAGCATTGACAGAATTCTTCTGGTAATCCTTCCAATGATGGGATTTACTTACAAAACTCGCGATGAATGGAATGAGGAGGAGGAAGAAGATTTTGAAGAAGAGAGCGCGTATATCATGGAAGACTGTGATACAGATGAGAATGAATCAGAAGACAAAGGATTTCGAGGTACATATTGTGTGTTTTGTTCAAAACTTGATATTAGTAGGAAGAGGGCCATCCATGACCCAAGTTGTACATGCCATTTATCACCACGTATTTCATCTTCTTCTTCCTCCTCGTACTCATTTTCTCCATAGACACACAATTTTTTGTTTTTTATGTTCTTTCTTTTTGTTTTCTCTTCTTCATCTCTTCACAATTTACTTTTTCAGTGTTATACTTTCGTAATTATCAACCCCAAATGGTGGGACAAGAACAGCTTGTATATATAGTGTTATAATCTTTCAGTCAGGAATTTCATCAAACACATGGAGAGCCATTATACTACGACATGAAAAAGGCGTCTAAAAGTTTTGCATCGTAGGGTAAGAACAAAGCATGCCAGAAATGCTCTTATAATTAACTGAGTCGTTACTGCCGTTAAAAACGAAGTTACTGTATACGACAAATATGGTCCTCGCTCAAGACCAGAAGGTGAACCTCATCGTGGGCCTTGAAGCCCAACAGACAGTTTGGAAGCATTGTGGTACAAATGATGCCGAATAGTTCTAAAAAACAAAGTAGAAGGAGAAAGAAAGACATTCTAAAAACGAGAATGACCGGATAACAAAAGTAGAAATCAAAAAGGAAACATTGAAAAACACACGTACAATATGTTGGTGTTCACCGGATAGAAATACATGATCAACAAAGCTTATTTTGTGTTCTATTTACTCAAAATGTGTCTTACAACTGTTTTTTTTTGTTGTTGTTGTTGTAGAGAGGAGGGCCCCCACACAAACGCTAACCGACAACAAACTTGAATATAAAAATCATATACAAGTCATTGAAAATTAACGGGTTGACAAGAACAAGAGGAGCATTCCAAATATGAAGAATCAAAAGGCTTAATAATCCCAATAGAAGCGAGCATATCAACAGCATAATTGCTTTTCCTAAACACATGATGAATCCTACACACACCACCACTCATAAAAGATTTGCAACTGGATATAAGATTGAACAGCGGCTGCAGGGGATCACAACTGAGAACACTCACGAGCTCTACAGCACTCCACAATTAACGGAAAACAATTAGATTTGCTAGCAAACTTCAAGCCATGAACTTCAGCCTGATGCACAGAACCATTCCCAATTCAATCCCCATGTCTTAATTGTATTATTTAATTTATTTCATATATTTTTATATATAAAAAATTAGACAAAATACGGATTGTCATATTCTCATAGACAAAATACGTACGAATTTCCACTTTATATTTGAAGTAATTATTATTTGATGAAAATATCAAATAATTCATTCAAATTGAAATTCATCTCCCTCAAAAAAAAAAAATTTTGAAATTCATCTTAATATTTAAAACTTTTAAACTAATCCCATTACTTTAATTTGTATGTTTTACAAATATAATAGTCTTTGTATCACAAGTTATTCAAAAACAAATATTCGTGAGACCAAAAACAAATAATCAGTTATGAAATGGCTGTGGCCTTTTTTTTCTTTTTTTTTGGATGAGAAAAAGTATAGAGGGGAGATTGGCTTTTCTCACCACCAACATCAAGGCATACCTACAATCTCGAGTCGGAATGACTTATTCGTAGCACCCAATTGTCAGCTACTACCGGTATGAATTTATGTAGGAAATTACAGATCGTGTGCAAATAAGGACTACTGACAGTGGGACTCAAACATTGGTGGGGCTATACACAATGCAGAAACCTTACCAACTGAACCAACTCTCATTGGTAATGGCTGCGGTTATTTGGATGCAAGGAAGCTACCGTAAAAACTCCAAGAGACTAAAGAATGTTGACCTCTGCAGGGACATGTTTGGCAATATCAGCCTTAAAACCACTGGACATTTAAGTTAATCCACAATTTGGGATCATTCGTAGGTTCATAACACACCAAATCAGCCATATAATCTAAATCAGTCTAGACAGAAACATCAGTACTACAACAACATTAATTCCTTCCCATTTTTAGAGCAACAAAGAAATACAATTAGTTAAAACATTTTACCATGAAAATACACCAGTCCAAGGCTAACCATAACTTAAATATCACTAATACATACTTACTCATAGTCATAGAAAGCACACATAGTGAATGTGGCTAAGAGAGAGAGAACTACTTATAAACTAGCTATAATATTTCATGTAGGCTTCAATATTGGGCATGGCTTCTTGACCTTGGAAGTAATTAGGGTCAGGCAATGGAATATTCATAGATGGTGAAGGTGGTTGCACGAAATTGTTCTGAGAGTAGAAATCATGGGACCCAGTTGGATGATGAAGATGATGATCAGCTGGAAGCTGGTACTGGAACATAGATGAGGATGATGAGGATGATGAACGGTCATGATGAAGACGATCATCATCGTCCACAAAGTTGATCATGCTCTGGTGAAGCCATATCTGGGCCTTGAGGAACTTCACATAGTGGATAGCTTCCTCTAACATGGACACCGTGTCCATTTTGGTCCCACCAGGAACCAAGCTCTGCAAGATCTTGAACCGGTCACTGATCCTATGCCTCCTCTCTCTGGCCGCCACACTCTGCGGGTCTGTGGAAAGCCTCACTCCTTTGCTTTTGCTCTTCACACCACCCTTGATCTTCTCTCCGGTGCCGTTGTGTTTGGTAGCTGAAGAAGAGTTGGAGTTAGAAACATCTGAGCTAGAGTTATTAGTAGCAGAGAAATAGTCCATTTGGAGGACAAACAGCAAACGTGGCTATTTGGTTGCTTGAAACTGGGCTTTTTTGGCTTGCACTTGGTAGGGGGTAAGTGCTTTTGGGTGCATGGTATTATATATAGGGAGATGAATATTGTGGTTTGTTGATTTGAATCAAGGAGAAGAAGAGAGATGTCGTCATGTGAGTCAGCCAATCTTTGGCGCAGGATTCGGGTGTCTACCCTAGGGGTCCTAGCCCAGCCAGGAGGCCCAGGAGGGAGACTCTTTAACCTACGCAAAGGTTTCCTCTGCTTTTTGCTTTTTTTATTTTCCTGGCATTTGGTGCATATATACTATTGATACGATATTTCTATCATCTCAACTAACCATTTATCAATGTATTGTTAGGTTAAGATAATATAACAAATACTCAATTAAGATGGTACAAATAGTTTTATTCTGTCCGCAACTAGGTAAAGCGTGACCTATTAAGGACCCTCCCTTAAAACAAAGGAACAATTAACCAGTCCGAGAGAGAGAGAGAGAGAGAGAGAGAGAGAGAGAGGGTGTTTTGTTGTTTGGGTTGGAGTCAAATTGGCTTTTTGAGGCTAGTCAGGAATGAAGAGAAAGACTAAAGAGAAGGGGGGGTGTGGGGGTCCTTTTTCTTTTATTTATGAAATCTAAGTGGATGTAACATAGTTGCAGGTGTGTCTAAATCCGAGGACCAAATCCTTGCCGGGCTTTTAAATCGTACGGTTATGCTTTTTATAGTTTTTATCCTTAGGTTATACACTGTTTGCTGAAAGAGAATTACTATTCGTGTCCCCTCAATTACACCTCTTTAGGAAGAAAAAGAAAAGGGCTTAAGGTCTTATCATCAGCTCTTCTTTTAAAGGGCATTTTTTAGCAAAAACTTGGCTTCAACTAGTGCTACGATTCAAGCTTAGATCCCCAAACACCTCCGTTGAATATTTACCCGATTCCCTATATGCAATAATCTAGACCAAAACTTTGTTGAGTCCACACAGGGCACTGCCTAACTTGACAGATTCAAAAAATTTCATTCAGCAATGCGAATGATGAATTGCAACTTTGCTTCGAGACAAAAAGACAAAAGCATGCAAAGATGAAAATACAAATTAAAACAGACAAAAGATGAAGAAGAAAAAAACTATTAAAAGAAGCAAAGGAACCAGGTGGGGTGGGGGGGGTCCCCTAGCTAAGCCATAGGAGGACAGATGAGTCTCCGATTTAATTTCACAGTGGGGGTGGGTAGAACCCTAATTATTCTTACTTGTTCAACTCAAAATTACCTGCTTTATCTGTCTTCGTCAAACCACACATCAGTCACAAACTTCTGCTGATGTACATGACCGCATAGTGTTTTGACATAAAATTTGTTTCTCTTTTTCTACATAATTATTTTGTACACCAGATTTCTCGTAGTGTGTAACTAATCTATGAATATTGCCCATGTAGAATTCTACAATGTATATATGTTATATATGTTTTTATAATAAGATGATACTTTTTACAACAGACTGATACATTCATAAATAAGGCTACATCACCATAATAAGACTAATAAGTAACTAGTTATCGAACTAATCACAAGAATATATCGTCATCGTCATTCATGTGAGTCAAACTTGAGACCTCCTCCAATTAAGTAGAGACAAATATCAGTAGAGTTGGTTATATACACACGTGAAATTACAAATTGCAAAGACCAAAAACCCAAGAATTAAAATATGTTAATACTGCATTGTCCACAGTGCTAGGGCAGAGTTGGTAAACCTGCGGATTAGCCAGTTGATGTTTGAGTTTGGGGCCCCCCCCACACTGAACAGGGGATTGGAAATGGAAACATCGACATCACAAGGGAAGGTAAGTGATGATTTTACTGTTGAGGAAGTTACTGTTACAGGACCGGCAGGAAGGGTTCTTAGCTTTATACGGTGAACGCAGCTGCAGAGTTTTACTGTGGTTGCAGTTTTTGAGTAACAGAAACGTTACGAGACATATCTGTGGTCTATTTGGTTTTGCACTCCTCAAATCAAAACCTTCCAGATATCTTTTTCTGCATTTAATATGGACGTTGACTTGTGCTCGCTCTGCATTATACACTTTTTATGATCGTCAACCCGATAAAAGGAGAAGAGAATTTAGAAGGAGCACACGCAAGTAGAAGAATCATGAAAGTTTTACTCCACTTCAAATTGAAAATACACACCATTTTAACCTACTTAATTTATATCATTTTTTAAGTTTAATGCTCTCTTGTTACATACACTTCAAATCAAACTGAAGAATTAAGATTTATGATTTTGGCATTGAGGTTGGTTGTTTCTTTTAGGTTTAATGATGGTTGCTAGTAGGGCTGGGCATTTGGACCCGAAACCCGGCCAACTTGCCCAAACCAAACTGATGGGTTGGGTTGGTTTGGTTTTTTTTCAAATTTTTTTTTGTCATCGGTTTGAACCTAAACCAAACCGAAATATATGATTCGATATACAGTTTGCAATATTCAAACTTATGATTTAACCAAACCAAACTAAAGATATTAAAAAATATTATATATAATATTATTATAAGAAATATATATATAATATATAGTTTCAATCTTTTCTTTTTCTTCTCTCTCAATCTCTTCGTTTGTCTTGTCTTCATCAGTCATTCTCTCTCTATTTTTATTTTCTCTTTCTTCTTATATATGTATTCACGCCCTCTTCTCATCTCCCTCTTCTTCTTTTTTCATTCTTCTTCTTCTCTCTCCTTTCTTTTTCTCCTCTTCTTCTTCTTCTTCTTCTCCATCTCTCCCTATTTTTTTTTCTTCTCCTCTCCATTGCTTTTATTTCCTCTCTCTCTCTCTCTCTCTCTAAGAAAGCCAAAAAACTGAAACTGAACCAAACCAAACCACCAAGTCCGGTTAACCAAAGTGGTTGGTTTTCATCAATTATGGTTTGGTTTCGGTTTTCAAAATAATCAAACCGAACCAACCCAAACTGAGCCTGGCCCTAGTTGCTAGCTCCAACGGCGTCTTAGTTTTGTGTGCATGAGAAATCATCTTTCCTGTATTTTAGACTATCGCTTATACTCAAATATAAATGTTAGGTTTTAGTCTCATCCAAAATTTGAAATTTCAGCATCACGGCAAAAGAATTCCTGCAAATATGAGCTGCATGAAGAAAGAAGATTATAGTGTGTACGATATATTGACCCAAAGAAAAAGAAAAAAGGAAAAAGAAGAGATAAGTGTACTAAATATTTGTTTATGCAAATTGGCCTTGCAAACAAACGCATGTAAAGTCCCGCCCGTGAAAGTAAAAATTGGAAGACGTCTCATAACAGGGACTGGTCCATGGTACTCTCCTACTCTGCCCTATCACTTCGCTTAAGTCACCAACACACATACACCTGCCACGTGGAATATTTTGCAGTGTTGTGAGACAACACGTGCCAGTCTGATGGTACTATTCTCTTTGAGTGCATGCCCAAAATTGTCCAACGCCCTATGGTCTATGGGCACGATTGGATGGTACGCTGCGTTTTGATGCACCATTACTATAATAGACCACTCAAAATGAGCTTTATGAGCTTTTGCCAGTACGCATTACACACCAGTCACGCATCCAATAATTGCACATTATGTACGGACTAATCATTTTTTTCCCTTCTTTTTAAGCCATGTAAAATGTACTCGGACGCTTGTTTTGTCTGTCTTTTTCTTTCGTCTAATCTAATCACAAAATCAGAAACTTTAGCATTGACATGATTATAAATAGTATTGGACCGGACTGATCCACGTGATATGAATTCGAAGATCCCTTCCCAACCCAAAACTTGGAACTTCAAATGAGGCTTTTTCTGTCATGCAAAGACTCAAAAGGTAATTTATCATCATGTAGTTTGCTGATTTTACTATTTTGGTTGTTTTAATTTAAATTATGTCACTTTTATTCAAGGACGAGTTATAAATTTTGTTAAATTACATTCGAGTTTGTCCAAAATACCACTACACATTAAGGACACGTGTTTACTCTATCATATAGTTTGTGTGAAGAATATCAAACTACACAGGTCAAAATTGAAGTCATAGATATCAAAGTGACAAATGAATAACCAAAAGTGACTTTTATATTTTTAATTAGAGTCTAGTTTTACCTTTCAACATTGTTATGTCCTTACCATGTAAGTAAGAGCTTTTATATTTATGCTAATTTAATATGTGTGCATAAATTTTTATTTATTTTTATTTTTTATAAATTATTTTTGTATATGTGTCAAATTATGCTTCGTAAGAAAGAAGAATATCTCTTTATCGGAAAGGAAACTAGTAGTATCCATATTATAATATGGATGGATAGAATTTGATAATTTTCGCTCAAAGGTATTATATTAATTAATATTGACTTACGTGGGCAGTAGTACATGCTAGAAAGGTTTTTTCTTGATGGAAGGGTCCAGCAAGTTCCAGGTTTCATAGCACGTGTCACGGCACCAAACTCCTCGCACCTTGTATCGCCAACTCGAAACGTCTATCCCATAACGTGTCGTGTCCAACATTAGTGCATCCCAAAAGACCAGATCCCTATAAACAATTGTGACATAGAAATAGCATATCAAGTATTCTCATTATCAACAAGCACGTGTGCGCAAAAGCTTAGACGCTATGGCTTCCAGTGAAGAGTTCAGATTGGTATTACCAGGCATAGACCACGAAGGAAGGCTGCCCAGAAAATACACAGGTGAAGGCCAAGGGGCAAAGAAGAACATATCTCCACCAATAGAATGGTACAACGTGCCGCAGGGGACCAAGAGCCTGGCCCTGGTTGTACAAGACATTGATGCACCCGACCCGAATGGCCCGATCGTGCCGTGGACACACTGGGTGGTGGTGAACATCCCACCGACTGTGAAGAAGCTGCCAGAGGGGTTCTCTGGGAAAGAGGAGGAGCTGGGAGGCGAATATGGTGGGATCAAAGAAGGGAACAATGACTGGAAGGTGCCTGGGTGGCGTGGGCCCAAATTGCCTAATCATGGCCATAGGTTCGAGTTCAAGCTCTATGCTTTGGATGATGAACTGCACTTTGGTCACAAGGTATGTGCATGTGCATGTGCATGTGTATATTTGTTGTTGTCAAAGTGTATGACATGTGTTTTTGGTTAAAAATTATGGTCAATTTTTTGCAAGATTTTATTATTTTTTGTCTATATTTGGTTCTGTTGAATTTTTGGGTTTGGTGCAGGTGACGAAGGAGAAGGTTTTAGAGGCAATTCAAGGGCATGTATTGGGAGAAGCGGTCTTGATGGCCATTTTCTGATGTTAATTAGTATTTTTAGTTGTTTGGATGTTGTATTGCGACTTGTAGCTAGGTCATGTACTTCTTTTTTATTATGTATCAATGAAACATTTCACAACTTCATTTATGCAAGTTGGTCAAGCTTCACGCCATTATTAAAACATTTGTAGCTTAAATGACCGCTTGGCATTGATTTATTAGAACCATAAGCTTTTTTTAAATAAATTTTTATGATTTGCGAAATTGATATGTTTTAAAGTATTCCCAGGGGTTATACCTTTGAAGTTGTAGAAAATGATGGTAAAATCTTGCCGGGTTAGACATCTACCGACGAAAGTTACCTATGTCGATGTGAAATTTTGTCAAGAAAAGTCTAATACGGCAAATTAAGCCGGGATAGACTTGTGCCGACCACATTTTATCGGGGAGAGGTTTAAAAAAAATAAAATTAAACTTAGTATGTTTAGGTTAATTAATTTTTAAAAATTTTATTTTTGGTAATTAAATAATATCTTGCCATATTTAATTAGTTAAATTAGCAATTCTATTTTAATTATTTTTTCTTAGTAAATAATTAGTATTAAATATTTTAATTAACTTCATGAATTATATTACTTAATAAATAGTTTTTCCGTTTTTCCATTTTTTTCCTCTAATATTCACTAAGTAAATAATAACTAAAATATAACTACTAATCCAAGTAATTAGAAAAGAGAGATCGATATTATACTACTTAAAAGGTATAGCCGCACGGCTATACTGTTAAAATATTATATTTTTGGAGTATAGCCGCCTGGCTATACTGTTTTATATAAGAAAAAACCGGGTATAGCCGCCGTTGCGTAGTTGTATTGGATACCTTTTATCTGATTTCAAGAAAGTGAAATTCATTTGTTTGCGTAGTTGTATTGGATACCTTGTGGGCCAATATAGGCAGGGCCTCAAATTGTTGACAGGTTGTTGTTAATGGGCCTCAAATATTTAACGGGCTGTGACTTCCTTTGAACTGCTCTTGCATGTACCCAAGGCCTATGCAATAATTTATTCTTCAAAAGTATCAAATGATATTTGGACATGTCAAATAAAAAAGAATGTTAAATTTGAATTTAATGATTTAAGTGGTTATTTGACATTTTGAATTTTTTTTTAAATTCACTAAAATATCATATATTATATTATTTTTTATTAAATTTTAAAAGAAAATAGAGATCCTATGATGAATACATTATAGTGCGTTATAATGTTAAAAAATAATATATGACATTAAGTTTTATGGATGTCAATTTTAATATCAAGCTTCTTACTTTTAAATTCATATAGAATTTAACTGTTCGGTTGAAATAATTTATTCTTTTATTTCTTGTCATTTCATGCTCGTGTAATTATTTGATATACCAATTGAAGATGCTTTAAGAAATTATGTACATCTTAATTTCGTTTGTTACATAGAAAAGTCAAATTTTGTTTATATTTATAAAATTTTTATTAAAAAAAAGAAAAAAAGAATGTGTAATTAGAGTCACCGTGGGATTTTAATATGTGATGACAAATGCACCGCTCAAATGCCCTTTTGACGTCGGACTCGGAATGAAACCAACCGACCAACCGTTCTATAGGAAACGCGGTTCGTTAGAGACCCCATCATCATCTCTCCCTCAAAAACCCTCACTCAGTCGCTCGCTAGTCAATCAATCCCGCCACTACTATTTATAGAAACCCTTCGTTAACCCCCGATTCTCAAAACCCACCCAACACTTTCCGTTTCGAGATATGGTGAAAAAGAACCCGAACCCGTACCCGAAAGTGCCAGTACCCGTTCAGAACGAGGAGATCGACTGGGAGATGAGGCCAGGTGGCATGCTTGTCCAGAGGCGAGAAGACGGCGATGACGCCTCTGCTGCTTCTGCCTCCGCCTCCTCCCGTGGGCCCATGATCAAGATCGACGTCGTCCACGGCCCAGCCCACCAGGCCCAATACGAGCTCTTTGTTCCTGCTCACTCCACTTTCGGTATTCTTCCTTCACTATTACATCCTCCGTTTTAATCATCTTCACTTTGAATTTTGAGTTCACTTGTATGTTCTTAGTGTATTACGTGCAACTTGGTTTGATTGCTTTTATTTTTATGATGATTGATTGAAGCATTGTTTTGTTGATCAAGAGTATTAAATCATGCTTAGCTGAATCGAAATTGATGGGTGTTTGATTTAATTTTAAACATTGTCAGGGGATGTGAAGATACATCTTGCACAGAAGACTGGTTTGGAGCCAAGTGCGCAGAAGCTCTTTTTCAGGGGGAAAGAGAAGGAGGATGAGGAGCAGTTGCACATTGCGGGTGTGAAGGATAATTCCAAGGTTCTGCTTATGGAGGACCGGAAACCCGAAGAGAAGAAGGTTGAGGAGTTGAAGGAAAGCAACGCTGGAGAGGTTGGAGACAATAGCAATGCTGATGAGATTGGAGTCAAAAGCAGTGACATGTCAAAAGCTTTTCAAGCGATTGCTGAAGTCAGAGCTGAGGTTGACAAGCTCGCGGATAGGGTTAGTCTATGCATCCATTGTATTTAATTACCCAAATATTAGGCTTCAATGGGACTCACATTACTTGTTTAAATTTTTAGGTTGCTGCCTTGGAAGTGGCTGTTGGCGGGGGCACCAAGGTTTCCGATAAAGAATTTGCCATATCAACAGAGCTGCTCATGAGACAGTTGCTGAAATTGGACGGCATTAAAGCAGATGGGGAAGCAAAAATGCAACGGAAGGCAGAGGTTTGTCTTTTTCAGCATTGTTGGTTTCTCATGGCGGAATTGCCAGATATTTTGTTTGTTCTCATGGCAAATAATGCATTGTGTGTGGCACACCATACATATTTCACAATTATTGTTCTAGCAAAATATTTCACCTGCGGCATGTCATTCATGCATCAGTTGGTTGTGCTATTTGTTAAATCTTACCAATTACATATGTCGTACATTGGAATAGGACACTTATTTGCCTTTGTAGTCAGTTTATACTTGTCCTCTAGGCCCAACTTTAATGACTTGAAGGCTTCCACTGCAGAGGTCATTTCATTTCAGTGTTTGAAACAAGTACAGAACGGCTGAATGTAAGCATTTTTGGCTTTCGTTGATTGCTCGGCATCATGTGTTTTATGCTTGATGTGATGCCGTATCCTTCATAGAGTAGCATTATCTGTGTGTTGATGTTGGTCTGTGTGATTGGGAGTCCATTAGTTTCTGCTTTTAGAGCTTTTCAGATTTGGATCAGCATTGCTTGATCAGCTACCCGTCTTCCAAATTCCAATATTTATTATCCCCTCCTCTTTTCTCAAACTTCCTCTTCCCTTAAATCCTTGCCCACCATTGGGGATTCAGCTATGAACTCAATTAGGATTGAACTCCTTGTTATAAATGGGAAGAGGTACCAATTAGTTGCAAGTGCTGCTGGTGCAACCAGCCTCTCTTACCTTGTTGACATTCACAATCATATGGTTAACGATTTTGTGTAGAAGATAGGACAACTGGGCTGCCTCCAAAAGTGTTTAGAGTTTAGAGTCTCAATATCCTTTCCTTAAGTTTGTAGCTTCTTATCTGTGCCTAAATTGATTTGCTGCAATCAGCAGATTGAGCATGTAAATGTGCAATCGTTTGTTTATTGGCTTTTATAAAAATTTAAAGTTGCATGTGCCATTAGAGATCTCATATACCATAACTTTCTTGAACAAGCATGTAAATGTGCAATCGTTTGTTTATTGGCCTTTATAAAAATTTAAAGTTGCATGTACCATTAGAGATCTCATATACCGTAACTTTCTTTAACAAGCATGTAAATGTGCTATCGTTTGTTTATTGGCTTTTTCAAAATTTTGAAGTTGCATGTAACCATTAGAGATCTTGTGTACCATAACTTTCTTGAACAGGTACGACGTGTCCAGCACTTTGTGGATGCACTGGACACTCTGAAGGTGAGGAACAACAATCCTTTCAACAACAGTAGCAATGCTGCCTCAGTAACAACCAAATGGGAGACCTTTGACTCTGGTGTGGGATGCCTGAGTGCCCCAACCCCAATGCCATCTTCAACAGAAGTAAATCAGGACTGGGAACACTTCGATTAGCAAAAAAATTTCTCTACCATATTCTGTTTTTCAAGATTTATTGTGGAACATGAAATATTTGGCATGCAAACTGGCTATTTTTGGGTGCTGGTGCCCGCTTTGACAGTTCATGATCTGTATAATTGTAATTGCTGTCTATTGCTGTGAAGGAAACTACCATCTGCTTAGAGCAAATGGAATTGGTATATTTTGGATTTTTTCTTTTGCGCGTTAAGCTGCTTGGCTTTTATATTTCATCTCATACTAAGATTAGAACTTGGGAACCTTCTATCTTGAGACCCTCTTGGTTCCTACCATTCTATTTTGCACAGATTTTTCCTCTGCCCTCGTGATGGATTCAACCTTTAGTGAAACTTGTTCTCAACAACTGCTTCAGAAATTGAACACAGGCTGTTGAGTGTTGAGTGGAGATACAGGATTGGATGGACATATAGGCTGAGGACACGTGTCTAGTTTTCATGACTTCAAATTATTTGATTGATATTCCGACCCAAAAAAATTATTGATTGATAATCTAATAACAGCTTCACACCGTAAGGGTTTGTAGTAACTCAAGTAGTTAAGAGTATATATTGTCACATTTTAGGTCTTAAGTTCGAATCTCTTCTTTCCCATTTTCTTGTATTAAAAAAAAATTATAATTATATATATATATATATTTTTTTTTTTGTAAAAGGGAGAGAGATAATAATAACAACTTCACACCAACTACGATTGTTAACGATACCACTTTAATTGATTAGACTGAAAACAAATATTAGTCCTTACTTTGTCCAGTTAGTCAAATTTGGACCTGCTTTTGCTGACTTTTATATCTTTCACTAAACACATGTTCGGAGTATAATATTAATAACTAAAATATGCATTATGATATAAGTGGATTGGAAACATCATCTAATGATCTTATGTCAAAAAGTTTCACCTCACCAAGAATAAACAACATGATATCACAATTCACAAATTTCAACTTTTTTTTTCTTTCTGTTTTTCGGTAAATTATTCAAAACTTCTACTTACAGGTTACATATGGGTACATAATAATTAAGTGCTCATATGCTACATGCCTCCCACAGAGTGCACTTAGTGATCTACAAATTAATGGTTACACCTCTTGCACCATTGATATATGGAGACGGTGCCGTTTCTTCCCCATACACTGATGTATTCCAGCCATGTTTTGTTGGGTCATATTTTTCTCCATCACCCCAAAGAGCATAAGCCTCTTCTCCATGAACAGCATCGTCTCCAATAATAAGCTGCTCCTCAGGCATTCTCAGAGGTATGAAAACCCTAATCGCCAAAAGTATAATTGTGGTGGAGACTATGTTCCAAGCAGTCACAAACATGGCTGCAACCAATTGTTTCAGAAACTGCATCCCTCCATTGCCTCCATAGAATGCTCCTCTGCTGTCGCCTACCGGGAGTATAAGCCTGCACAGAGCTGGCTCTGCAAAAAGCCCAGTCAGCAGTCCCCCCAAGAGCCCTGCCACTGCGTGTGTGTGAAATACTCCTAGGGTGTCATCCACCTGTAAATAATCACAAAAATGATACTACTAAGATTAATACTTTTCATGATTTTTTCAATTTATTTATGATATTTTCTGCATTTTGGTCAAACAAGAAAAGGGCTTGGAGGATTAATAGAAGTCTTCTAGAAATTTTAATCCGGTGATGGTGGCTATTTCATTAGGGTCAATTATGCACTTGATAAAGTACATAGGATAAGGGAATGAATATAATTAAGCTAGTGGAGAATGATCGATGCTATGATTTTTGTGCTGACTATACGGGAGAAAATTTGAACATTGATAAGATAAATGTATGTTTAAAAAAAAGTAAGTAAAGAATATTTGAAATGGAATCTTCGAGTGCAATTTCCTTTCCTTCTATGCTAATATCTTCTTCTCTTCTCACATCACATATCATTTGAACTAAAACTTATAAACTCGTAAATATAGGTTAGGTCAGTTAACCAAAAAAAGTGTATATGTCCTTTTACCTGAGTTTAATTCCCCTCCTCCGTAAATTAGAGTAATTTATAATAATTTAGGCCCTCCATTTTAAATGCTATTATTTTATTATAATAACGAAAAAGAAAGCTAAAATATCTTAAATATATTTTATTTTTATTTTTTAAAATTAATTATAGTTAAAGTGCACAATGTGTATCATATGAATGCCAAAAATAATGACAAAAAATGAAAACACAAGACCGAGTGTTGGAAAGTAGCAACTTGCCTTTTGCAATAGGGCAGACTTTTTGTGAAGGACCATCATGGAAACCCAAGGAATGCTACCAGAGAGCATGCCCATCACTATAGCGGCCCACGACTGCACCAGCCCTGCCCCAGGTGTGATGCAGACAAGCCCCGTCATCATGCCCTGAACCGCTCCGATCACTGATGGCTTGCCGAAGAAGACGACATCCAGAGACGTCCACACAAGAAGGCTTGTAGCTGCACATATGTTTGTGTTCAAAACAGCTATTGATGCATCAATATTTGCAGCATAAGGGGCCCCTCCGTTGAAGCCTGACCAGCCCATCCACAGCATCCCAGCACCAGCAAGCATGAGCAAGACATTGTTTGGTGGAAACCTCTCCCTGTCACTCTTCAACCTTGGACCAACCTACATAAACCAAGAAATTTAATTAGTCCAAAATCCAGAAATCCTAAAAAACCAAGATAATAAATTTGGTCCAAACATCATATGTGATGTTTAATTTCTTCGTTGATATTGTGCTTATGTATAAAATGAAGTCGCTGTTTTTAATTATCAGCAGAGAAAATATAAGCAGAGGATTTAGATTGGCGATGTATTAGTACCCAATAAGCTGCGGTGAAACCCGCGATGCCGGAGGAGAGATGGATGACATAGCCACCGGAGTAGTCAATGACACCCCAGTGATAGAGGAAGCCTCCACCCCAGAGACTAAAGGCTCCAACAGTGTAGGAGAAGATAAGCCAAAGAGGGACAAAAGCCATCCATGCCTTGATGTTCATGCGCCCAAGAACAGAGCCAGCCAGCAAAATAAGAGTGATGGCTGCAAAAGTGAACTGGAAGTAGACAAGCGAGGCCATGGGGTAAAAGGGCTCAACCATTGGGGTCTCCACCGTTCCATCGTCGTGAAAATGAGTGCTTTCGGGCACTTTGGCGCGGTTGATGAGGAATTTCTGGCCTAGAGAAGGTGCTCCTTTACCCCAAAACGGGAGGAGCTGGTCGCCGAAGGCCATGCGATAGCCTACAAGAACCCAACAGATGAGCACGGCGGCGAAGGCGTAGAGAGCCATGAAGGCTGAGTTGACTGCCCATTTCTTCTTGACTATGCTGGCATAGAGGATGACAAGGCCTGGCATGCTCTGTAGGCCTACAAATGTGGCTGCTGTGAGCTGCCATGCGTTGTCGCCTTTGTTTAGCCAGTCGGGCACTGCTGGGGTTCTTACACTATAGGCACCTGCTATGGCCATGGCCAAATTTTGGAGATCACTAAGATAAGAGCTTTCTCTTGGCTTAATTAGTCTCAACCCTTTTGTGAAGGTGGCCAAATTTTGGAGATCACTAAGATAAGAGCTTTCTCTTGGCTTAATTAGTCTCAACCCTTTTGTGAAGGTGGCCAAATTTTGGAGATCACTAAGATAAGAGCTTTCTCTTGGCTTAATTAGTCTTAACCCTTTTGTGAAGATGGTTTGTTTGGTAGATGTAAACAGAATAAAAAGGCATGGACTTTTAAGCTTCGTGATCTGAACTCATTTTGGTAGCTTCGTGTGAAATTTCACTTTCTGTTTCTGTTTCTGTTTTTGTTTTTTATTTTTTATATTAAGGTTCTGTTTTTGTTTTTGTTTTGCCAATTTGCTACACAATTGATGATTGGACTTCAGATGGGAATGGCGTTGGACTTTGACTGGTGGAATATTTGATTACTCTTGAGACTTGGAAAAACGAAGGGTTGGTTGCTTGAGCAGCTGGTTTTCCACCACCGCCATGAAAGGGTGCTGAAGTTTCAACAAAGTTGACGGGTCAAGATGCGTACGGAGCATGTACAAGGGGACCAACCAATTTAAGTCTGCTCATATGACATTAATTGATATCGGATTTTCCAAGAAATTGTAGCTCCATGAATAATCAAATCATGAGAAGGATGGAAGTTGAATCTATATTGTTTTTTTATTTCTTCAAATTAGTAGCATTCTCATGGAACATTTGAATTAACATTATGCACATTGTGCAAGGCTTTTTGCAATTTTTGGAAGTCAGGGAGATGTCCTTGGAAGAATGGAGGTTGCTGGTAGATAACAGAGGCCGCTCGAATTAAAATGCTTGCAGTTAATCCCCAAATTAGAAACTGTCCTTGCTCTGATTCGAAAGCGAAAAGATGGAGAATGTACTTCCAACCCATCCATTCCCTCTCCTCAAATCTGTGATTGTCTTCCTGCATTTCACAGAAATTAGATTTAGTGTTTAAGTTGTTAACAACAATTGACATGCTCTGCATCATGTGACCTGTGTTCTGCAATTATCTATTTTTGTATGGGAAAAACAGTAACCTTAAGAAACATCTCCAATGGAACATCAAAAATAGCGTCAACTTCGTCGGGATTAAGTACAGGCTTGAAATCTTCTATTTCAGCTACAAGTCCTATCACCGGGACAACCGTGACTAAATGCTGCACAAGGCCAAAAATGTCACATTCAAATGTAAGATTTGTCGTTGTCGTTCCTGTATCTCAGTAGAAAAATAAGCATATTACTACCTACCTGGGACATAAAGCACTCCAGTTTTGCAACAACTTGAACTAGGCCTGAATTTAGGCCAATCTCTTCCATGGCTTCCCTTAGTGCTGTTGCAGATTCATCTGCATCTTCCTCCTCCATTTTGCCACCCGGCAACGCCACATCTCCTGTAATTTCCAACACAAACTTAGAAAATTTATTGTGGCCATGGCCAAGTCTACTTAATTTGAGACCAATAACACATTTATCATGTGTACAAAGTGAGAATAGATCAATACAGTCACAAAAAATATAATTTTTTTTATTGTACCTGGGTGTGATGCCAACTTCATGGATCTCCTAGTAAGAATAACTCTCAGCTCACCCTCAGGACCCTCAAAGAGGCATATCAGGACAGCTGCTCTTCTCTCCCTCAAATTGTTGGCACAAGAACACTTTACATTTCTGACTGCTAAAGAGTTGCAGCTGATGCGAGAGCTTAAGCCTACGCCGTCGTCGTTATCGTCCTCCAATTCGTCCAGCACTGGGGGTGGTTTGTAAAACTGAAGCTGCTTGGCAAGCCTTTGGAGCATTTGGCTTCTTCCCCACTCCTCTGTACAAGCCATTTGGAATTTTTTTATCAACTGTATACATGTTCTGTGCAATATATAGGCAACATTTGCATTAAAAGTCTCTCTAAAAGGATTGAAATTCCATGTCTCCACTTGGATTGGAATTTGGGAGAATATCTGAACAAATCCTGATCAAGATGGAATTTTAAGCCAACTACAATGACTGGGGAATATTGTGAAAGTTGGAAGGAATTGCACTTGTTAGAGGACCAGCTTGCAATTTGCTACATGGAATGCCACAACTTGTCCCAACCATGGTTCCAATTTCAATTGATATTCTGTGAACAATCAAGACAAACGAGGATGCTGGAATATAAAGATGCGACCAAGAGAATTTATATTCCTACTTGCAATAGAATAAAGGGCCTCAAATATTTAACGGGGCTCATCACATGGATCGAAAAAAACAAGAAGGCCCATCGTTTTGCCTTTACAGGAAGTTCTCTCTTGGTTAATTTTTCAAATCAAACAGATTTGATTGAGGATTATTTTTCTTGGTAGTGAAACAATAGAGCAAAATTGTGGTCCATTAACGTGGTCCAAATTTTTAACAAAACTCCGTTAGAAATAATAGGGGCAATGGAAAAAGGAGGGAATCGTAACTAGGTTAATTGGATGTTATGATCAACTTGTCGTGCGATTAGATGGTAGCCAAACATCCATCGTATGAAAGAGATCCTTATCTTCATGTACGGCAATCTAATCAATTTTAGGACCCTCGTCCAATTCCATTATCTTTCTGTCGGCACACAGATCAATCACCTAATCATTTTCTACCTGCTAACAACATTAACCTCTGGAGACCAACCAACCAAACATTATACAATAGACCAAACTCATTGCAGCATGACCTAATTCTCTACAGCTTTATTGATCAACATGGCAGCTGCTCCGGCTCCTTTCTGGTCTTCATTGGCCCCCAATGATCAGTTTCAAAACGATCAGCTTCACGACGTCCTCATCAGTGACCCAAAGTTTGCTGTCCACGGTGAGATTATGATGCTGGTTCTGGTTCTGCTGTTCGCCACCTTGTTCATCCTTCTCTTACTCTTCCCCTACACAAAGAAATGTCCTCCCTCATGATATTCAGTTCAAGCCTTAACCCGCATCAGCACTCATCGACTCGAGGAACGCTTTAGCCTCTAGAATTTAATTTCTTGGTTTGATTCCCAAACCAGCCTTGTAGCCATTAATTTTTTTTTTCTTCAACATATTATATATGATGCGTTGTATGGATGAAGTATTTCCGTTTAAGTTTGTTGTCAGCTCATATTTCTTGTTTTGGTTTTCAATTAGATTATTTCAAAATTTCTTGTGAAAGGAATGATTGTTCGATGAGTTTGGGTTTTGGGTCCTCCTGCTAGCACCTTTTAGATTAGAGTGTGAAATTACTTCATTACTCCTGTGGTCGTTAATTACGCAGAAATTAGCTCTGTCATCTTCATAACCATGTGTGGTCCACAATTTCTGATCAGTACAAATATTTATTGTCTATTTATTAAAGTTTTCTTCGCCAAGTACATACATTTCATGAATATTATGCTGTTCCTGCTTTTTGCATTAATCTCTTAAGTCTCTAACTCAAACATATTGACAATAAATAAATAAATAAGTGTAACAAAAACTTGATCTGGATGATTTTTAAAGTTTAAATGCGCAGCGGTCCACTATTAGCAATACCTATATTGTCTCAAACTTAATTACTTACAAAGTCCAGTAGGTATGAGGGTTTATCACAAATAGGCATCGGTCAGATTATTAGTGAAACAATTCATTTATATACTGCCTTTTCATTGGACAAGTTTCTGATACGGGACTTTATATTCTTCAACACTTTCGGAAGTTCCTTGTTGCACTTCTACACACGACAATATTTTTATCAACTCTCTCATATACTGTGGGTCTTACAAAAACCCCATGCAGGGGCGGATCTATTAAGGCGCAAGAAAAACCATTGTAGGTGCTTCAAATTGCCCATTTGTTCAACTGGTGTACAGATTACCTTATTTCCATTTTCAACATTTAAGTAAATGTCTTTGTCTTTTTACTTTTATTTATTTTTATATTACTCAATTTACTTAAGTTTACAATGTAAATAAGGAAGTACCCTCCATTTGGATTCAAATAAAAATACTAGAAAATCAAATTCCCACCAAATCAAAATATGAAAATTCGGTTTTAGTACAAAATACGATTTAGGCTAAAAATGATGGCTCATTAAGTCAATATATACTTCATACTAAAATCCCATAAAATCAAGTTTTCTTATTTGATGTATAAGGAATAAAAGCCGCCAAAAATTATCTTGAGAAAATGATTATTCCGAAAAACCATTTTCATACTTAGTCAATATTGCACCTCTGCTAAAAAATTTCTGGATCCGCCAGTGACCCCATGATTTAATAATTCTATAGAACCCACATATAAGAGAGTCTTTTTGAAACAACTCTTCATGTTTCTAGTATTTTTAGAAATTCAACTCACTTAACCTTCTAAAAACAATTGACAAATTTATATAATATATGTAATGAAAAAATGAACTATCAAACAAACATTACACATACATATAGAAATATATTTCTTATACAACCTTTCCCTTTAAATAAAAAAAAAAAAAAAAAAAAAAAAAAAAAAAAAAAATTAATTTTTTATTTATTATAATAACAATACAAGTGAATAACTATAAACTAATCAAAATTACAATAAGGGGATTCGAACTCAAGTGCAAAGTGGGAAGCAACTCTATTCTAGCTAACTTAACTAAACTCATGTCTATAACTATCCTTTTTATAATTAACATGATAGAATTAATTGTTCGTGTTAGGAACTAGGCCTAGTTCAAGCCATACGGGCATTTTAATATGACATATGTTTTTTCACGGGTCAAATTCAAGTTACACTATTAATCCCAAACATGATTAAGTCAAAACCCAACCCACATTCCAACCACGGCCGCAATTTTGAGTTACTTTTACTCTCTCTAAATCTAAACCATAGAGCTGTATTTTGATAACCTTCGGCCCAATCCAACTTAAATTCTATATTAAGAAATAAGTGACGTATTTGGTAATTAGTACTCCAAAAAAAGAAATATGTGACGTATTTGGTAATCAGCACTCCAAAAAAGGAAATGTGTGATGTATTTGTTAATTAGCACTCCAAAAAAGTTATTAATGCTCTCTTTAGTAATATTACATTTCCTTTTGGAGATCAAATATCGTTTGACCAAAGTACCCCTACACTTCAAATGATAAGTACTAGCTTTTGCACTCTCAAGATTGAATACGGGTTACAAATGAACAATACAGCGTACAATACGTAGTTGCGCAGGGTAGACAATGTCACTACAAAAATATAATTTGGAAAGTAGAGTATCACAGATTACTTTCCATAAGCAACCTTCTTGTATAAAAGAGGTCTAGGCAAACCTTGAAAATGCACCTACTACTTCTCCTCTATTCAGCAATCTCCAAGAAACCAATGTACGTATACACTTGGTCTTCTCTTTAGTTCTTTCGATTCTAGCTTATGAATTGGAATTTCATATGTTCATAAGTTTTTTTTGATGTTATTTGTGCAGCTAAACAGAAAGCTAGCTTATATTTCACGTTTATATACTTGAAATGGAGCAGCAACAAGCCAAGACTTCTGCAGGGAACCACTCTCAGTCCGCAGCTAGCGGATCAACTTCATCACCTGAAAATAAGTCTTCTCAAATGGAAACAATTCCATCTCCAAATCCAACTCCCAGCTCCACGGGAGATGCTGGTACTTCTGACCCCAAGCAACTGAGGAGGTCAATAAGTTTGCTATTTATATATTTTTGTTGCAACTTACGTACGTTGTAATTTGATCTCAATTCTCTAATGGTTGGAATTTATTAATGTGGTTTACTTTGTAGAATTCTAGCAAATCGGGAGGCGGCCCGACGAGCACACTCTAGGAAGAAAGAGTACGAGAGAAAGCTCGAAACAGAGGCCAAGGAGGCAGAAGTAATCCTTTATATTTATTAAACATATTTACTTGCTTTCTTTGTTATTTGTTCGACATGAGTGGAACGAGCTCTGTTTGTTTTGGTTTCTTAACTTTACCAAATGATTGATTTCCGATTGCCTACAAAAAAAAAAATGGAGAAAAAATGATTTATTTATTTATTTTGCTAGAGGTTTTTTTTTAGTACAAGCGATTGGGGGAGGGGAATTTACACAAATATTCATTGAATGCCTGGGGGTTTCGAACTTCTGCCCACATGGGTGGAGATAGAAGCTTGACCGAAAATACATGGTCGAGTGTCCGGCCTCTCATAAATATGGATGTCCGCACTTTAATATTTTTCTGCACACATGTTATATATGTTCATTGAATTTTGTTCACCAAATAACGTGATAGTGTTCAATTGACTTAAATTTAAATTTACTTTAACTGCATTCGCACACATATATATACACACACTAGCACATCATTTTGGTCAACAAATTGGTGACCTTGGCAATATTATTGATATTCATTCATGTTGTGAAATATATCTTCAATTGTATGAAGACCAAAACTTCGGTTTGCATCAATAGCTAGGTTACCTTTAAAGTAATCATGCCGAATTGGAACCCAATATTCTTTTTGAAATGAAATTCTTATTTTTATTGTTCTCTTGGGGAATTATATACAGGAGAGGGTAGCAATGCTGGCTTCACAAGTGGCTTTCGAACGAATGCATCTCACGATACTATCAAGGGAGAACAGCCAGATGAGGGAGATGCTGCAAGATCTTGAGAATCACCAGGCTCATAAAGAAGGTATTTATATATATATATAATTATCACTCCTACACTTGATTGGATTACCTATATTGATTAATTGTGTGATTAATTGCAGCTGAGACTGAGGCACTGGTGAAGGAGAGAGAAACGCTTCTTCTCCTTCGGAGTTTGCAGCTGCAACAACAACAAGGTGGCAGCAGCAGCAGCAATAATCCAAACAATGTGGATAAATGAAAATTCAAATATGTACTTTTCTTTTGAATCCAATCCAATGTATGAAATGAATTTCTCGGACCACAGGGTTTTTGTATATGGACTTGGTCAAAACAACACCTGTTTTTAAAGTCATCTTCTTATTGGCACTTAAAAAAGCATTTTAAGTCAAAACGACGACTTTTGTCACTGTCGATGAAGTCCACGGTCCACCGTTTACCTAATTGAAATCAAGCACTAATTAATTCATGTGTTATGAAACATTATCTTACTAATTCGAGTCAGGTTGGTCCATCAGAAAGGGTTTGGACTTTGAGTATAATTTTACACACTACACATATATGGCTGCGGAACAAGTGAGTCAACTATGCTACGCTGCATGGTTTCATTATTAATTACTTTATTTAGTTAATAATTAGTGTGATTATCTATATAAGTGCAATCCTAAAAGTCCAAACCCTTTCTGGTTATCTATAATTAATTAGATATATATAGCATATATGGGGAGAGCTATCCTTGAAATTACAAAGAGAAAAACATATCAATAATATAAAGGGGAGAGCTAGCTCAAGTTTTCTTCTTTTTTCCAACTCTCTCATTAAAGTGCTTACCCAATTAAGGAAAACTCACTCCATATGAGATAATTGGAAAGGAAAAAAGAGAGAGAAAATATATTAGATAGATTCCACTCTCTCTCTCTCTCTCTATATATATATATATAGCATGTTAATTCTTTTATATAAATGACACCCTCAAAGATAAATTGGATATACATAGACTCTTATCTGGATGGGAAATATTTTTGCTCATCATTTTAACTTAAGGTGTACCATTATCACTTTTTTTTAATACTTGACACATGTTAATGGGCATAACCATAGTTAACTCTTTGCTTTGTATTTGTGAAACCATAATTATGTCTATGGAAGAATGGTGATGGTACACCAGTACCTTGGTTAAAGTCCCAAATGGATGTCTGAATTTTTTTGACAATTAATAGTATAAGATATATAATATTGTATATATATAGAGAACGTATCTATTGAAACTTATCTTGTTTTATAAATTTTTACTTTGTATCTCAAAAATCTTAAGTGTGTTTTCTTATGACTTAGATTGTAGGGTTTAATTTAAGACAAAATTGAAAAATAAATAGCTAGATCTTTTAAGTCCTAACTTTTCCTTGATCACCGCCAACATTGAAGTAAGCAATGTCATTTCGTTGAACAATTTCAATGTGGAAGGGACTTCGACATTGACCATTTCGTGTACCATGACTCACCCACCACGGCTATGTCAAAATTAATAATTTCATGCCCTTTTGCTCATCATTAAGACATGCCTAATCCTTGTTAAAGTGCTAATCATGATTAGAAATACATGTATATAGCATGCATCAATCATGGAACATCAATTTGTCAGCGTCTTTTGCCAAATTCTAAATTTTCTTGTTCCATATATTGGTAACTCATTCTACCGACGCAATTCATATAAAAAAAGAAACAAGAAAGAAATAAGAAATTAACTGCTCTGGGAGTTACAATATAAGACACTCAAAATAATATTATTATGTTTTCATGAGCAAGTACCTCAATATCTCACTTAGAATTGTCTAATTCATATAGTCAGATCCAGAGTACTTGCCCAGCTCTACCTCCCTCTCCCCATTAAACTTAATAACTTTCATTCCTACAACCTGCTGAGCTTTGAGGATGGGGGTGAGTACAATGACAAAGACAGACTACTATCAACTTCATGAATATCATCTTCATTCTTGTTCCTTGATGTTAGCCTGAGAGAGAGATCCAAATCGAGATCTTCGCAATCCGAAGCCTTTCTTTTCAACGATTTCGACTGATGATCCTCATTCTTCTTTGACGTGAGCTCTAGATTGTTGCTGTTGTTGAAACTTGTGATGAGTTCCTTTGGCTTGTGTTGCACTTGGACATGGGTACTTGTGGGGTTAAGATCAATCAGCTGCTGGCTCAACCTGGCTTGATGTTGGTGCTGAGCTTGCAAGGACTCACGGATATTATATAATTGGCATTCTTGTTTCAGTGTTCGAGCAATCCAAGAAGATTGTTCACCAAATGAACAACTTGTCAGATAATTGTAAGCACTACTTGAACTCCAGTTGCCTTGAAATCCAGTGCTTCTCGGGTACCTTGGGTTTTCGTAAGCGGTCCAAGATTTGGCATCTCCATATCTTGGGAAGATCAAGAAAGAAAGAAAGAATCTTTTTTGTGAAATTTAATTCCTCATTATTTGTATTAAAATAGTATGAGAAAAAAAAAATATATATATATATATCATTTGAGCTTAATTATATGTAAATGGATGAGAATTAGTAAGTAATCATGATTATTGAGGTTTGTTACCTGAAGCTGGTACTGTGGCTTCGGTTATATCCTTGAAGCATGGGAAGTTGGCTGAGGTTATAAATATTTTTATCTCCACATTCAACAAGATGGCCTTGATGATCCGCGAGAACTGTCAAAACAAAGGTCATTTAATTTGTACGAAACCTCACTATATTCGGATTTGGCATACCCAATTAATAAAAACCCTAATTTTTGCAAATCTTGTATATACCTTGGCCTGCGTCGTCGATCTTCTTGCTTCTATACATCTAGTCAATGAAAAAAAATATAGAAAAAATATTTTGTTTCAGAAATTTAACAAGTTAGTTGCTTTGTGGTAGGTAGCAATGAACAAATCAGTAAGAAATTCAAAGGTTTTGTTGATCAAATAACCTGTAAATGGCTCTTGACATGCGCAATACTTAGTCCCTTAATGTTCATCAGTTGAAGAACCAACTTTGGTGTAGCTCCTGCACCAAAAATCATTAATTAAACAAAATCATAATAAAATTGAACGGTACTCAATCGAATATTGAAAATTCGACATGAAGCTAACTCACTCTCTTGACCACCAAGCCTCTCCACGGCGTGGATGAAACGGAGATGAAGATCCGGTGTCCATCGGAGCCTAGGCATCTTGGATCTAACATAGGGTCGAACTGAGGCCTTCCTTTGATCACTCTCTTCAACTGTGCTGTTGCTTGAGCTTCCTCCATTGTTTTTTGGCTTACCACTTTCTTCAATATCATCGTAATTCTCCCCGCTCTCGCTTCCACCCTCATTTTGTTCACCGGAGGGACTAGTTTTCGAGGAATCGGAGTCGCCCTCCATAGCCTTCTAATTCTAATGAAGGTGAGAACAAGGGTTGATGGATTAATGAAGAGTACTGAAGGAGATAATTAGGGATTAGAGCCTTGTTGGTAGCTCGATTGGGAAGACGATGATGATGACCTTTTTATGGTCTGGCTGCAGCAGCTGCTGTCCCGATTCCTATTTTTTCTTCTTCAGTGAACACATGCTCGGACAGAGAGAAATAGTATTATTTACAACAAAAGAGAGACATCGAAATCCATCAACTAAGCAGGACACAATCAGCTCAGCTCTATTACAATACAAGAGATGCGCGAAACCCTAGAATCATGACAAAAGATAGAGAAACTTGCTATTCTCTCTCTCTCTCTCTCTCTCTCTCTCTGTGGGAACAGGTGAACGATATTTTATTTACATGTATATATATATATATATGACATTTAGGTATTTTAATATGATATAGCATAGATGCATGAATGCATGTATGGATGTCATGCCAGAAATAAGATTATATTTCTTGTGTGGAATCCCAGCTCCCATTCCATCATTTTTATATATATTAATCAAATTCCAACTCGGAATAACTTAGTAATTAGTATGCGTACCAATCAGATGGTATGTAATATTATGTCTTACTTTAAAGAAGAAGAAGAAGAAGAAAAAAAGGACCATGTAATGCATGAAAAAGTGGTATATATATAGTATTACACAAGTTGTTTTGAATTTTTTCGTCAAAGACCAAGAAATTCATCTTTTATTGATATATTTTTCACAGTTCAAGTTGAATAAAAGAACTTTCAACTGGTCATTTTTCTTTAAGAGTTCATTTTGATAGAAAATAATCTTAATTAACACCATTGATATAAAATTCAAACCTTTTAATAATCAAGTTGAACAACCACATATATATTTAGTCAGTCTTTTGTATTTATGACATTTCCTATTAAGAAAGGCAATACTCAACTCACACACTACACATATGGTATGACTCGAACTCATGATCTTTCTTAAGGGAGCAATTGCTCAAAATCATTGCATATCTAATACATCTATACATGTAAATTTTATAAGCTGTGTACAAAAATAACACCGTAGTATTATTTAAAACTCTCATTCCTTGCATGCTTAGTTAGTGTTTAAACATGAAAACTGTAATACTATTACTAGCTAGCAGAGATCAATTTCAAAACTTCGATGCAAAATTTTATTTTCAAAAGAAAAAAGAAAAATAATAAAAGAGGGGGTTAAAAGCTATATCATCAAGGAATGAGTGGGTGGGGGCTTGGCTCCAAACTAGATGAACTAAATTGTATGTGTTGTAAAAGTTAGGGAAGATTGCTTTACAGGAAGAAATAAGAATCAATCATTAAGGAGCAACTCAATGAAGCTTGTTGGGGCATGTGTGATGTGTGTTTCAGCTATATGGCTAGCTGTTGCTGATGCAGACCATAAGCTAACTCCATCCATAAAGATAATATATATAATGTTCTGTATGTATATATGCCTTCCTTCGCGAATCACGGGGATTGTTCCTCCTTGAGATTTGGACCTTGCTCATATGCCACCTACATCTATGTTTCCTCACTGCCTAATTAAGCTTCTTTCTTAACTCCAATTAAGAAAATGAAGGAAGAAAAAACTGAAATTAGTTCAAACAAATTTAAATTCCAATTCCAATTTCAATTTCAAGTCCTTTTTTTCCCTCCCTATGTTTATATACCAACAATTTCATCTAGAGTTTAGGTACGAAGCTAATGGGAACTCAAAAGTCTATGCTTTTAGGTTGCAAGAGAACTTTTTCATTCCTCCCACGTGTATAGCCATGGCTATGGCATCCTTAGGGCCGTGAATCTTGGGGTCAACAAGATAAGGCAACAGCAACTCTTTTTTTTCTTTCAGTCACGGGGTTCCTGCAACTAGCTAGTGTTGTAACCGTGGCATATGTCAAACTCTTTATTTATGTATCATGGAATAATTATCAGTAAGTAATGTTATGGTTAATAAAGTATATAGCAATCCTACGTATATCTTACGAACACACTAGCGTCACTTGTATAAGGGTGAATTTTCCGATAATAAATTATCAATATGAACCACCGATTAGGTACCGATTAAGTTGCTTTATTCAAATTGATAGTTCGATAACGTCACCCCCAAATTAAACAAATTATATTGGGAATTGATGTGTTGAGAAAAGAATGTATAATAACCTAATTGATTCAATCAAATTTCTTTTTGAAGTCCATACTTGAAGTTGAAAGAAGGCCATAGCTAGCTAGAGAAAGAAAAGATGAGGACAAAAATTATACACCAGCAGGCAGCACAGAGAGAGGAAAGCCCTACAGAATACAAAAAGATTCACTCTCCAACACTTAGCCTGTGAGGTCAACGCCCAACAGTTCTTGTGTCTCTTTTTCTTCGCATTGATACATATTTTAAGCCATTTGTTTAATCTGCATGAGAATACGTGAGCCCTATTAATGCGGATCTAACCCATTATTTGAGAATGAGGATGTCTGTCTTCTTCTAGGGTTCTCTCTGCTCCCCCAAAATTTTTTTATTCATTTTATTCGCACCATGCAATATTCTAATGCATGCCTGCGTGCTATATGCCAAGCATGCATGGTCTCCACTGCAGCCTATCATTTCCATGCAAGCCGGCCTTTAAATATACATATGCAAGTTTCAAAGAAGTTTCACAACTGCTTCGATGCTTATTGGTAGGTGATTAATTGCTACTTCCCATCTGTATTATTAAAACGTAAGCTGCATTTACATGTACACCATGCAACTTTTTATAATTATAATTAAACTGCTGGGGAAAGTTGGACCTTTCATCAAGGTCTTGCCCTTCATTCCCCTATATATAATTATATGCCACTCAATAAGTGACAAATTATAATTTATTTTTCTTTTTGGTCCCTCATGGGGACTTAAAGTCCCCAAACATACACCCACCATTTGTAATTATATTAGTTTGATGACAAATTTTCTCAATATTATCCACCAAATCTATACATTAATTATGCATTCATATATACATACAATATATTTTAAATCCAAATTATCTAGCTTGATGAATTTCTTGTCTAAATCTACGATCCATATTGATTGTTGAGCAAAATATTTTTGATATTGATTGATGGTGTGTTTGCCTTAAATTAATAGAGACTTGGAGTTCAAAAAAGAATAGAGGACGTTATATGCTTTATCTTTACTTTATATTCATCTCCATGGTATGGGCAGTGGCCTATTAAGGCGCAAGGAGGTGCAGTTGCACTTTCCTTCGCCGGAAAAACCATTGTATGTGCTTCAAATTGCCCTTCTGCTCAGCTGCTGGTGGTGCACTCAATGTGTACAGATTACCTTATTTCCATTTTCAGCATTTCAGTAAATGTCTTTGTCCTTTTACTTTCATTTATTTTTGTATTACTCAATTTACTTAAGTTTACAATGTAAATAAGGAAGTACCCTCCATTTGGATTAAAAATACTAGAAAATCAAAATATGAAAAATCGATTTGAGTGCAAAATACAATTTAGGTTAAAAATGATGGCTCATTAAGTCAATATATATTTCATACTAAAATCCCATAAAATCAAGTTTTCTTATTTGATGTGTAAGGAATAAAAGCAACAAAAAATTATCTTGAGAAAATGATTCTTCCGAAAAATCATTTTTCATACTTAGTCAATATTTTTACATAAAACAATTTTTCATGTCTGATATGAACACATTAAGGGACCTAAGGTCAATCTAGGTAAAAGACCTAAATATTCAATCCACAAAGAGTTTTTAACCTTTCAAAATTGCACATCTGCAAAAAAATTCTTGGGTCCGCCAATGGGTATGGGGAGCCTCTCGACATCATTTTTTGGTAATCTTATATTATATGTAAGTTTGTTATCCTTTTCAATCTGATTCATCCTTTTGTTTCACAAAAAGGAAGCGAGGAAAAATGAAAATGCAATATTAGAAAGTGTATTATGTCCACTTTTGGTATGCAATATGTCATATAGACTTCCCTCTATGGGTTTTTAAGAAAAGCATATTCCACACTGGCCCTGTTGTTATATACAAAGATATTAATACATAGTAATATAATGTAAGGGGGACATCATCATGAATTTCTTTGCCAAATTATACACGATTAGAATAAGACCCCTTGCATGATTTTTATGTTCAGAAATCTCATTTCTGTACCATCGACTATATAAAAAATTGAGAAATATGACAGCAGAATATAACATCAATAGTACATATATTATTTTTATATTATTTAAGTTGTGTAAAGATTGGTGTTGTATTATATGAGTGTATTCACATCTCAATACGTACGCATGGTTGGCAGAGCATGTGAGTAAAAAATAATTAATTACTTAAATATGATATATTATATTCCCGTCAAAGGAATGAGCCATTGTCTCCCCTTGATGCACATCTCATGGAACCCACGTATACCTATCCTTTCTTTGTCCTCTCCCTCTCAGTCTTATCTTGAGAAATCCCAACTTAAATTATAATTTATGTGTGAAATTTTGAAAAACAGATTAATGATAAAACAAAAGTTAATGTGTGTTTTATTCCTGTTAAACATGTATTTAGGGCATGCATTATATTTATATATCAGTGTATGAACTCTTGAAAATGTCCACATCATCAATATGCATCACTAATTACCTACTAAAATTCTAATTACATGTAAAAATATTGCCTCGACCTCCATGCGTTGAGAGTGATTGGTCAAATTTTGAATGGTTTACCTACATATCCCTTAATTAATCCAAGATTACTTGCGCACACTTTGACATATTCTTGGATTTATAGAAACATTTAAATCAGGCTGCGTAAAGTCGTTTTAACTCTAATAAATCAATCGACGAAGCTCAATTTAATAGCTTACGTGTCAAAACTAGCTCGTAGAGTCGTAGATAAAACTTGTTCTTAATTACAAAATCAACTTGCAAGAGAACCATGCCCAAAAATCTTTTCTTTCTTCAATCGAAACTTACATATCAACTGAAACTTCTCTTACCTTTGAATGTGTAACTTAAAACTGAATTTTTCGGCACCATACAACTTTGTCCATCAATCGTCTCAATTTTTAATATCTTGAACTTTAATAATTGGAAGTTGGGAGGAAAGATATAGCCATGGATTCTTGGTAGCGACATTAGTTAAAGTTTGAACTCTTCCTTTTCCCACCTAATAAAAATATTGCTTCTCTCTGAATAATACAGAGTAAACCCACGCTCCATGCACATATAAATTATGTATAAAACTCCAAATGTCAGAATTATATACATTCTTTTATGCATAGAGAGATTCATTTTGTTCATCTCCAATTAGATTGATTGGTCACCACTACCATGTCTTGCATTCTCCCAAATTTTATTTCCCAAACAAATGGCAGCCCATTGTCCTTATTCTTCATAGTCAAATGTCGACACCTAATTCCTTGCAATGCATGCAACTTGTTTTTGACCCATTTGGAACAATATTTTTAGATGTGGTCCACCTAATGCCTACATTTATTCTTTCCTACTTGGACACGATAGGTACACACCCACATCTCCTAGCTCCCAAACATACATATATATATATATATATATATTATGTGTAGACTTGCGTAGAAAGCTATAGCTTGTCCTTGTTATTTAGTTTTCTATCTTTCTTTAGATGGGATGGGCACTAACAATTGGGGACTCATAACAAGACACCATATGACCAATACCAGAGGCGGCCCATTGGGTGTGCAAGGTGTGCGACTGTACAGGGCCCTTAAAATTTAGGGGCCTCCAAATTTTTCCAAGTCAACCCATTAAATTAACTAAAACATGAAAATAAAAATGAAATATAATATCACCCCACAACACCACATGCAAGGCACAAAAACCAAAATTGAATTGAATATTAATTATCAACAAATTCTACGACTTAGAGAGTAGATGCCCTAATTTAATTCATTTTCTTTTTCCCAACTCTCACGCTGCAACTATTCTTTTTATTTATTTATTATGGTTTGAAACCAATGTTTTCCTCTTCCCAACTCTCAAGCTGCAAAACCATTCTAATATTCTTTTCTATTTCAGTAAGTCTTTCTCACTCTCCTCCATCAAAATAAAGTCATTTCTCTTCAGTACCAGTGTACCACCATCTTCCATCAAATTTTGGATTGTACAAACCCAAGCTTTAGCCATTTCCCCAAAATCACAGTTCCCTCCCTTATTCACATAAGAATTCACCAAGCATTAAAATTGAAAAATCAATTTATCAGCTCTGTGATTTTGAAGGGTGACTAAAGAAATTTTTCTGGGAAGCTCTTTCCGAATGTGTTCTTCCCGTGTCAGAAATTTTTGTTTCTATATGGATTTTTTTTTCCAACTTGTATATATAGGGCCTCGACATCCATATTTGCACAGGGCCTCCAAAATCAATGAACCGGCTCTGACCAATACCAAGAGAAATTGATCTTGCGTTTTAAGTGATTGGGGTGGGGTGTCTCAGAAAACACTCTGTTTTGTGACAAATGTTGCTCCCACTATGTTTTAAGGTTGGGCTCGGTTTGAAGTTCGATGGTATGGGGATAGTGAAACCGAATCTGGTTGGATTAGGTTGACCGGTTTGAAATGTTCAACCCTACTCTGTTATGTACCTAATAATTGGCCAATGGTAACCCTGGAGCGATAATATGGGTGTGATCAAATCCCGTTTACATAAAAAAATCAAGGACCACATAGGCTTTGACGCGTGGAAGACGAGTACAGGCCCAACACTGGCATTGGAGCACTTAAGCCCAGTATTGTCGTGCCACGTTAGTAAGTCGTAGCAAGAAAAAATTGTGGATTGTAACCCACTTAACCAGCACAACGAATCTCCAAATCTGACGAGCTATCCCCTCGCATGCGAGCCTCTAATGACATGTCCGCTACTAAAAAAAACTAAGCCCAACTCTCAAGCCAATGCATGAACCACTTAATCAAGCCCAAATTGCAGATTCCGTCAAATTAATTGATGTAGATAATATGCAACTACTACATGTGAGGACACTTTTATCGCTTCAAAATATTTGTAATGACCCGAAAATGTGATAATTTCATCAATCTTTCTTACGAATTTAGCTTGCAGGGCTCGAATTAAACTTCAACACTGTAATTTTCAAAGTTAAACCGACGAGAATGAAAGTGGAAAAGATGTGAAATGTAATAGTGTAAAAAGTTGGATTTATGAATGAAGTCAAAATGTTAGATTTCATGTTAGAAAAAGAAGTTTCTTTTTGATTTTCACATCGTAGGGGCAGCAATTAAAAATAAATAATTAAAAAGGCAGACAACCAAGTTCCATGAATCCGTAGCTCAGCTGATCTGTCCCTCACTTACGCGCCATTTGGGAAGCGTGGGACGGCAGCTTTTCATTTTTGAAAAAGTCCGGGAGATGCGGCTCTGGAGATAATAGATTGATACTAATTTCCAAAATAAAATACAATAATTTTGACGCAATAAATAAACCAGATTGGGAAAATTGGAAAATTGGCATAAACGACAGGTAGGCCCGATTTTAACGCCTCTCCTCCTCTTCCTCCTATGTCGTACAATAATGCGTCACACAAATATATCACACGACAGTCAACATACTTTACTCTGAACCACTAACTGTCGTTTTCTATCACCCTCTCTCTCTCTGGCTCTCTCCCTATCACAGAGATTAACATTTCTGTAGAAATTATAGCAGCACACAAAAATACCACTTACAGAAAAAAGAAAAAAAGAAAAAAAGAAAAAAAGAAAAAAAGAAAAAAAGAAAAAAAGAAAAAAGTAGAAGAAAAGAGGAAAGGTCATATTTAGACGGACAAGACAAGAATAATCAGAGGAATATATTGGACCTTGTTTCTTTTGAGAGAGAAAATAGAAAGAGAGAGTGGCCGTTGCAACGGCCACCTTCACCCCTCACCCTCCACCTCAACATTTCTGGCTGGAATTGCAAGTCAATGTAAAATTTCATCTCAATCAATCCATCATTCCTCTCTTTCTCTTTCCCCCAAAAACAAACAATATCCCATCCCCCACTTTCTCTCCATTTTCTCGGGAAAAAAAACAAAACAGAAAAAAAAAGAGACGCCTCCCCAAAAAAGAAAAAACCCAGAATTTTTTGTGTGATTTTCCCAGCCTCCAATTGGCCTGGCCTGCTGCATCACCATCGTTTTCACCATCAATTTTGTGTTTTTCTGGGTGCCCAAACGGTGGTGATTGCTGGGCATGAGGTAGATTTTTTTATAAAAAATATTTATTTAATTCTTGAGTTTTCAGTTTTTCATTTTCTTTTTGTTCGATTGTAGAGTTTTCCATTTCGAGGGTGGTTTGGGAAACTTGAAATTATTGTACTTTGAAGATGCAAAACAATATATTTACCACAATGCGTAGCTTGAAGATCATGGATGGGTGTAAAGGAACTCAAGTTTTCGCCATTAATCCTTCGGGAACCACCACCACCACCAACAATGGCGGTAGTGGTGGTGGTGTAGGAGACAAGCTTCTTCATCACCTCCAAGACCATCTCCGGGTCAACTCCACTCGATCCAGATCGAGCCGGAGCAACTTGAGTTTCCAATCCCCAAACCCAATCGGCAACAATCTCGTGCTGGAGACTCTTCTCCCCTATGGCCTTCCCTCTTCCGATCTCCTCGAGCCCCAAATCGAACCCTCCCTCAAGTCCGTCGATTTTGTCGAAACCCTAGCTGATGTCTACCGTAGGATTGATCATTGCCCCCAATTCGAGAAATCCAAGATGTATATGGAGCAATGTGCTATATTTCGGGGTCTGTCCGATCCAAAATTGTTCCGACGGAGCCTCCGGTCGGCCAGGCAGCACGCGGTGGACGTACACACGAAGGTGGTGCTAGCTGCGTGGTTGAGGTATGAGAGGAGAGAGGACGAGCTTATTGGGTCGTCGGCAATGGATTGCTGTGGTAGAAATGTGGAATGTCCTAAGGCTAGTTTAGTTTCTGGGTATGACCCTGAATCTGCTTTTGAGTCTTGTATGTGTTCTCGGGCCCCTGGCGGGGAAGAAGATGACACACCTCGCCGGGAAGAAGATGACACTCCTCGCGGGGATGAAGATGACGATGATTTTGTGATGGTGGGGGATGAGGAATGTTCGACTTCGGAGGAGGATGGTAATATGTCGTTTTGTATTGGAGATGCTGAGGTTAGGTGTGTAAGATACAAAATTGCCTCGCTTTCGATACCTTTTTATGCAATGTTGTATGGTAACTTCAAGGAGAGGCGAAGGGAGAAGATAAATTTCACGCAGAATGGGATCTCTGTGGAGGCAATGAGAGCAGTGGAGATTTTTAGCAGGACTAAGAGAGTAGATTATTTTGATGTGAGGATTGTTTTGGACCTTCTCTCTTTTGCAAACAGGTTTTGTTGTGATGATATGAAGTCTGCTTGCGATTCTCATTTGGCATCTCTGGTTTGTGAACTGGAGGATGCAATGCTGCTTATTGACTATGGATTGGAGGAGACTGCTCATCTTCTAGTGGCAGCTTGTTTGCAGGTGTTTCTGAGAGAGCTCCCCAGTTCATTGCATAATCCTCATATGATGAGATTATTTTGTAATTCAGAAGCAAGGCAAAGATTGACTATGGCAGGGCATGCTTCTTTTATTTTGTATTATTTCCTCAGCCAGATTGCCATGGAGGAAGATATGAGATCGAACACGACGGTGATGCTTCTAGAGAGGCTGGGAGAGTGTGCCACAGAAAGTTGGCAGAAGCAACTTGCATTCCATCAGTTAGGTGTGGTGATGCTTGAGAGGAAAGAATATAAAGATGCTCAGTGGTGGTTCGAAGCAGCTGTTGAGGTTGGTCATATTTATTCCTTGGTGGGTGTTGCAAGGGCCAAGTTCAAGCGTGGTCATAAGTATGCAGCGTACAAGCAGATGAACTCTCTCATTTCTGATTATACACCGGTTGGGTGGATGTATCAGGATCGATCTCTGTATTGTATTGGAAAGGAAAAGATGATGGATTTGACGACTGCTACTCAATTGGATCCAACTCTATCTTATCCATACAAGTTAAGGGCTGTTTGTCTGTTGGAGGAGAACCAAATTGAAGCAGGTATCACAGAGATCAACAAGATAATTAGTTTCAAGGTCTCCCCTGATTGTCTTGAATTGCGGGCTTGGTTTTCAATTGCCCTAGAAGATTTTGAAGGAGCTCTCAGAGATGTCCGAGCACTCTTGACTTTGGACCCAAATTACATGATGTTTCATGGAAAAATGCACGGTGACCATCTGGTAGAGCTGCTCCGCCCTCTTGTTCAACAATGGAGTCAGGCTGATTGTTGGATGCAACTATATGATCGATGGTCCTCTGTTGATGATATTGGTTCTCTAGCTGTTGTACATCATATGTTGGCAAATGACCCTGGGAAGAGCCTTCTACGCTTTAGGCAATCTCTCCTTCTGTTACGGTAAGCAGGAGAAAGTGGCACTTTACTTCGATATTCTCAGTTATACTGCATTTTCTTTATTATTTTCTTTATTTTATTTTTTCTGTTGATTATAATTCTGTACCTTCTTTTCTTTGTTAATATGCATATTACCATTTTCCTGTGAAGGTCTTAATCCAGGCCATAACATCTTAAGTTCTTGACACTTGTAGAACTTAATTCACTTTTGATTAATTGGAATTGTATGTGCCAACTGACTATCTGCCTATATTGCATGCTGGCAGAACTCTAAGCCTCTTCTGATCCTAAGATGTATCATACAGAAGAAATAAGCCATTTAATCCAATTGTTAGTGCTTTTTGGTTGTCCTTAGTTGCTATATTGTTCTGTTTTAGCAGCATCTCTGATGTTCCTGAAATTCGCAGGTTAAATTGTCAAAAGGCTGCTATGCATAGTCTGCGGTTAGCTAGAAATCATTCTAGTTCTGAGCATGAACGGCTTGTCTATGAAGGATGGATATTGTATGACACTGGTCATCGTGAAGAAGCTTTGGCAAAGGCAGAGGAGTCCATTTCTATCCAGAGATCATTTGAAGCATTTTTTCTTAAAGCGTATGCTTTAGCAGACTCAAGTCTTGATTCTGAGTCCTCAACATATGTGATCCAGCTTCTGGAGGAAGCACTTAGATGCCCTTCAGATGGCCTTAGAAAAGGACAAGTAAGTTTCATCCTTAGAATAACTTTTTGGTCCTGATATTCTGAACTTCAATTTTATTCAGATTGTTAACTCTGTTATCCTGCAGGCACTAAATAATTTAGGAAGTGTGTACGTAGATTCTGATAAGCTGGATCTTGCTGCTGACTGCTACACAAATGCACTCAACATTAAGCATACACGAGCACATCAGGGTCTAGCACGAGTATATCATCTTAAAAATCACCGCAAAGCTGCATATGATGAGATGACGAAGCTGATAGAGAAGGCGCGAAACAATGCATCAGCTTATGAGAAACGTTCAGAATACTGTGACCGTGACATGGCAAAAAATGATCTAAGTACGGCTACACAATTAGATCCCCTGAGGACGTATCCATACAGATATAGGGCAGCAGGTATGTTGTTACTATGGTTCTTGTTTGTTTAGTACACGGCTTTTAAATTGGAAGTCACTGTTTATAGTTAGTGCTGGGAGGTGAAACTGCATCAATGGTGATATTGTTACTATATAAATATACAGAAATGATCATTATTGATTCCAAGTCCTTGGGCCTTAATTTAGTTATCAGCTGTTATGCGTCAAATGAATCACCTAGAAACTAGAATCTACACATAGCTAGGTTTTCAAGCTGATGAGCCGGTGATCCATTCTGTTGGCTGGAGTTTCAATTGCTATGGAATTGAACAGTTTGGAGGGCTTTATTTCAGGTCCTTAGAACTGAGTTTTTTTTCCCCTTTCTCTTTTTCAATCACCATTGTTTAAGTTTTTTCTGTCCAAACATTTTGACTCGTTTTCATTGAGCCTAAGGTGCATGTCTATCTGGGCATTCCCCCTCGTGCCCAATGTTTGAAGTTGTATTATACACAATAGCTAACTAGTACATCTCTGTTTTATTGTTCTGCAGTAGGATTTGAAATGAACACTGACAGTTTAAATAGAAATCAGTATCCTGATTCCTGATGTATTTGGCAACATGAAATTTTTCATTAAGTGACCAAACTTACTATTAAAGAAGGAAGTATATCATTTAAGATAGAAAAAGAAAAAAAATAAGAAACTGAACATTTTCATTTTGACATTCTGGTGGAACCTAGGTGTGGTCTGTTATATGCTTCATATAATTATGTTATCAGTTGTACAGTGGTGACCCCTTGAATTCCTTAAGAAAAGTATCTATGGGTGTGTGGAAAACATTCTGAACTAACATGGAAATTATGGCGACCAGTTTTGATGGATGACCACAAAGAAGCAGAAGCTATAGAAGAACTAAGTAAAGCCATTTCTTTCAAACCGGACCTGCAGCTGCTACATCTTCGAGGAGCATTTCACGAATCAATGGGTGACTTTGTCTCCACTGTGCGAGACTGTGAAGCAGCCCTCTGTCTTGATCCCAACCATGCTGACACTCATGATCTCTATGGTAAAGCACGGGAGCGCGTTAATGAACAACTGAAGTGAGAGAATCACAGAGCCATTATTCTTTAATGTATGGAGGCAATCATGCTGTTGCTACCTGATTCTTTTAATGTGGAAAAGGCCAGCAATTGTCAGCATAGGTGCTCCTTTGGATTTTGTCTCTAGAAATCTACAATTGTAGATTTCCATGGCTTGAAGAGTGGAAGCCAGGAAAGAATTTGGATTCATGAGGAAGGAAAGTAGAGGAGCAAGATAGCATGTAAATATCAACTGTTTATTGATTGGATCAATTTATTTAAGTAGAGCAGAGACCTGCTGCTGCTACTGTCTGATATACTACTCCAGCAAAGACGGGAGCAGAAGTAAACCACGGCGAAAAGAATCTTGTACATGATATGTAAGCTTGTGATGCGTGTTTGTCCAATTTAGATGTCTACTTTGTGTTGTTTTCGGCCAACCGGTTTGCAATGTGTTCTAATCTTTGTCATTCTGTTCTCTCATTCGTTGTATAACCTTCATGGTTTTCCATTATGACCGACACGAAAATGATTTATTTTTACAGAGGCTTAATGGGGCCAAATTCAAAGCCAGTTCTGCATTTTCCACTTTTTGAAGACTCTTTCCTATTTAATTTCCCCTTCAATTTATTAATAGTTTTGGTATCATCTAGGCAATGCATAAAATGAGATTTTGAGGCCTTTTATTTGATTTTAAAGCAAGAAATTTGACACCAGGCAGTGATGTTGAAGTAGTGAACTGCCAATGACTTCGAAACAAAACATCCCTACATTGCCCTATTTGGTGCCCTACACTTCTGTTTGACTGGAGAATGTAGGTGGATAAATCCAATGGGGTTGAACTGGTCCCTTCAATTTCATAGGAAAGGGCCTTTCTACCTTATCACCTGTGACCATTTTAAAGTGAAAATCAGTGTTAAACGGACCGCACGAGATACCCATAAAAGTCCAACTGTCCTTCAATTATATTATTCAACTGCCCCTAACATTTCTCATTCACCTACAGCTTTAGTTCTTCCAATATATGCTCTCCTGCAAGTAAAAGTTGAAGATTCAAAATGTCCTAGAATGCTGAACTTCAATGTACCACTGCTCTCAACCAGGCGCCTTGCAAACTCCGGCAGCGTAGATTTACAAGGCGCATCGCTGAGCACGAGTGACAGAATTCCGTTTTCCTGGGAACAAGTTCCTGGCAAGCCCAAGGACTTGAACATAAGTGATGATGTCGATGATGGGGACACACCTCGACCCAAGCTACCTCCAGGCTGGTGGCGCCGGCCTCATGATCTCGATGATGGATGTGAGGGCGATGATGATTTTGATGATGATGTTGGTGACGTTGATGGCGATATTGACAACGTTGATTACAGCAACGATGCTTTCTCAGATGCCATAGATGTGTTCTCATTGTCAGAGGCAATAGACATTGTGGAAAAGAAAGCACAGAGAGAACATGAAACAACAGGTAGTTTGAGGTTAAAGCTTGCAGAAGAGTCAAGGGAGATGAACCAAAAGTGCTCAAATTTCATAATCGAGCGGTTTCTTCCAGATGCCACTGCATTGGCTGCATCATCTGCTCTACAGCTAAATGTGTCCCAGATCAGTTCAAGCAATGAGCTTTGTTATCCATGTAATTATCCAGAGCCAGAGGCTTGTGTTTCAAGAACAGTCTGCAGGCAATCGTACTCTTCACCTAAGGGTTGTGGCTTGCATGTTTTCTTCCCTTGGCGCATGAAGCACAAGCTCTGTGGAATTAAGAGCCCTGTCAGTGCACAAGCTCATTGCAGTGTAAAACACAAGAAACATAGATCATAAGTAGCTAAAAGGCTAATTAAGTAATTAGAACTTGATGTATAGTAATAGTATGATTATGAAATTTTCTTCTTTTTGATGCTTTTGTTTCTATTTGTCAAAAAGTTTTACTTACATTCTGCTTATTGGTTTGATCTGATGGTGCAGAGAAATTAACTGCAATCTCATTTAAATCTCCATATAATTTTTATGTTCCATATTGATATGGATGAATTGGTACTTATGCTGGTAATTATGAAATTTTAATTTCAGATTATGGACAAACATCAAATTCCTTATTATAATTTAAGGTCACCAACAAAGGCTGGCTATTATTCACTAAGACATTTTCTACTCAAATCCAAATGTTGCTCATCAAACCATGGCTTGGCATTCATTAACATATACAAAATACAAATAGAGTGAATCATATCTTTTGGAAAAGTAAGAAAATGTGTATTCAAAAGCGCATTCTCTTATGGTCCTCGAATTGCCAATGGTGCAATGATGTAAGTTCATTGTTTGTGGTCATTGAATTTGCAACGTTGCATGTACGTGCACTATTGGTAATTCAATAATGTATAGCCACATTTTTCTTATGTATGTTTTTGAATGATCGTTGTAATTCCATTGTATTTATCTCAATTTTTTTTTTCCTAAACTGCATGATTATTCAAATATCTTAAATACAGTAGTGGTTTTGGAAATGTGGGAGATTTGACTATCTACCAAAAAAGTTTATATGATATTTTTTTTTATGTGTAAAATGTATATACTTATATTATATTTTTCGAAAAAAAAGAAACAAAAAAAAAAAAAAAAAAAAAAAAAATTTATTTGATCTTTCTGAACGGTACGCTGTCGGCACGAACCAACCATTCACACGTGGGAGATTTAAAAAAATCCTAGGGTTTTCAAGGGCGGTGAACCCGGGCAGCCTCGGGCAGGCACACACCCCTGCCCGCTGGTTCTTATTTCAGAAACTTTGGTGACCACCTCTCCTCCCTCCCGCTTCTTCCAAGCATTCGAAATATAAACCATTATATAAATCGCCGATAAATTCTTTTTCATTCATACGCTCTCTTCCTCAATCTCTCTCTCTTCTCTCTTGCTCTCTGTGTGCTCTGCTTTGTCTCTACGCAACGTGCAGAGGGGAGGTGAAGTGCTCGCTTGCTCTTCCATTTGTTCTTCGAGTAGGGTTTTAGAGCCTTACTCGCGCGCGCTGCTTCATCGGCTTCTACTTGGGGTATCTCTCTCTTTCTAATCTCAATCTATGCTGTTTGGTTTGCATTTCTGGTAATAGATCTGCTGCTTTTGTATGTTTCTACTTGTTTTTGGTCCCCTAGGTTTTGTGCTCCGCTCTAGTATTTGCTGTGTGAAATGCGATTTGGGTTTTATTTAGTCTAATGCGGTTCCTTAGGGTTTCAGTATTCAGGATCTTACTTGTTGTTTTCAATCGAATAGTGCATGTCATGGATTGTGTTATGTTTGGGGTTTTGAGGATTTAAGCTGTTTGTTCGTCTACATTTCTTTCCTTTTGTTTATTTGGGTTGTCTTTCTTACTCTTAAGCGATTTGAAATGTAATAAATGGTTATGAGTGAGGTTATTTTATATTACAACTTAGTTTAAATCATTTTAAATTGTTTATCTGGAAATCTGAATGAAAAGAAGAGGGAAGATGAGGAGATTTTTCTATGTTTCTCACATGATGCTTTGTTTCTGAGTTTTAAGGAATTAAGCTTCTGGCTTAGAAGTTTCTGATGTCATGGTTCTGGTACCTCAGAAACTGAATTTGGCCAGTTAGTTAGGAATTTGGATCAATCGGGTGATGCTTGAATCACCTTTGGTATAGAAGAGAAAAAGACATGAGTTGCAATTTTATGTAATTTTAGTGCAAGTTATGGTTTGGGTTGTCATGTTAGTTGTATTTGGAGGTTTTTGTTTCTCTCTACAGTTGCTGCTTTTATGCTTGATCATTCTTTTCACTGCCCCTTGCAATGTGTATGTCCTCTATTGATTTAGCAAATTTTCAAGTAGATTTATTAATTTATTTAGTTTTCATTTTTGTAATCTTTAGTCAATGACATACTGTATAGCCTCAAGAAATCATTGGTTTCAACTCAATCATTATTGTCTGTTTATATATTCTTATGTATCTTTTTTGTGGTTTCTTTTGTTGTAGGAAATAAATGGCTATGGAGATTACTCAGTTTCTATTGGCAGCTCAATCAGCTGATGCAAGAATTCGTACTGAAGCAGAGGCTAATCTTAGGCAATTTCAAGAGCAAAATGCTCCTTCTTTTCTTCTGTCTTTGTCAGTTGAGCTTGCAAACAATGAGAAACCCACTGAATCCCGTACGTTGGCTGGTATAGTGCTTAAGAACTCATTAGATGCCAAAGATGCTGTTACAAAAGAACATCTTGCTCGACAATGGATGACTATTGACATTTCTATTATATCCCAAATCAAGGACTTGCTCTTAAGGACGCTTGGGTCACCTGTGTCAGAGGCAAGACACACCTCTGCCCAAGTTATTGCGAAAATTGCTTCTATTGATATTCCCAGGAAACAGTGGACTGGCCTAATTGGATCTTTGCTTAACAATATGACTCAGCGAGATAGCCCTGCTGGTTTGAAACAGTCAACCTTGGAAACACTTGGTTATGTATGTGAGGAGATATCCCATCAAGATCTTGGGCAAGATGAGGTGAACAATGTTCTTACTGCTGTAGTCCAAGGAATGAACCTTGCTGAAAACAGCCCTGAAGTCCGTCTTGCTGCAACAAGGGCTCTATATAATGCCCTGGAGTTTGCACAGACCAACTTTGAAAATGAGATGGAACGGAATTACATCATGAAGATGATCTGTGAGACGGCCTTGTCTAAGGAGGTAGATATTAGGCAGGCTGCTTTTGAGTGTCTTGCTTCAATTGCTTCAAGGTACTATGAGGTGCTTGAGCCTTATATGCAGGCTCTCTTTGAGCTTACGTCAAATGCTGTAAAGGGGGATGAAGAGGCCGTTGCCCTCCAAGCAATTGAGTTTTGGAGCTCCATTTGTGATGAAGAAATAGAGCTTCAAGAATTTGAGAGTGGTGAGAGTGGGGACTCTGTGCCTCATTCACGTTTTATAGAAAAAGCTCTGACGTCTCTAGTTCCAATGCTGCTGGAAACTTTGCTGAAACAGGAAGAAAATCTAGACCAAGATGACAACATTTGGAATATTGCAATGGCTGGCGGGACATGCCTAGAACTTGTTGCGAGGACTGTTGGGGATGCCATTCTACCTCTTGTAATGCCATTTGTGGAGGCTAACATAGTGAAGCCAGATTGGCACTGTCGCGAGGCAGCCACATTCGCATTTGGCTCAATCATTGAAGGCCCAACCATTGAGCAGCTATCTGGTCTAGTCCATGCAGGTTTAGATTTCCTGCTAAGATTAATGAAGGATGAAAACAACCATGTCAAAGACACTACTGCTTGGACTCTCAGTCGTATATTTGAGTTTTTGCACCATCCTGCTCGGGGATTTTCTGTGATTTCTCCTGATAACCTTCCAAGGGTGGTGGAAGTATTGTTGGAAGGCACAAAGGATGCTCCAAATGTTGCAGAGAAGGTCTGTTGCGCCATTTATCACCTTTGCCAAGGGTATGAGGAAGCAGGAACCTCTTCCTCCCTCTTTACTCCATATGTCCCAGCCATCATTGAATGTCTTCTTTCCACTGCTAGTCGTCCAGATGGGGATGATTCTAGATTGAGGTCTACTGCATATGAATCAGTGAATGCGGTCGTAAGGTGTTCCAATATTGTAGAAACATCACAAATTATAGTTCAGCTACTCCCTGTGATCATGAATAAGTTGGGTCAGACTTTGGAGCTTCAGATTGTATCGTCAGATGACAAGGAAAAGCAAGGAGACTTGCAAGCTTCTTTTTGTGGTGTCCTCCAGGTTATCATTCAGAAACTTAGCAGTGTTGAGGAAACTAAGCGCTTTATATTGGAGGCAGCAGATCAGATAATGCTTTTGTTTCTTAGAGTGTTTGCTTGCCGTAGTTCTACAGTGCATGAGGAAGCAATGCTTGCTATAGGTGCACTGGCTTATGCAACTGGGTCTCATTTTGAAAAGTACCTGCCTGAACTGTACAAGTATTTGGAGATGGGGTTGCAGAATTTTGAGGAGTATCAAGTCTGTGCTATCACAGTTGGGGTGGTTGGTGACATTTGCCGTGCCTTGGATGACAAGGCATTACAGTACTGTGATGGGATTATGAATCACCTGATGAAAGACTTGTCTAGTGAAGCGCTCCACCGGTCTGTCAAGCCTCCCATATTCTCTGTCTTTGGCGACATAGCTCTCGCAATAGGAGAACATTTTGAGAAGTATACACCTTATGCAGTGCAGATGATGCAGGGAGCTGCGGAGCTTTGTGCTCGGATGGACTCCAGTGCTAATGATGATGAGTTATTGGAATATGGAAACCAGCTAAAGTGTAGCATCTTTGAAGCTTATTCTGGTATACTTCAGGGCTTTAAGAATTCAAAGCCTCATGTCATGCTGCCATATGCCCAACATATCCTGCAGTTTGTTGAATTGGTCTTAAGGGAGACGCACAGGTATCATCCTCTCTCTCTCTCTCTCTCTCTATATATATATATATATATATATATCCAGATGTATCAAATATATTGCCCCTAAATTTCTGGCTTTGCCGGTTTGGAATCTGTTTTCTTCCTATCTGATTGTCCTTGTTTTACAGGGATGACAGTGTGACAAATGCTGCAGTTGCTGCATTGGGTGACGTTGCAGATGTACTTGGCCCAAACATTAAGCAGCTGTTTGGGGACCTTGCATTCATTGATGCCTTTTTGCAAGAGTGCCTTCAATCCGATGATGAACAACTCAGGACAACGGCAGCTTGGACTCTGGAGAGGATTAGGCGCATCATGGAGTCATGAGAAGTGGCTGGTTCTTTTGTGAGTAAATGATATTTTCTGTCTAGTATTAGTATTCAGCGCGGCCTAATGGACACAGGTTCTGTACTTCTGAGATTTCGTAGAAAACCATCATCATTGAAGCCAGTATGAAGGTGGCTTTTCTTATGTTTTTGAACTCTCTTAATTGTAATACATCCACTGATCAGTGGTTTGATGGGTCAATTTTTATGTTCTCCTTCAGTTTTTCTCATGCTTCTTTACTCATACTGCTATACAACTTCATATTCTACGACAATGCTTAGAAGCCCCAAACGACATTTGACTTCCTAGTTTGCATCAAATCAAATGCTTAATGAACTTAGAATAGAGCTCTGATAATTTTTGTTATAGCTTAAGAATTAAAAAACTTCTATATATAATTGATTGGACAATGAATTTTAGCCAAATGTTACAATGTTTGATTTGAATTGAATCTCCCCTAATAATAAATCAGAAATAAAAAGAATAGGGAGCAAAAATTGAAAGCGTAAAACCACTGCTATCTGCCACCGCTCATGGAACTGCAAGAGATCCCACCTACGGATGATGACTGATACGATGTGATTGTATCAGTCGAAAGGAGCTGCATAAATCTTGCGTTCGTTTCACTGATCCGTCCAGAATCAACAATGCTCCAGTTGTCTATTTCTGGGAGCTCCTCATCCTCGTGGAGATATCGTACCACTTGTCTCATTGTAGGCCTACCGTCTGGTCTGTAGTGAGAGCAAATCAAACCCAGCTCCAGCACCAACTTCATCTCCTTAACAACATAATTCGAATCCAAGTTTGGATCAACGGTTTCGAGTATGCGATCCTCTTGATGCTTCTCCATCACCCAATCCGCCAGAATGAATTCGCCTGAGCCGATAGGTCTTTGCCCACAAGCCACTTCAAGGAGCAAAACCCCATATGCGAACACATCAGAGCATGTGGAGGCCTTCCCTGTGCGAGCCAATTCAGGGGCAATGTACCCAATTGTACCAACCACACCTGTGGTGTGTGATATTTCCCCATGATCATAGAGCCTGGCAAGACCAAAGTCGCTTAGCCGGGGGTTCATGTCTGCATCTATCAAGACATTGCTCGACTTCACGTCCCTGTGAATCACCACTTGCTCCCATTCTTCATGTAGATACAACAATCCGGAGGCAATGCCTTTGAGGATGTTGAATCTTTGCTCCCAGCTCAATACAAAGTTGCCTCTGGGCTCGAAAATGAGTGTGTCAAGGCTTCCATATGGGATGTAATCGTAGACTATAAGGAGGTTGTTCTTTTTCTTGCACCAGCCTTGGAGATGGACCAAATTCTTGTGCCTCAATCGTCCCAAGCTCTCGATTTCTGCCGCAAATTCCCTCATTCCTTGAATGGAATTTCTTGTGATCTTCTTAACTGCAATTTCACATCCAGTAGAAGCTAAGTCACCTTTGTAAACTTCACCAAAGCCGCCGGCTCCAATCACACCAGAGGCTTTGAAACCCTTTGTTGCTGCATGAAGATCCTTGTACTTGAACCTGTGAGGACAATCCAGCTCCCAATCCTCAAGACTCTCAGACTCAAATCCCACCATTTTTCTATACAAGGTAAAGAAGAACAAAATTCCCAACAACACGAAGACCACAACCGATAAGGCCACGATAAGAGCCTTAATCAGGGGTTTGTAAGAGGATGAACTTTTCTCTTTTGGTGGGTTAGGAAGCTGGGAAAGGTTGAGTTGACTTGGCATCCCATCCACTGCAAAACTCCATGCTATTATGTAATGAGAGCTTACCTCTTTCCCTGTGGATGCAGAGAAGCCGGCATACATAGTCTCTTGAAGAGTAGGGGATAGGTTGACATGATGGGACAATAGTGGTTTCTCTGGTTTGTTCTTATCTATGGGAGCTATTGTGACATTCACAATTTGAGTTTTTCCATCATAATCTATCCAAGCTTGGATAAGATCACCGCTCTCCAAGTTGATTTCTTCTTTGTGGGCACCTGCGACAAAGTAAGCAGCTGGTTCAGATGCCACAGAGTACACACTGTTAATGTTGATGCCAACATGGTTTCCTGCAGTGTTGGAGTTTTCCTTGAACCCGTTTACCGTATCGAATTCAACAGCAAAGATGTGGTTCGAAGAGCTATTGTCATTTTTAGAGTTGAAAATCCCAAGGAAGTGCCCGGGTTCAGCCCCGGGGAACCGTGGAGAGGGAGCCAGTGTGAAGGCTAGGCCAAAGCCACCTTTGTCGGGGCTTGATGAGACTATTGCAAAAACAAAATGTGTGCTGAAAGAAGCATTGGGGTATGAAGAAGAGTTTTTGTCGAACATGGTTATGGGTTTGTCATAGAATGCATGGCCTATAATATTATGTGTTTTGTTAGTGAGCCTGATCATACCGGAGGGCTTGACTATAGAAGCCCCCTCCAGGGTCAGATTTGATTCACTTCCATTGAACCCATTGAACAGGAATTCAACTCCCTGAACCAGAGAGCAAATGGGAAACAAGAAGACAAGGAACAAGGCTAAAGAAACTGCTAAAGCCATTGAAGTTTTGAGCTGAGAAATTGCAGATTAGAGCAAGTCGAAAGACCTTAATGTAGCTGAGGAGTGAGAGGAAGGTGAAGGACTTGAATTGGTCAAGGTTTTGAGACTGTTGTCTGTCCTAAGCTGAGGGCCAAGGCAGCAACAAAGGTAAACAACCCTGCCAATAGGGAACTGAGATTTCTTGAGGCACTTTGCAATTAATTGTCCAAGAGATAATGGAATTATATATAAATGTTCATTTACCGCGTTGGGAGGTGTTCTGAATGTTCCAAGATAAAAAGACTTAAACGAAATTATTGACCAACTGATAATGGCATGTTGGATTATTATTATTGGCTCCATTGACTTGCTCAACCTTTAACAATTAACCCTCTTATGATAAGTCATGGAAGAAAAGGACTTGAGTGATTATCAACATTTCTCCAGTATTTTAGTGGCTATAGATCCTTCTGTCTACTCTGTGACAAAATGACCGCTAACTATAAATTTATAGCCTTGACTCTTAAGGTACATTGAACATTTGGAGAGCGAGAATGCAACAACACAGAGAAAGAAGGGACTAAGAAGAAAAAAAAATTTGAAATTATAATATCTGGACATGTGGGTGGGCTTTTTGCACTCTCAACTTGTAGCAAAACTTTATTGTAACGGGAATATCACTGTTTTGTTATTTATTACCGGCCAATAATGCAATGACACGTAGAAAAGCCCGCTTGTCATTGCATTATTGGCCGAGTTAGCAAAAAGTGCTATATCTGTTGCACGAAAATCTCTCTCCTCAACCTGGGCTCTTAGGAACTGTGTTAGTAGGAAGAAGAATTTTGTAAATAAAAAAGATGAAGAAGAAGAATTTATTATATGTTAAGCTGATTCCTCTTGATGCAAGAAAGGAATTTTTTTTTCTTTCAATTATTTGTTTTTCTACTAAAAGCAGGTTATGAAATGAAATGTAGACTTTTTAATGTTCACAGAATAGAATGTCTTAGAACTAAAATAGGCAAAAAGCAAGCAACAATTAAAGATTAACCCATTGAAACCATGTAATTGTTTTTCACTTTTTAATACTATTTTTAGTACTATGTTTAGACTAATTAATTAATGCAGATTATTATATTTGAGTGGCTTTTGTTGACCCAAGAGCCAGGAATCTCAATAATTGAAGACCATTGCAATCTTTTCTCCTCTCCCGTGTCCAAAGTCAAAGTTAACTATGCTCTATGCGTGTGTGATCACTAGGCTTAGGCAACGCCACGAGGATTGATTTCAGAGCTGGATGTGAAATGACTCAAATGACCAACCAACCCAAATGCACTCACATTGGAATGTTCCATAGAAAGGGTCCCCAAACGACCATTGAAATTCTTTGGCTACCGTTGAAAACTGCAAGTTGAGCATCTTTTTTTCTTTCTTGGGTTTTCTTTTTTGTTGGTTTTGTTTGTCTGAGTTGAGTTCGTTTTCTTTTTGCATCCTCACACCAGTCCGTACTATGATCGATACTTTGATAAATAAAATCAGAAAACTGGTAACTTGCTGTCATTTTTCTCAATTATCTATCAAGCTAGCAGGCTATATGTTAGGATATCTAAATCAGGCAAGTATACAGATTAATATGATACTCAGCATCCCATTGCTACAATCATCCAGTTTGCGAAAAAATAATCAGATTGACTAAAGGTTTCAATTTGAAGAAATTCTATCTAACGATCTGCATGAACATGCTTAAAATGACTTGGCATAAAATCTTTTTTGTTTCGACCAAACGATACGATTGAAGATTACCCGCTGTTGTTTGCTCTAAACCTCCATGTCTTAATTAAGCCATGAATTATGATAACAAATGATTAACTTTCAATTACATTTCAATGGTTCATCATACACTGCTTTCTGCAATGACACCAGCAAAGAACGGAACCAATTAACAGGGTTTCCCATAGCTTTTTGTACTCACATGGCTCAAATCCAAAACTCACAAATCAAATTAGCATGTGAACAGAGATGTTCAATACATTTTTCTGTATAAAAATAATCCTGCAATAATATTGGAGGCTGGGACAGCGACCGCTGTGAAGCTCTGCACATGATAAACGAAGCATAAATATAATATATGTCAACATCTTGATGGTTTATCTTAGGGTTTTTTTGTAGCAATAGTCACTCAACTATACTTGAAGTTACATTTTGGTCACTTAACTCTAAAAATAGTTACAGAGGTCACTCAATTAGGTGTTATGTTACACTATTAGTCCCTACTGTTATAGAGACTTGACGGTAGGGACTAATGGTGCAACACAACACCTAATTTAGTGACATTTGTAACTATTTTTTGGAGTTGAGTGATCAAAATGTAACTCCGAATATAGTTGAGGGACCATTGCTACAAATAACCTTTATTTATTTATTTTTTGTTATTTCGTTTTTATAAATATTTGGAATGAATTTCCAAGTTTACCCATAGATTTAACGGAAAAATAAACAAACTTGACGAAGAGGACTAATAATGCAACATCATACATAATTGAGAGACCTCTGCAACTATTTTTTAAGTTGAGTGATCAAAATGTAATTATGAGTATAATTCAAGTACCATTACTAAAAATAACCCGTTTATCTTAATATTAATTGGTCCACGAAGAAGATAACCGTAGGGTTACAAAGATTGATGAATGGTATACCACGTTATTCAGAAATTCATATAATAATAACCCCAAAAAGGAAGATCCCATTTTTGTGGCCTCCAAGGCAGGAAAACTCCATGCCAGTCATGGCAAAAAGTATGCTTTACGTATTAGACCTTCATGCTTTGAAATCATTCCACGTAGAGTGGAAAAGAAATTGAAGATCTTTTCAGTTATGATCTCATCACAATGCTTTGAAATCATTCCACGTAGAGGGGCAAAAAGTATATTCATCACAATGTTTGTAATGCAGATATATAATCAATCATTAAATGGATCACAAGATATATTTTCCCTATACATTGAAATACTTGTAGGTTGAATAATTTATGGCTTCAATGTTTTGGCCAGATTACAAAAAATCAATATTATCTCTCAACTCTGAGGTCAAAGATAAGACACCCTGGTAAAGTTTACCAAAGCCGCCAGAGGCATTGAAACCCTTTATTGCTTGCTGCATAAAGATCCTTGTACTTGAACCTTTGAGGACAATCCAGCTCCCAATCCTCAAGACTCTCATACTCAAACCCCACTATGCTTTTATACAAGGTAAAGAAGAGCTAAATTCTCAACAACACGAAGACCGCAACCGATAAGGCCACAATAAGAGCCTTAATCCGGGGCTTGCCAGAGGATGAACTTTTCTCTTTTGGTGGGTTAGGAAGCAGGGAAATGTTGAGTTGACTTGGCATCCCATCCACTGCAAAACTCCATGCTATTATGTAATGAGAGCTTACCTCTTTCCCTGTGGATGCAGAGAAGCCGGCATACATAGTCTCTTGAAGAGTAGGGGATAGGTTGACATGATGGGACAATAGTGGTTTCTCTGGTTTGTTCTTATCTATGGGAGCTATTATGACATTCACAATTTGAGTTTTTCCATCATAATCTATCCAAGCTTGGATAAGATCACCGCTCTCCAAGTTGATTTCTTCTTTGTGGGCACCTGCGACAAAGTAAGCAGCTGGTTCAGATGCCACAGAGTACACACTGTTAATGTTGATGCCAACATGGTTTTCTGCAGTGTTGGAGTTTTCTTTGAACCCGTTTACCGTATCGAATTCAACGGCAAAGATGTGGTTCGAAGAGTTATTGTCATTTGTAGAGTTGACAATCCCAAGGAAGTGCCCGGAATCAGCCCCGGGGAACCGCGGAGAGGGAGACAGTGTGAAGGCTAGGCCAAAGCCACCATTGCCGGAGCTTGATGAGACTATTGCAAAAACAAAATGTGTGCTGAAAGAAGAAGCATTGGGGTATGAAGAAGAGTTTTTGTCGAACATGGTTATAGGTTTGTCATAGAATGCATGGCCTATAATATTATGTGTTTTGTTAGTGAGCCTGATCATACCAGAGGGCTTGACTATAGAAGCCCCCTCTAGGGTCAGATTTGATTCACTTCCATTGAACCCATTGAACAGGAATTCAACTCCCTGAACCAGAGAGCAAATGGGAAACAAGAAGACAAGGAACAAGGCTAAAGAAACTGCTAAAGCCATTGAAGTTTTGAGCTGAGAAATTGCAGATTAGAGCAAGTCGAAAGACCTTAATGTAGCTGACAAGTGAGAGGAAGGTGAAGGACTTGAATTGGTCAAGGTTTAGAGCATATGGTCTGTGCTGAGTCCAAGTCAGCAAGAATGGTAAAACTTAGATTTCTTGGGCAAGATGCTCATTTTCCTCCTTTTTTTTGGGGGGGGTGGGGTTGGTGTGGGAGGGGAGGTGTTCTGATCAATTTTCCAAGCTAAAAAGACTTGAGTGAAATTATTGCCTCCATTGACTTGCTCAACCTCTAACATTTAAACCTCTTATGAAATGTCATGGAAGAAAAGGACTTGAGTGCTTATCAACTTCGCTATAGATCCTTCTGTGAACTCTTTGGCACAAAAAGACCGCTAACTATAAGTTCAGCCTTGACCCTTTTGACACGCAGAGAGCACACAAAGAATGGGAAGAAACAAGGAAAAAAACAAACCTGAAATTATAATATTTGGGCTTCTGGGTGGGCTTTTTACACTTTCGAATGATGATGCTATGTGTTGGCAGTAAGAGGCTAAGCCCAACACGACACCCAGATAATCAAATGATGATGTTATGTGTTTAGGAATTTAACATATGTGATAGAACTTAGAAGCAGACTTTCCTGGATGCAAGAAAGGAACCCTTTGTTTCTATCTGGTTTGTTTTTCTTCTAAAAGCAGGTTTTGAAATGTAGACTCTTAGAACTAAAACAACTAATAAGCAAGCACCAATGAAAGATTAACCCATTGATGAATTGAATCTCCACGTTGTTGTTTTGAATGTTTTCTTAATTATACTATTTTTAGTAATTATGTTTAGACTAAACAATCCATATTATTACATCGTTTGTATCAAAAAAGAAAAATCCATGTTAGCATACTCGGTGGGTTTTGTTGACCCAAGAGAGCCTGGAATCTCTCAATCATTGAAGATTATTGCAGTCTTTTCTCCTCTGCCATCTCAAAGTTAACTATGCGATTGTGTGTGTGTGTGTGTGTGATCACAAGGCACTGCCATTAGGATTGATTTCAGACCTACGAACCCACATATACTTCTGTAGTTGGATAAAATATCAGGCAAAAACCACAACAGAAACATCACGCACACAGAAACTTCTCATTGTATCCCCTTGATGATTGGCATTACGTGTAATAAAAGGCGTGCTATCAAATGTCATAAAAATCAACAAATAGTAAAGATTCCGTAGTTTCATGCAGTGTTCAAACCATTCAACGCATTGACTTGGTGCCTCTAATATATTTTCATAAAAAATTAGTTAAAATAGCAGGCAAAAACTACAACAGAAGCATCACCACATAGACTTCCCATTTTATCACATTGATGATGATGACCATCATGTTTAGATCATGCATTCTAAACTTTGATGGCAACCCATCATATAATGTCTGATCCCACACAGTTGTTATAGACACCCTGCACACACTTGATAAGACATGAGGCAATAAGAAAATAATATCAAATAATACAGACAAACGCAGAAGTTGTTAGGCGAAAACTTGAACCAAATTCATGGAAACCTTAATTATTTTACTGATCATCAATTTTGTCTTCTGCATTTTATTCTTTCAAATGAATACTTGAAGATAACTTGAAGCCTTTGGATAGGAAAGGCCTTGACCAAGACCATTACTGTAAATTTGGTTTACATGTTGACTGAATACATGGCCCCTTGTTGATTTAATACCAGAGATTAGTATCTTTTGATCAAGAAACCTTAATTCTTGGCATCAAGAAGCATTTTTTTAACTACTTGAGGACAAGTATACAGATGAATATAATACTCAGCCTCCCATTGCCACAATTATCCAATTTGCAGCATGTGGAAATGCTTTCATTCAAATGTGACAAGATTATTAGATTGACTAAGGCGTGAATTTGAAGAAACCTATCTAACAATCTGCATGAACATGCTTAAAATATGACTTGGCATATAATCTTTTTGTTTCGGCCAAATGATACACGCTATTGGCTCTAAACCTCCATGTCTTAATTAAGCCATGAATTATGATAACAAATAATTAACTTTCAATTACATTGCAATGGTTCATCATATATTGCTTTCTGCAATTACACCTGCAAACAACAGAACCAACTAACAGGATTTTCCATAGCTTTTTGTACTGACATGGTCCAAATCCAAAACTCACAAATCAAATCAACATGTGAATAGAGATGTTTAATAAATTTATCTACTCTAACGTATAAATAAAATCCTGCAAGAATATTAGAGGCCGGGCAGAGCATATACATACAGTGACCCCTGTGAAGCTCTGCAAATAAATATAATATATGTCAACATCTTGGTGGTTTATCTTAATATTAATTGGTCGACGAAGAAGATAACGAGATGGTTACAAAGACTAATAGATGGTCTATCACGTTATGCAGAAATTCATATAATAATAACCCCAAAAATAAAGATCCCAATTTGTGGCCTCCAAGGCAGGAAAACTCCATGACAGTATGCAAAATGTATGCCTTACGTATTAGAAATTATAATACAGCCAATGTTAGTTGGTGCAGAGACCTTCATGCTTTGAAATCTTTCCACGTAGAGGAGCAAACACATTGAAGATCTTTGAAGATAAGGTCTCATATAATATTCATCAGAATGTTTGTAATGCAGATATATTTTATCTGATATAAAGTATAATCAAATTGATCCTAAGATTTATTTGCCCTATCCATTGAACTTGTAGGTTCAGCATAATGATACACATGCTGATTACGTAATCACATTTAACTAATAATTAATCAATTAACTAATATGCATAAGACCCTATCAGCCGGAAGAGGTGGTTCTGCTGCATTACCTTCTGCAGAATCTCAATTATCCAGAAACGACGGCAAATCCTTATCCTAATAAAAAAGATTATAGTATTGCAATTTGCATTGATTACTGTTAATAAGACAGCATTTTGTAATTGTAAAACCTGCATTTGGTTGCGTCCAACTCTTTCTTTCGGCTTTGATATTAAATTAGACAACACTATCTAGCTAAAAATGATTAATTATGACTTCATCCAAATACTTAGCACATTTATCTGTAGCTAAAGGTGCCATTTTCAACCTCCATCCTCACCTTTCTAAAGAAATGTCTAATTGTTTGAAGAACAAACAACAGATGGCCTAAGAGCCTTTCATGCAACCATGCAATGACACGAAGCTCTTACACAATTTCTGAAAGCCTTGAAGATTGTTTGCCTTATAATTTCTGTGTAGTGATTATGTCAATAATAATAACATAATTTCTAAGATAATATGAAACTAATGAGCTCACTGTGAAGTTTAATGGACATTGCAGGCCTTGAGATTAATGCGTGATACCATATAACAATATAATATATAGGAAGTTTAGTCGGAAAGTTTACGTGCAAGTTGATTGATTGTTTCTGCTTGGCCTTTGTCTAGAGGAAATATGTTTGGTGACAGCAAGGTGCCTCTTCCTACGTAAACCGATACTTAATTTGTTTTAATATGGCTTAATTTTTTTTAATAAGGATTAATTTGGTATAACAATTGGTATAAAAGATAAGGTGTCATTGTATATGGAAGGATGACCAGGACTCTGTGTCCCCAATCTAGACTTATATGATTGGTTGTTCTTCACATTGAGGGCTTTAATGTCAACACACAATTAAGAATTGTTTAATTTATTAATTAAGGTTATATTTCTTATGAAGTGAAAGGTAATTACGTTGAAAAGACATGAATAGTTATCTATCCAATTTTGTTGATTATAATACAAAGGATACGTGCAACATATAAGCCACCCCCACAAGAAGCTGCCAGGAAAGTAAGGATACTTGAGTTGGGAACCTTTGTGGAATTACGTGTGCAGTGTGTGGAAAGTTGGTGAGAGTGATTGGTATTTGTTTATGGAGATAAGATGGTGATTAATAATAATTCTCTATTTTAATAATAGTCTGTTTTTTATAGTATTTTATGCTTAATCTGTCGCTATATTGTTCATCAAGTCATATATAATGATCAATTAAGACTCATTGGCAAATCAAACTTGCAGAGAAAAGTCTTCTTACCTTTAATATTCATCAGAAGAGATGATGCAATCTGAGCTTCTTCCTCCATACCTTAATGTAATCAACTCACCTTTTGACCAATTTGAATACAACGACGTCAACATGGGAAGTTCTGACTTCTCTTCTCCGTTCATGGCCTCCGATGAATTTTCCGAAACTTCTTCATTTCCCTTTGCAACCATGTTCTCTGGTGACTTTGAACAACTTGCAGATTGTGATCATCTCCTGCAAGTCACATCATCAGTGGAGGAATTTCCAATGGACTTTGGAGGGTTTGAGCCTAATTATTTGATTGGTGATATAGAAGGCATGTATGCCTGTTTGGAAAGGAGTGAGGGGAGCACCCTTCCATCACAGCAATTTTCTATTGAAGGAAATGATGTGTGGAGCCCTAACTCATTAATGACATCTGAAGCATCATCCTTGGATGTGACCTCTATCCATCAATCACTGACCCTGCCTCGGGAAGAGATGGAAATCGATAACGAATTGAGTATTCGTCATCTGCTCAAGGCGTACAGCGAAGCCATGGAGATGGGACAGAGGGAGCTAGAGGAGGTAATCCTGAGATGCCTTAGTGAGAAAGTCAACCCACTTGGTCAATCTTTGGAGCGCCTTGCATTCAACTTATGCCAAGAAGTTGATGATCAGCAAGGCGATTATCTGAAACAAGAATCCTGCAAGAATTTCGAGGCTGCATTTAACCTGTTCTACCAAAGCTTCCCCGTTGGGAGGTTTGCGCACTATGCAGCAAACACAGCGATCCTTGAAGCTATCCCGGAGGATGCAGAGACAGTTCACATAGTGGACTTTGACATGGGAGAAGGGGTTCAATTGTCTCAGCTGATTGAGGTTGTGGCACAGAGACACAAAACACTAAAAGTCACAGCAATTAAATGGGATGTGGAAGAGACTGAAGACGGTGCTCCTCCACAGTGGAGATTTGAGGAGACAAAAAGGCAACTGAAGCATCATGCGAGATCTTTTGGCCTAAACTTGAAAGTGGAGGAGATAGCAATTAAGGATTTGGTGAGTGAAGTAAAGAAAGCAAACAAGAGGGGTGGAGGCAGAGAATTTCTAGCATTCAACTGTATGGTGGGGCTGCCCCACATGAGGAGAAGAAGAAGCAGAGGGCTTATCTTGGAGTTTGTACGGCTAGCTAAGGATTTGTTAGCCAGTTCGGCCAACTACAAGACTAGTAACAGAGGGATTATCACTTTTGGTGATGGAGATGCTTGTGCAAAACTCGGGAACGGTTTGAGTTTCAGTTCATTCTTTGATGGGTATCTGGCTCATTACCAAGCCTTGTTAGAGTCTATCGAGTCGAATTTCCCGAGTCATCTAGCAGAAGCAAGAATGGTGATAGAGCTGATGTTTGTGGCACCTTATGTCTCTTCTCAGGCTTTGTTCCAGAAGTGGAACGAAGTAAGAGAAGAGTGCCATCTTCAACCGTGGTTTGGGCTGGAGGGTAAGAGACTGAGCAGAGAGAGTCTGATGGAAGCCAAAGAAATGGTGGGAGAAAGCTCATATGGAGTAAGAATTGGACAGAATGGAAATGAAATGGCCTTGGAATGGGAAGGAACTCCTTTGGTTAGAGTGTCAACCTGGACAACCCAAAGCTAGCAGAAAGCAGATCATTTTTTTCTTTCCTTAAATCTATTTTCAAATTTATTCCAGCAAATGTGTACACTATGCTGAACATACCATAAGATGTTTCGTACAGATTGATTACGTTTTACGTTGTAAAAATATCAACTAAGTTGACTGATTGTTTGATATAAACTGTACTCTATGAGCCTGGTAAAACTAATATATCATCACAGCCGTTTTAGGAACAGAGCTTGTCGTAATTTTCGAAACAGGAGATATGCGCAAGTCCTGAATTGTGGAAGTTTTTCAACCATATTCTAATAGTGCTAGTTTTTAACCAGTTCACATGCTAACTTGGAAGCTTTTAAAAACGACCAATAAGATTCACCACTTATGTCAGTGAATTCTGTCGTTAAAGTTTAGACAAAGCGATATTCTAAATAACTCTAATGTAAGGGAATGGAGATCGAACTAGAGTGTAAGGAGACAGTCACACTGCCTAACTTGACTAACCCACATCTGCAAATTCTTTAGAGAAAATGAGAATTGAACACACCTAGAGCCATCCACTACCGGTTCCGTAGTCCACATGGCCTACCAAAAATAAATTTAGAAAAAGAAAGAAAAGAGCCAGAGAAAATCAGCAACAAATCATATATAAGCAAAAAGATCAAAGAACACACTTCATTATCATGTCTCAAATTATTATTAGCAGAAATAAACGAGCAATATTTGAAGGTATAAGCATATGAACCCGAATTCGGCAGGAACAGACATTGAGAGTTGGATTAACCACAAACGATAATTTTGGACAATCGACGACACTGCTCTAAACATATATCTGGATACACATGAGAATCCGTTTGCTTATATTAACTTGAGCTTAAAACTAGATATAGGGTTCAAATTCTAAACATTGCACTCTCATTTGCTTGATTAGCTCAGCAACCGAAATGCCTACTTGAAGTAAATGGAGATCTGCGGGATATCGATATCATTATCTTCTTCGTCTTCACATGCCACTACCACATCAAAGTGCTTCCGATATGGAGGCAGCTCTGCCTTAGCCACACCGGTAGCCAAATCCACCATTTTCTTGTCCATGCGGTCCCTATGCCTAGGGAACATGCTGTTATAGAGTAGGCAACTCCCATAAGAGATACTGTACGCATTCAAGCCCTTTTCTTTGAGCCACTGAAGGAGCTGTTCTAAAGTTGGGCTGTCCTTTATAATCCATCTATCCCATACTGTCCAGCTCATACCTTGGTGCTTGATGACTTTAGGAGGTACTGGTTCAGCCATGGAGAACAGAGGAAGGGCTAGATTGGCAAAGGTGTTTCGGTAGTCCTCCAACTTGTGCCCTCCATCCAGAACCTTGTACAGCTCCAAGCAGACAAGGCCAGTTGCCAGAGCAGTAGATGTTGCAATTGCAGGAATGATTCTCCCTGCAATGAATTTGGCCTTCAGCTTGTCGACTTCAGGGATGCCATAGTTCCTGGCCCTCATATTTGCAAATCCAGCTATTACGTCCATGTGATAGTTTGTGTCATCATCCTGCACATTCAAAACATATGAAAAATTCCCTATCAGTTATGGATTCATGATTCTGGGAAAAAAGAAAGAAAAAGGAAAGCTTCTCCCTGTGTTTCACATACTTTTGGCACTTTATTCAAATGGATATGGTAGTCTCATACAACACAGGGATAGTCCTTCCACCCAAGATCTTACCTTTTTTTTTTGGTATAGAGGTCTTCCCTATTGAATTATGGAGGATATAGCACTTGGCAACACCCTCCCCAATATCGATAACATTGTTTATATGCTAAGCCCACTAGAATTAGTATTTATCTGTCACATACTTCTACAAAACAATACAAAAGACCTAACAAGTTTGGAAGGTGCTAACACAGTTGCCCACAAAGCTAGCACGTTTGAAAATATGCAAACGCATTCTTGACCCTATGAAACTTTCAATAAAATCAATTTACAAGACCACTTATCACAAATACACTATGATATAAGGAGGATACTCTATCTTAGAGCATCCACAATGGGCTCCCTAAACCACCTCCGTAGACAAATTTTAGGGGGGAATTGTAAAAATGCAACTCCAACCATGCTCCCTATCCACCTCCTAAAATAGGGAGTCCTCTAGGAGCTCCTAAATCTGAGGAGAGAGAAAGGACTCCTAGTGGCTCCCTATAATTTAATGATGTTTTATTTAATGAGTATTTCAAACCTTTATTTAATGATGCTAACTATTTTTTATTTTATTTTTTAATAGAGATGGACCAATCAAAAAAATGTTAAAAAAAGTTATAACATTTATGACTCTACAAATTAGGGAGTATGGTTGGAGTTGAAATTTTTTAGAGAGCTCCTAAAATAGCTTTCTTATATTTTTAGCTAAATTTTAGCTAAGAAATAGAGAGCATCATTGTGGATGCTCTTAGGAGCTGCAAGCCTGAAATGAACAAATAAATATGATGTCTAACTAGAAATACTTAGATATACTTTCTACTCAAGGAGAAAAAGATATAAGACAAACCTTCTCAAACTGAATGGGGTTCATCTTGAAGGCAGGTGGCAGCTGCTCCTTGCATTTTTCTAACTTCACAATTAACTCATTGATGACCACAGCATCATCAATTGATGCCGGCAAAACGTTTGTAGCTTTCTCATCTGTCACAATCTTCACATCTTTTTTGGGCTGAAAATCAGGTACTATCACTTTGTTAACAGCATCAGCAAACTTTGTATGAGACTTGACCCAGTCGGGAATTGGAATGTTAAATGTCTCTGCTCGCAGTATAGATGCTCCCATTATAAATTGAAGGTGGCTGAGATCATCAACCGAGAACTGCAGTGGACGAGGAAAACGTTTGGGGGCAGACCAAAATGGGGTCCCACTACTGGTTTTAGCATCCTCAGGAAAAGTATATGTTAACTGCTTCACACGGTTAACAAAGTAGTCCTCGAACCTGGTTCCATTCAAAACAAGTGATTAGATACATGATAGAAGGCTATGATAAAAATGAAAATATAATAAATTCAGCAAAACAATAGCAGTACTTTAGACGGGCCCAGCTTATGCAATCTTGGAATGTCTCACATCTCTCCTTGTCCAGGCATTCAATGACACTTTCCAAGTTGTTCCTGGCCTGAGCATCACCAGCATTCATCATCGCAGTAGTGTATTCAGCAGGATTGGTCAGATAGGCATTTACTTCAGCTGGCACCTTCTCAAGTAAACCCTCAAACTCAGATCGAGCCCATGTCAAACAGTGGTCAATGTTGTGAGGGAATGAATGAACTGTGCACATGGGTGCTTGTTTTTCAGGTGGGTCCCGTGAAGCTCCATAATTTTCAGTCAGGTGAGGAACGACCATCTGCGTGTTGCACTTGGCACCTAGTGTTCCTGATTCCAAAAGTGGCTTCTGGAAATACAAGCATCTTTGGTCGATGTAAAGCCTTGCATTCACATTATCTAGAGCATTGATAACAACATCCAAATTCTCCCAAAAAGTATCATCAAACACATTTTCAGTATCGGGGCTTGCACGATTCTGCAGAGCTTCAATGTTCAGACGACCATTAATCAATGCAGCAGCAGAGGCAGCTACTGTTGATTTAGCCTGCCCAATGTTCCAATCTCGGAAGAGAAATTGCCTACTAAGGTTACTCTTCTCAATTACATCATCATCCGTAATTGTTAACTTCCCTTCTTTTCCACAAGAGACACCCATTAATGCTAAATTCTTCAAAAACTCACATCCTAGTGCACCGGATCCGACAGTAAACACTTTTGAATCCTCCAGCTTTTTCTGAAGCTTGGCTCCAAATACTGAAATTTGTGCATCATAACGGCTGTTTAAAGGCTTCAAATCACTAGGATCCAAGGTTTCCGACGGAAGGGACTCAACTGAATCGAAGTAGAAAAACTGTCCACAAGGCAATTAAAAATATGAGATTAATTATAATAATATTAACCTCATTCTATTAGGACTAGGTTAAAGATTCACAACAAAAAGGCAGTCCAATCAGTTTTGCAAAGAAAATTCACGTATGGTTGTGACATCAAGTATACTGAATTTTAGTAATTACCTGGAAAAGAGGATGAAACTTCGCAGAACAGGCCTTCACAACTTCCTGTCCAACAATACCACCAAACATTGCAGCCATTGGACTCAGCACAGCCCTAGCACCAAATGCAAAATGACGAAGAATCTTGTGGTCAATCTCTTCAAGCCTCCCATCCGCTAAGCTATCATTGATGTTAGTTACCAATGATATGAACTTCTTAGCATCATCCTCTGATCCAGCTACAGGGAAGCGCCCCAACTCTGATATGAACTTATCTAGTGCCTGAAATGCCAAGTGTAGGAGAGGTGGACGATCAAACTTGGAGAAGTCAATCAGAAGGAAATCACCAGGGTCCTTGAGTGCTTCCCGCAGAGGCTTAAAGTTCAACACCTTGGGTTGCTTCACCTGTGTGACTATACCACCCTTCTCGTATGCTGCAAAATTTGTAGTGTCCTCTTCAATTGTGAATGAGTAGGGTCTTGCATTCTTAATCTTCCTCGGCTTTCCATCATTCAACTCAGTCATTCCATGGACTTCAGTGAACACAACCAAATCACCATCCTGGAACTCAAGCCTCTCATCATCAACACATGCTATGAGAGCAGGGTTGTCGTTGCTAATTGATGCGATAATGCCTGTATGTGGATCCTCACCGTCAACATCAAGAACAGTGAACTCAGGGCCAAAGTCACAAAACACACTGCCAAAAAGGCCCCGTACTTCTGATTTTATAAAAGAGATGGGAGGTTGATGATTATGGCAGTAATCATTGAATTCAATTGCTTTCTCTAAGCTGATATCAGTGAAAACTACAGCCTGCAGAAGTTCAAACACAATGCTAAATACCGTTGATTACTGAATAAATGTAAGCATATGAAACAACATACATACAACTATCAGCATTCTTCTAAATTCTGACAGGATAATTCACATAATCAGAATTCAGGTTAGTAGCAATATCATCACATGTTCATGCCAATGCACCTCTTCCCAAAAATAAAAACAAGTCCATCTATTATTATTTGTTAGTGGACAAAACACACCTATACGGGAAGAAAACCATTCTAACTTAAAAGTTTTGAACTTCAAAAGTGAAATTGTTAGAAAGGGAGCAGATAATCAAAGATATGCCTTAAGCAAAACATATGATATTCAAGAACATTCGCTTCACTTGATTATAAAAATATAAATTAAAAATGAATCAAAAACCTCTAAATTAAAAGTTACCAACATGCAGCCATCATGCAACAAAAGAATTAACAAAGACGGAAAGGAAACAGTACCTGGAAATCAGAAAGTTGCTCTTTGGTCAGTTCAGTTGTTAAAGTCGAAATGATCACAGCATTATTTAATTCTTGTAATTTTTGGACACAAGCAAGGGCCCGATTCTTTCCAATATCATCCTCGGAGAAAAAGAAGTTGCTTGACAAGTCCCACAGCTCAACAACTCCATCATCATGCAAGGTCACAGACTTGACACCGGCAAGAACAAGGTTCTTTGCTGCAACAAAGACAGCTCTCATTACATAAACCACAGACTTACTAATTACTTGTACCACCGTAATTCCTATTACAAACAATCTAACATGTAATTGCAAACTGCTCTCTTTGAGCTCTTGATAAGTATAGCATGCACGAAACGGATCTTTTCATTCACAGCATTCTCATACATGATCAGGTTATTCACGTCTAACCCACAAATGGAAAACGCAAGTCAATAATAAACAAAATATATTTACATGCATCCCATCCATATTCTCAGATACTATCAGAACAAATTAAATCCACTAGAGCTACAAAACATTGTTATAACAACCAGCAGAAACCCAATGTTTTTCACATACCAATCTCAGCGCCAAGTCCCTGCAGCCCAGAGACGAGAATGTTGGAGGCAAAGAGCCTGCGCATAGTCTCCCGGCCGTACACAGCGAGCTGTCGGCTGTGGAGATCCTCATCGATGTCATTCGAGTTCCCATTGCCCAATGCCATGATCGGCACTTTGACGTCCTTGCTACTGTTGTTGCTGTTGTCAATGGTGGTATTGTTTTTGTAGTCGTGGCTCTTAGAATCGTCTGTGTTTGCAGCCGCGCGAAGCTTCTTGATCGGAGATTCCGTGGAGTAGTTTGGTTCCCCTTCTTCTTTTACTACAACCTCTCCGCCCACTTCTCTCTTTCTAGGAAGCATATAGTGCGATGAACTGCCGAAACACCAAAACCTCATTATCAGTCTCAGACTCTCAGACTCTACACTTTAAACCAAACCCTAACCCAGTTTTCGGTTATATATGATTTCACACTTAAGTTTATAGTCAAATAAATAAGATCGGATTAAACGTCTAGATTAGCTGTTTGCTTTTATTTCTCCGAACAGGAAAACACCAGAAAAACAATAGAATTCAGAAAAAATATTAACATTTCTATCGTATTTTAATTTTCCCGGAAACTAAACAGAGGCTAAACACTGATCTAAAACCTATTGATTCTAAACCTTCGTATGCAGATCGATGAGATGTAATAAAGTGAAAAAGAAAATCATATGAGTGAAGCAAGGAAGATACCAAGACGAACTGTGACAAAGAAGCGAAGGAACCGATGGTGAAGATTTGTGAGAGGTAGCGTCGTTTGCAGGTTTTGTTAGGGTTTCAGCTGAGAGATGCGATGGTCCTGAGGTCGCGGTTCATCTCTCTTTGTAGAGAGACACAGAGAGAGAGTGAAAGAAAGAGAGACGAGTTGTGGGCCGAGATACGTGGGACTTGGATTGGGGTAGAAATGATGTCCTTCGCGGGCTGTTTGGATGTGGGAATTAGTGTATTCTAGTCAGGGATTGTCTTATATTCGGCTTAGCCTCGAAACCCACCATCGAACATCTCGCTCATCAATGGGATCAAAAACAGAAAAAATGTTGTTCAAATTCAATTGGACCGGCTGCAGAGATTACCAATTTCATTTTGCTTTTGTCCTTGATTTTATTTTATTTTTGGTCAAAAGTTTTGTCCTTGATTCTTGGTACTCACGGATAAGACCTTTGTTGGATATGAAAATTTGTGAATTAAGTTATGCAATGTTAATTTGGACAAGTTATGTGGTTTTAAAAACCACAACTTGGAGAAGGGGTTAAGCAAAGTAACCTAATTTTATATTGTTGTTATTGACAAATCATACTCATTTTGGTAATTATGGGTCACTAGACACTATTTTTATCATACCATGACATGAGAAGATGTCAATTTTTGTATGTTAATTTTTTTTCCAAAATGAGGTTAAGCAAGATAACCTAATCTTATATTGTTATTATTGGTACTTGTGGGTCTCTACCATGACATGAGAAGAGAGAGCTCAACTTTTGTATGGTGTAAATTTTTTTTTCCCCCAAAATTAATGAGTAAAAACACCCATTTTTGACAAATCATACTCGTTATCTACATTATATGTTCAATCTAACAAATTGTATAACTTATATTAACATCTATAAACTAAAAAATGCACGATAAAATGTACTAGAATAAATAATTTTGACGATCTATGATTAGTATGGCCTGTAAGTTTTTTCTTTTTATTTCTAGAAGTTGTAAATGGATCTTAGGTTAACTAAATCATGATCAATTTAGGTTTAATCATCTTTGGATCCTTTAATTAGTTTCGATTGGCTCAACCCAATCCATGATTCGCCTAATATGTTTTATAAAAAAAAAGTTTGAGCTGGATTAAGACATGTTAAGTTTGAGCCGCACAAATTGCATAGAAAACATCATTCATAAGAGAAAAACGATGGACGAGAAAGATCTAACTTCTTATCATTGTTTGTAGGGTAAACTCACATGAATTATTATAGACAACTTACTTTGTAACTTTTTGACTTCGTAAAGAGATTTACACATATAACCCCCACTTTGGGAATTAATGGTGCTAAACTAAATTTGTTTAAAGCAAATCACTTTATGGAACATTTATCAATCCACAATCACAAACCTGTTTTTTAGAGGATCCAAATACATTATTACAAAATCTCCATACTGCACACTATGATCTATATAAAAAAAAATTAATTAAAAAAAAACACACACACACACACAAAAATAAAAAAACACAAATAATAAAAAAGTTCGTCGACAGCAGGATTCGAACCTGCGCAGGCAAAGCCCAACAGATTTCGAGTCTGTCTCCTTAACCACTCGGACATATCGACGCTCTTGTTGGGTGTTAATGTAAAATGATATATAATGTAAACGATTAATTAATTTAATCTATTTCTTATTTAAATTTTCGCGCTATTGATCCAAAGGGGATTCCTGTGTCGGGAGCCCTAAAATCAAAAGCAATCCCTAGATTTGTTCCCACCAATTCTCTTTATTTTGAAAAACTCGGAAGAAGCTCTCAGTCGCGACGAATCTGATTCTCTGAGAAATGGGGGAAGCTTCTGGAAAAATCGATCTTGAGAAGCTGATTTTGTACAGCGACGATCTGGTGGGTTTTTTGAAGGACAAGAAGGACCTGAACAACTTGGAGCATTCTCTCCAACATTCCAAGGCCCTCCGCTCCTCATGTGATGCCGATTTCAACGAAGTTCAGAATTTGCTTCAAGGTTTGTTGATTCATTTAAGCTCTGTTTGTTTCTCGAGATTTCTAGACCCAGAATTCTCAGTTAGTAGCTTATACATTTCCAATTTGAAGTAGCTTAAGGTCGAAATTATGCAAAATGCAGGGTTCAAAACTATTTATTTGGAAATTTTCCCGAGTAAGAAAAAGGGGTGATCTTTAGGTCTAATTTGGGTTTTGTTGGTTGATTCTCGTATTTTCTTTTGATTGATTTGACTTTTCTGGACTTCATTGAGCTATCTGTCAAATGGTGTGAAATTTTCCCAATTTGAATAGTTTCACTTACATAAATGTTGTTCATAGAGATAGTAGATTGCTGATGTTGTATGTGAGTATGTGCATTGACAAGTTCTTCAATGAAGCAGACTATGAGAAAAAGATAGATGCATGCAAGCAGAAAACTGAGGTGGCATATTCAGAGGTTGTTGTTGATGAAGAAATAGACCTTCTTCAAAGAGAACTTGATGGGGTCATTGAAACAGAAAGTTTGTTTATGGAGGAGTTAAGATAAGTACACATTCAGTTGCATATGCTCTCACAGATTATTGATTTGAGGTTGACTGGCAATGGTTAGTGATTTGCTTCTCTTTTGCTTCAACACAGTGGTCACTGACGAGATTAATGATTTAGAGCGCCAAAGGATTGCTCATCAGGAGAAAAGGCGAATTTCGAAGAGACACAAGCAAGATGAGTTCAGAAAACTGTGAGTATTTAGAAGTTTGATGCGAACATTATATGGATTCTTTCTCTTCTAAAACTCCACGTTCTAGGTGGAAAAATACTGTTCAAAGTTTATACGTTCATCAAATTAGTGGTCACTGCAGTTGTACCAGTTATGAAATGAATTGTTTCGACAATTCATATCCCGTCAATGAAACGTTTTTTCTCATATCTACAGGAGGGAGCTTTCCATGCATGCTTCTGTCACAAATATTATACCTACGAGGCTGGAAGATCAGTCAAGTGTTTTGGGCTGTATCCTACTCTTAAAACATCTTATTTATTACATACACATGCATATTCATTCATATGTTCGTTCAGTACTGTAATCACCTTGTTTTCCTTAAGCCAAATAATTACAGCTATTGTGGATAGTGATACCAAAACGCATCAGAAGTTTGAATTTGATCTAACAAAGATGACGGCCTTCGAAACATGTAATAGCATTTGGAAGATGATTTCATGATAGATCTTTAACATTTCCTCTTCAGATGACTTGTATAATAACCCATAGTTAATTGCTTCTTTTATGTTATTCTACGGACTTGATATTGTGTTTTTTAAGTTTTGTAACTTATGATGACATGTTGTCAAGCACAGTTTCAACGCTGATTAGTGGGGATGGTGTTGGTGCCTCTTGGAGGCATTTTGGGTTGGTTGTTTACTTATGTTTAAGTGATTTAATGTATTTCTTAGAGAATTTTGATATTTTTGTGAATAAAGCAAATCTACATATATGATAGTCGTTTATTTTATAATGCTAGTGGGCCTGCAATGCTGCACATAGCAAAAGGTGATGCAGAACTTTGTTTATGATTCATACTGAAGTTTCCACCCTGCGAAGTTTTAGTTGTTCCTGGATCTCTTCACCCTTGTAAACGCTTGTCCGTTTGAGTCTGCATTTCCAGCTGAGTTGATCTTGGGCAGAAGTGATCTGCAACCCTCTGGTTTTGGACTGCCTTTGTAAGCTTTGCAGACATAGCTTACAAAGTTTTGGTAGTCCTGCATCCAGATATGAAGACTTTAATCAGTGTGTGTGCCCACGTGTGTGAGAGATAGGGAAATAAAGGAGAGAGGGAATTTACATCATAGAGTGGTTGATTATTGACAACAACCCATGGTACATAGGTGTGATGTGGAACAAGATGGTTTGTTTCATTAGCATACTGCAGTATAAGCTGCATACCAATTACAATCACTGTGTTAAATGATTAGAAATTGAGTTTGAATCTGTATATGGATATAAGATTCAACTTGCATGAAGAAAAACAAAACAAAATGCAGTTAAAACCATTTAGTGTTGACCTTTCTCTCTAATCCACTATCGTAGCAATCTTGGACAGGTTTCTGATTCATCCCTAGTTTTTGACAACAAGATTTCCATCCTTCTTCTTTCGACTGCTTTCCTTCAATGGTTTGGTTCTCAACACAATGAATCAATTTGAAGTGTTGCTTCTGCATCAGAGTTAAACAGAAAATAACAAAACTACATTTGTTAAGATATATTGTAATGTGCTATCAATCTCTTGGACAAACTGCAGGTTATAAGGGTAGTTATATTCGAAGATATTGAGGTAAAAAAGATGGTTTTACCACATCTGGCCAGCTGTTGATTGCACAGGCATGTATGCTGTTCAAGTAGCATTCATCTGGGCCATGCTGCAGAGTGTGAATTCACCATGTCAGTAATTGACCAATTGCAGTGATACAAAAACATAGAATTAATAAGAACTGACGAAGAAGATGGGAGATCTTACCTGGCAAACAATGGCTTTGTCAGGTTCTTGAATATGAGCATTTCCGTAGGGGACTAGCCTTAGGTTGACAATGTTTATGAGATCTCTGTCGAATACCTTTATCAGTTCCTTTACAATGAACTCTTTACAGTAGGGGCATAGAGTTTCATAATACAGAACTAGCTCAACTTTCTCAACTTTTGTAGGAGGCCCTTCAAGTTTTCGGGGTTCCGGAGTAGACTGGACATTAATGCCTTGATCTTCAAAAGAAGAACGAGACGCATAAACAGAGAGGAAGGAAAGTAGAACAAGAAGGGGGATGAACTTGAGAGAATCCATTGTTGAATGCTTATTTGAAGTTGGCTGGCACACTGAAGCTACTACCTGTAGACTGCATATTTATAGCTGCCCCAAGTTCTACTGTACCACCCACTACAGCACCAAGCCGTTTCTCTACAATAAATTTTAGTGTGACCACTGACCATAATGCCCTCTTTAACCTTGAGCATGAAAGTGATACTAAACTGAATCACTTCAAGTTCTTCTCATTTTAGCAAATTGAGTTGAGAGATGCTCTTAAATTCATTTGTTTTGAGTTGAAAATTGGAGGGTGATAATTATATGGAATCTTGGGATCAGCAGAAATTGCTTGTTTGCATACTGTACCCAGTTGGTGTTTTCTGCACTATCATTTATTCATTTGACTTATCCAACTATATATTTATAGAATGAAATCATGTATTTTGTATGCATACACATGAATGAATATTGCATTATTTAGATAATTAGCAACTCAAACAAGAAAAATTAGTGTGTATTAAACCAAATATAGCCTCTCTCAATGGCTCAAGCTGATCGAATAATTTTTTTTATTTGGTAGGTGATTTCTAACTTCTAAGAGATCATAGCTCTAAATCCAGAAAATCCCTCCCTGTTGAACACAGACAACAATGGGAGTGGAAAATCAGTCATTCAAATTGTTGCATCAATAAAACGCGTTTCGAGTCAGCTTGAGCCAACAATGGGAGTGGAAATCTCTCCCTGTTGAACAAGACAACAATCGTTGCATCAAGGCATATCTTTTTACAGATTAAGCAGAAAAATATTGTTGTATATCTTGGTCCTTGAAGACATAAGTGAGTTCAAAACGTTTTAGAAGTTGCAGGGTACCTAGAGAATTACTATATTCATAAACTAATTATGGCCTTACAGAGTAAGATTTGGTGTTATTTTTCAGTTATTCTCATGAGATCCAGTACACAGTAAAATATGATTAACACTTTCAGAACCTTCATTAAGATTTAGTTTTATGTCAGTCTTTTACTGTTTTTTCTTGGATTGTTTCATGCCTTCTGCATTTTTCTAAGAGATCATATAGCTCCATAGAAGAAAGTTTTTATAGGTAGAAAAATTGTGTCATATTCATTTTATTAATCAATGAAATTATAATCTGATTGGTGCGCCTTCTATCGAATTAAGTGGCTTTTTGAAGGATAGGCATGGACCTGAAAGCTACAAGCTTCACAAGAAAAATATAGAAAATTAGGTTGTCATCCCTAATAAATATGGTAAGACAGATAGATTGTTATGTAATTTACTGCCGCTGCACCACAAAAGTCGTTTTGACAATTAATTTTCTAGAATTTTAATGCATTTGCAATTGATCCACCAATAACCCAGAAAAACAAATATTACCACCACCAATTAATTTCCTATACTCAAACATGTGTGCTATTCTGAATGTTAAGAGAAATCACTAAATCAGGTAAGCAACCTGAGAAACTAGTTTTCTGTGGCAACCATGAAGCTTTTTATCAGCCGGTGATCGATCTTTTATGCTTGTGGTAAGTGCAGCATGTGTCACTGTCTACTCTGTCTTTTGCTTCAAATGCATAGATTGGCAGGCCAAGGGTACTTTGTTACCTTTGTAAGCCTTGCATACATAGGCAGCAAAATTTTCATAATCCTGCATTAAGGCTAAATTTTTTTGAGAGACATATAGTCCTGCATCAAAGGAAAAAAAAATAAAAATACGGAGAGAGAGAGAGAGAGAGAGAGAGATGACCAACATTTCCAATTGGTTGGTTGTTCAGAACTAGCCATGGTAAAAACTTAAGAGGCGGATTGAGGTGCATGGTTTCATTAGCATAGTTTTGTTCAATCTGCATACCAGTTAAAACCCTAATCAGTTAATTATTATGCTGACCAGTTACTACTATTAGTTTACTAATCAAAATGACCTTTGTTCCATTTCCACTTTTGTAGCAATCCAAGATGGGTTTTGAAGGCAACCCCAACGAACTGAAACAAGTTTGCCATTCCTTCTGCCTTCCCTCAATGGCCAGAAATTCTATGCAGTAAATCAAAGCAAAATACTTGTTCTGCATCACAAATTCATTGGGGGGTTTAAGATAATGCAGAGATTTAAATATATTTACCAGCTTAAAGGCCAAAAATAGCACAGCCTCGGCCAACTTAACTACATTAATTAATATAAATATACATTACGCTCCAATATTACGTTATATCTAATTTTGCAGCAAATAGATTGTGTGGGAAGAGAGGGGTCTCACCACATCATGCAAAACATTGATGGCGCATGCTTCCACAGAATTTAGCCTGCACTCATCTGGCCCATGCTGTATAATTTTACAAAATTTAATCATCAAGCAATTAAACATCTCACCGTAATTTTGAAGATTATAGAAAAATAAAATGCATATAACGGTGAGGGTTTAGACTGTCGGTTGTCCATGCAAGTTGTCACAAGATAGAATGTGACTGTCATAAACAAAAACCTGTTTGGTTGCTGAGATTTTGATGGAAAAGAAAAGGAACCAAAATATGGGCAAGTTTAATTCATGTAAACAAAATGCAAAACCAATTAAAAAGGTAAAGTTAGAGATGGAACCTGACAAACAGTGGAGTTCTGAGATGAATTGGTAGATGCCTTTCCCCAAGGAACCAGTCTGAGATTGAGAATGGTGATGAGATTGTTATCAAATATTTGAGCAAGATTTTTGACGATGAAAGTAGCACAAAATGGGCATAGAGTTTCATAGTAAACTGAGAGAGTAACTTTCTGAGCTTCAATCCTAGAAACTCCAAATCTGCCATTTTCTGCAGCATCAGATGAAAATGTGGTCAAGAAAATAGAACAGGCAATGAGAGAAGTGAAGAACAGATAAGCAGAAGCCATTGTTGAGTTAGAGATTTGAGAGCCTGCTATGTGCAGAGGCTTCATAGCAGAGCAGTGTGTCTTCCTTTATGTCAGTTGGCTTCAAATCCAACCCAACATGTGAATAAATTTTCAATTTATTATAAACTATTTTGTAGCTGTCAAATCCCTTTCAATGTAATTTGCAAAAATGATTGTGAACTCTATTTCCTTTTAAGTCTTTTATTGTGTTTGTCCTGTATAATTTTGGCAAAAGTCATCCAAGCTTTTGTAACTCTTAAGCCTTATCAGAGGTAAATTTCTCTCACAAACTTCAACTTTAGTGAACCAGTAAAAGAACTATTTTGCTAGTATAGTAATCTGCAAAACTAATCAATGGAGCAAGCACAACCACCGACTGCTGTCAGGTTTGCCATCACTTGGTCACCTCCATCATAAATTCATAATGCTGGCATGAAAAGACGAGAACATTTAACGACTTAACATAACAGTTGCATCAATAAAACGCTGCGCATTGAACCTTCTCTGGTGTTCACAAATTACATCAGAGCAGGATATATAAATTCTGAGACATGGGATTTGCCAATCTGAGCACTATAAGTTACAAACTAGCTTCATTCAACTATATCAGATCAACATTATTAGTGAAGCAGCAGCCATGAAAGCTTTGCCTCATCTTAAAGCCTCATCTTAAACCTTTCTGTGCTGGTGCTTCTGATAATATGAAGAGTTTCTTCCTTCGCTTGCACGACAAACTTGAGGAACCAGTTTTTCTTTCCCCATTGATTCAGTCGTAAAACGGACTGATCTGCAAGCTTCCGGAGGTTTGCCTTTGTAAGCCTTGCATATGTAGGCCATAAAATTTTCATAATCCTACATAGAGGAAATTGTTAATGAGGGTGACAAAAGAGAAACAAAAATTAAGAGATGAGATCCCAAAGGAAAATAATAAGTTGACAAACCTCTTGAAGTGGTTGATTGTTCACAAGAATCCATGGCACAAATCTAAGTGGGGGTTTAATCTGAGCAGTTTCCCTACCATATTCTCCTTCAATCTATGTATGCAATGTATCAAACCCAAATTTCCAATCCATGAAGATTTCAATTCTGAAATAATGAAGCAGTTTTTATATATATGAACAGAAGTGAACTGACCAGATTGCCATTTCCACTGTTGTAGCAATCGATAGGGGTAGTGCCTAATCTAGTCATTTCAAAACAATTGGCCCATGCACTGTGTCTGCCCTGCAAGCTAAGGCGCTCAACGCAGTGGATGAATGCAAAATGCCGGTTCTGCATTAGAATTTTCTTCAACGTATTAGATCAAACACTGACTGTTTTAGGGTCATTTACATGTTTTGAACTACATTGATCATTTAGGTTTTGGCCAATGAGTTAAATATGTTTCTTCCTTGGGGGGCATTGAGGAGGAGCTTACCACATCAGGATAGATGGAAATGGTGCAGGCCTCAATTGTGTTGAGCAAACATTCATCTGATCCATGCTGCAAAACTCAAAATAAAGATAATAATAACAAAACAAAAGATGGTAGCTGACTGTTTGTACAGGAAGACACCATAATAATACCGGCCCACAAGAAAGTTAAGCCCCAGAGATACAGAAAAAGTTAAAAAATACTATGCAGCTGGAAACGACGTCGTTTGGGACATGTAAAGAGATAATGTTGTTGTTGCTAGTAGGTAGCTAGAACAAGAGGAGGAAATGAAAAGGAAGAACAGAGCAATGGAGGGAGGGGGCTGTTTTTTACCTGGCAGCTGAAGGAGCCGTCAGAGTTGAGCCAAGCGTTGCCCCAGGGGACCAGCCTGAGGTTGATGATGGAGATGAGACCATTCTGGAAGAGCTTGACCAGATGGTTGACTATGAAATCTGCACAATATGGACACAGAGTTTCATAGTAGAGAGCCACTGAAACTTTCTCAGAAGCATTACAGTAAGATGGGATTATCAACAACAACAGGAAGATGAAGAATGTCAACAATTTTCTAAAACCCATTTGACTGCATCAAACTAAACCAAACTACTTCTCTGCTCTGCTCTGCTTAAGTGCAAGAATAATTCTTGCATTTCAATGCCCATTCATTTGCTCTTAAAGCTGTATATATAAAATCGAAAATATTCTTACAAGTAAATGTTTCCTTTTAAATTTTGTGGATAAGTGATTTTCACTTGGGGCAGTTGGTTGGTGGCCTTTCTTTATCAGTGTGTACAGTGTGGGAGGGAACTTTTTGCCTTTTCTATTTTACTTTAATGTCATGGCTACGTGGAGAATTTGTTATCATGGTTCACTTCACATTCACAATGTGAGTTCCAATGCCCAAATGATTTCCAGAGTTACAGGCTTACTCCTAATTTTGCACTTGCTGAGTGTAAGCGGTGGCTAAGCCCAGAAAGGAAAAAGAAAAACACTGTGTAGGTCCTCGAGCAACAAAAAAGTGGAGATGATACGTAAGGGCTATACCCTACGCATGGGGAGGGGGCCAAGAAGCACTATTTTCTTTATGGGGCTACAGAAATACCATCAACAGTGGACCAAGTCTTTCCATCAAAAAGACAAAAAATGGTAGAGAAGAAGTCTTAGGACATTTTAAGATGTGAGTTAGGCCAATTGATTGAGGTAGTGTGTCTGCCCCCTTGCACGATCCACCTTCGCATGCACATTAGAGTGATAATACGAGGGAGGTATGTTCAATGTTGTGATAAAGAAAAAAGAAGAACAGAATGTGTTACGGAAAAAAATAATAAATAAATAAATAAAAATAAGAATGTGATTTGATAGAATTTTATTCCAAGAAATTCTTAGGCCCGAAAAATGGTCATTGGATTTAGCCCAGGCCAAGCCCAAACTTGAATTACATCCACTTTCAGCAGTCAAGGCTGAAAACCCCTCTTTCTCCGTCCCCCTCATCTCCTCCATTTTCAACCTCTGTGTCAACAATAAAACCCAAAAATCTCAAATTTAGAGGTTTCCCAAATTCACACTTCCTCCAATGGCCTCCATCAACTTCAACCCCTTCGAAAGCTGGTTCAAGAAACCGCCAAACCCACTCCCGCCCATCAACCTCCTCTCACTCACAGACTCGTTTTTCCACAGAGCCACCCAAACAACAACCTCTCCCAATTTCTCTGCACTCAGCCTCTCAAACCTCTTCAAGGGCCCTCCAAAACCCTACCCGAAAACCCCCTCCGAACCCGAGAAACCGGGACCCTACACCGAGATGCTGGAGCAGTACTTCTGGGAATGCGAGAACGCACCAGATTACAGGCACGCCCCAGAGGTCGATAAGATACTGAGCGAAGACCCAATATTCGAAAAGAAAGAGAACCCAACTGAGGAGGAGCTCAGAGAGAACGAGAAGTTCTGGAAGGAGTTCAGGGAGAGCCCAGTTGTGCAGTTCTTGGCTCGAGCTGAGCAGATTGCCGAGAAGATCAACGAGATGGAACTCAAAGAGAATGACAGACCGTACAGGGATGAAGATAAGAAACTGTGGCAGGCTGTGCCGAATGTTATTGGGCCGGACGGAAGACCCATGCCGAGGAAGGCCATAAAGACGAGGGAAGAGTCTGATGACAAGTTCTGGGATTTTGCAAGGCAGTTCTTTTTTGGGCTTTGGGGGTTCCGCCAGAGGCCTTACCCGCCCGGCCGGCCTATCGATGTTGCTCAGGCAGTTGGGTATAAGAAGCTTGAGAAGCGCTACTATGACTGTAAGTTTATGTGATTAAAGCTTTGTGGTTAAAAAGCATGAACCTTTGAAGAATGTGTGTTTTTAGTTTGGTTTAACTGTATAGTGTAGTGAGTTTATGAAAATGACTTTCTGGTCTTGCTTAAACCTTCTGATTGTTTAATTGTTAGCTTTTGGAATTGGCTAATTGTATTTTAATCACAACGCATTTGCTTTTAATTAAGTGCAGCTGTTTTCATTCACTTACTACTGAAATTCTTTGTGGTTTGACGTGTGTTGAAGTAATACATCATACTTCTATTGTTTTGTTAACCAGTTATTCTTCTACTCAAACTCCTTAATGACATTCTGCATGTGTATTGGACAGGATGCATTGTGTGATGTTTGTTTGATTGTTATTCTGCATGTGTTGTTCATAATATTGATGTTATATGGTTTTTATAGTTATCATGAGGAGTGGTGGATGGTACTATAAGGACCGGTTGGGCCGAACAAGAGGTCCATTGGAGCTTATTACTCTTAAAACGGCTTGGGGTGCTGGGATTATTGACAAAGATACATTCATTTGGGGTGAGGACATGGATGAATGGGTTCCTATTCACATGGTTTATGGGTTGGAACCTGCTATTGCCACTTGGGAAGGTCTGCTTGTTTCCTTTTTCTCCCAACATCCATTTTGTATTATTTTAAAAAAAATATGACTGATAGTAGTGTAATTCTGTGTTTTCAACAAATTGATTCTTGGCTTGGTGATCTCCAGTTAGACTTGGGGCTGCTGCAACTGCTTTTATTCACAAACTACAAAAAGGAATTCCTCCTTGGGTTCCACTCAAGGGACATGAAAAAAAAACCTATAAGCAGCTACAAGAGGAGGCTATAGAAAGCAAGAGACGAGACTTAGCAGTACTTGAAGCTAATGATGGTGTTTGGCCAGGCGTTAGAATTCCGAGTCATGCTCTATTTCTTTGGGCTAGTGGCTCTGAACTGACAACAATTTTGGAAGAGGATCACATGCCGAACAAGTACATCCCAAAAGATCTTAGGTATGCAGTAGCAGTAGCATTTGGTGACTGATGTCTTACAATGTAAAATCATGAGTAAATTTTCTCGTCTCTATCTAATGTATCGTCTGGTTGTGAGCAGAATTGAATTGTCTAAAGCTATCCCTGGGTTAAGGCCATGGGAGGTTCTAAGTGTGGAACAAGCAATGGATCAGATAACATATGAGGGAGAGTGGTACCGCGAACCTCTTGGCACCTACACGACAGGTCCTCCATACATTCGACATTGGAATATGGATGTCAAGGTACAGAATTCCTTCTTAAATCAGTTGAGGATAAATCGTTTGTTTCCTTGAGTTTAATGATTATGTTCAACTTCAACTAACAATTGTTAAACTAAAGATCGCACACTATCAATTTGAAAGAAAAACCTTATTGCCTATTGCTAACTAAATTGGTTGTGTTATGTAAGTTTTCTTTATTTTTTAGAATTTTGAATCCTGGTTTTTGTAACTGAAGTATTTCTCTAATAAACTTCCATCAGTCAATCACCCAAGGAAGTGAAACGGATATAATGTTTTGTGAAAATATGCTATGGAGATTTGTTTGCATATTAGTTCCTCAACCTCTTTGGACATTTTTGCATAAAATTCCCTTCTTTAGGGATGTGCATGTACTTCTATTAAACCTTTCTCTCTCTGTGTGTGCTCGCAGAGACTCTATAGGATTTTTGCCAACCTAAGCACCCGAGTCTACCAGAAAATGGAGAGAACAATTCCTGGTTTCGATAAAATAATGGAGAAAGTTCAAGCTGATGCTAATGCAAGGTATGCCAGACGTAAGGCAAGAAGAGAGGCAGAGAAGAAAGCCGCGTTGGAAAGATCCTTGGGAGTTCAAAGTAATCCTTAACTTCAAAATCCCACCTTCACTTCATGGTGATAGCTTTGAGAATATACTTGTGAATGCATGGGAGGATGGTAAGGTTAGATATGAAAAGAGACTGTCTTCGTTTTGTGCTGCCAAGATCCTCTTTCACTCTGAGTCGATTGTATCTACAGCCATCTAGTTTCAATTTTTGTAATAAACCCTGTATCAAATTTTTTTATTTCTTTGTATCAAACCATTTTTAACATGGAAAGTATGTGATCCTTCTCTTAACTCAATGTCAAGTTAAGCGAATTATCTATTTATCTATGTGCAATTGAAATTTGATTCATAATTGAATATTTGGGTTGAGAGAACACTTAACCCAAATATTCAATTATGCAAAAGGACCTCAACTTGGTGTAGACTGCAGCAATGGTGTTTTTCTGTTCTTTCAGCAATTTTCATGGGGGTTAACGCTTTGCAGAGTCTATGGCCTTCAACTTTGGTGCTCAAATCAAATCCGACAAGAAGTGTTACCCAACCGACCTTATTTGGGGATACGCCATGTAATGCAAATTGTGACACGTGGTTTCTCTGGATTGGCATTTTTTTCAGTGAGACATCATTTACGATGAACGTGTAACAAAACCATAGCTTGTCGTTAAAAGACTCTGCTTTGGACGAGGACGCTTGTCCCCTTTACATAAGCTGCGCCTGCTTGCCCCATACCATGTAGCATCTGTGCAAAGGAAGAGAGAGAGAGAGAGAGAGAGAGAGATATTTGTGAACCCTAAAGATCAGAAAGAAAGATAGATAAAGAGAGAGAGATGGAGGATGTTATACCAGAATCTGAAAGCTTGTTGCTTCCGTTGAATCTGAGCCCAAGAGGAGGTGGTGGAGCCAAAGCTGAAGAAGGCCATCAGGAAGCTAATGGACGTGAAGGCAGGGCAAGTGGAGGTGAAGACAGAGAAGTTGAAAAAGAGAAGGCAAGCATGAATGGAGGAGATGAAGGTAAAGATGAAGAGAAAGGAGGTGGGCTTATAACCCATCTAATCTCCATAGTGTCACCAAGGAGCACTCCAAAAGCAGGGGAAGTGGCCAAAAGAAAAGTTGAGTTTGAGGTTGAAGATGATATAGGAAATAGGGGCTTTTCTGGTAAGTCAAAGCCAGAGCAAGATGTGGGCTCTGTTAGTGAAAATAATAGTGGAGGGGTAATCTCAAATCTCATCTCCAACTTTTTTAATCAGGGTGATGGCGGTGGAGGAGGAGGTGGAGAGAATGATGAGGTGGACAAAGAAGCAGAGAAAGTGATAGAGGATGTTGGAAATAAGAGAATGAAAATGGTAGAGGAGGAGAAAGGAGAGGTGGAGGGTGGTGGAGGGGGAGGAGGCATCTTTGACAACTTTGTCTCTCACTTGCCTACGTCTCTTCCAGGTCAGCCCAAGCATTTTATTTAGGCATTTTTATCTCATTTTTGGGAATATTATGGCTAATTTTTATGAGGTTTTGAATGTAAATTGACAATATTGTCACATGAACTCTGTTCTAATTACCAGATGATGCAGCTCCCTCGACTGACGAAGCCTCCATTCTCATTACCTCAATAGTTCGAGACTAAGCGGACGATATAATGTGCCTGCCAGCTCTGCTAGTGGCTGGCTTCTTCTTCTTCTTTTTCTTTTTCTTTTTTTTCCTTGTTCTTCCTTGGATATTTTCACGTAAATTATTGTTTTTTGTTTTCAATTTGTAATGTTGTTGTGATTCGGTATCAAAAGCTGTATTGGTAGAAGTATTGACTAGTGGAAAAATCTCTGTCGGCGTCTTCATTTTTACTTTGGCACATATGGTGGGCAAAGCCCAAGTAGCCCCAAAAGCATCATCATGAAGTAAGCCCAAAAGTGGAGATTCAACTTACACTCGATTCAAATGGGCCCAATCCAAACTCTGCATTTTTTGGATTATTAACCCCCAACAAAAAAGTTTTTTTGTTTTGTTTCTGTTTTTGTTTTTGTTTTGGTTGCCGAGTTTGGTTTGAGATTGGATGATGAATTATTGATTGAGTGGCAGTGGGTGAGATGTCATGGAGTGTAGTTGAAGACCACAAAAACCAGAAGCTGTTGCATGGCACATGCTTCAGTCCCTCCACTACTAGCAGTGCCAAAAGGATTAAGTGCCCAAAGAAAACTATATGGCCTTTTGGACCCTTTGGTTACACATTTTACTCTCTTCTAAATATCTTCTTTTTTAACTTTATAGCGTCAACGGAGTTTAGACCAATGAAAAAAGATCTTGTAGACTACCGGTCTTATATTCGAATCCTTATGACACCTTGGTATAGTGTGTGTGTACGAGTGTGAGAAATCTCATTCCCCTTGTAATTAAGACTATCACTTGTAATTATATAATAAAAATACTTTATATTACATAACATTTATTTACACAAAACTACCTACTTATTAATCTTACAGATAACATCACCGTTAGACCAATTAAAAAGAAAAAAACAAGTGTAGAGGCACAAACTAGACGGCATTGATAGAAAATCCAACTAACCGTTTGACTAGGGACCCATACACTACCTTCCTCCAATACGAGAAAAATGAGAATCTTGGGAACCAAGGATACGTGGGGAAAGCAAAAATCCAAAAGCAACTCTCCTACTCATTGTCCCTTTCTTCCCAATAAAGATTTGTCATTTCCACCATTAAATTATCAAATTTAGTTACTGTTACAGTTCACTATTCTTTGAACAAATGGGATTTGCCCAAATTAAGTTTCTTAGAATCCCATCCACAAAATGTTTAAACGTAGCTTAGACTATTACATCTACTTTCTCAATTTGGGTAAAATCCCATCTGTTATTCAAAATGGAACCAATACGTATTGCCAATTGTAGGCCTAGATCCTATATGGTTGATCAGATTGACATTGGAAGCAAAGTTCAATTGGGATGAAACTATAGGCCCTAGGTTTAAAATGCGTAATGGTCCAATCAGAGTGCAACAAAGTTCTGTCTTGATGAGTGTTTTTAAGTGCTATGTCTATATGCGTTTTGTTGTTTTGCCATGATATCATTAGTATTTTAGTCAGGGGAAGTTGGGACTAAACTGAAAATTCCAACATATAAAATGGAGAGCAGGAGGGGAAGGAATAGGAGCCATGTAAAGATGATGGGTTGGAGAACCTGGATGTGCTTCAAGCGATCCTTCCTCCTCCCAACTAAGTGCTTTCTTCTCAAGCTTACTTCACGGTCAAGAAACAAAGCCAAAGGTGAGTTCAAGTTTCACACAATCCAATTGCACAAAACACACACTCTCTCTCTCTCTTCTCTGTCAACCCTTTTCTGAGATGTGGCAGAAATTGCAGGAAATGGGCATGGATTGGTGAATCTGTACAAAGACATGGAGTCTTGTGGTGAATATGAAGATATAAGAGTGATGTGGGAGATAATTCACTCTTGTCCACAGAAAACAAACAGCAGTAATAGTAGGAAGAGGTCTTCCTCTCATTGGAGATTCTGTCTTCAGCCTACTTGAATTTTGTCGTTCTTTCTTAAGCAGTTAGCTTTGGTTTAAGATCTATCACAGCTTTGATTATGCAGGATGTGACTTGTAAATACCAGTATCTGAGTGAGTATAGATGATAAGTTGCTCTGGATTTTTCATTTTTAGCGTTTGTGGAGCACAATACTCTGTAGTTTAAGAACAGCAGAATGAGAGTATTTCAAATAAGCATTTGGCAACATCCACTTAATCATAACAGAACATAATTTGTATACATAACCATAGGATTGCTAAATTCTGAACTACAAAGCCTTTGACATGATAGGAGGTCAAGAAGTTTGCCTAATCCAAGTCGCTTCTACTATCAAATATCACACCTGCAATGAACCTTTCACTAGACAAGTTTGAAGCAATCGATCCCTTCAATCAGCGATTTTGCGCTGCAGTAAGTTTGTTCTGACATGTCGAAGGCGGCTATCTGAGTTCGCACTCTTATCAGCTTCCTAAATAATTATACATAATTCTGGAGAGAGATCACTCCAAGACAATTTAAGCTCCCTCATGAAGGAGCGTTTGATCAAAGTGCCACACTCCTGCAAGCCACCAAACAGCTCATTTAGAGTCCATCAAGTAAGAGTGGTGAGGAAACAATTGAGTTAATGGTTGTGGCTAATTGAAAGGAAAATATGATGGTGAAGAGTTGAACTATGAAATCTACTTCATACCATGGCCTTTTCCAACCCTCCGCAATTGAGTGACATAATCAGCTGTCTTCTTTATGGCTTCAACCTGTATAATAGATACGATAGGAAGTGATTAGTCAGTGTTATAAGATTAAATAATTGTTAACCACCAGCCTAAACCTAAAATCTAAGTCATCAACAAACAAAACTTATCACCCCAGCTTAAAAAGTTGTAATTTTTCTTATCCAAGTTGGGTTGGGTATTTATGGGAAAACTGTTCCTTGCAGAAACCGTTTTCTTCTGCATTTTAATTGCTTTCTTCAAAATGAATCTTATGTCTAGTATAGAACAGAAAATGTGTTTCACCTGCTCAGCCAGAAACTCGGTCTCTATAAAATCTGTCAATTGGGCATCATTGTTATGCTCCGCCACCTGTTTTTGATCAGCAACAAAACAAGAATATATCTTAATAAGAAGAATTTTGAACAAATAGAAAGAGTTAAATAGAACCCAGGCACCATGAGCTATGTCCTCAAACAAATCTCATATGATAGAGATGTATCACCTTATGCAAGTTTAAGAGCTTTTCATTTGTCAGCTTCTCCAAAGACAATGCTAACTCCATAGCTGCATCAAGGAGTCAATGAAAAACAAGTTATTTAGATAGGGGACTAATTTCAATCCAAGAAGAAGAAGAAGAAAAAAAAGCCCCGAACACAGCGCGGTAATAGTAAAAACAAATCTTGGTCAATCACAAGAAATTATCAAGAATTTAGAGATGTTGGCAAAGCAAATAAAAACAAATAAGCATGTAGAAGATATAAAAGTTTACAATCTTACCATACAATGCTTCTCCCTTCTCTGCATGATCAAACTCTGAAGGGGGCTCTATTATAGAGTGTAGTTTTACTCTTCCACCTCGTTTGTTCTGAGCATAATTGATAATAATACCATCAGATCTCCAAAACAAACATAAATAAAACTTGTATCTTCTTCATGAGGAAATTAAACAAGACTGCAGAGTATTGGGATTAACTTATACCTGATATGTCATGAACTTTTCAGCATGATCTCTTTCTTCCTCACTTGATTCCTTGAAAAACCTGATTGCAACATAACCAATTAACCATGGATTAATTAAATTCATTAATAAAAAATAATATTTATATTTAAAAAAAAACCCTTATGCAGAGGGGTATTTTGGGATTTGTGTTTACTTGGCAAGGCCCTTGAGAGCAATATTGTCTCTGTCAAAGTATGCAAAGAGGGCATGGTACACATAAGACACATTGTATTCCACACTGTCACACAAAAACAAAAGCATATAATTATCATCAGAACAAAAAGCAACAACATTTAAAATTAAAATTAAAATTCCAACAAGAAGAAAGATACACACTTGATCTGCTCGTTGATTGCAGCTTCAGAGTCATCTGCGTAACGCTGGCGAGCAAGAGATAGCAGAGGGGACACAGGAACAACAAAAGCATCGCTCTTGACCTCTTCAAACGGCTCAAACACCACCCCAGTCACCGTCGCTGTCTTCGTCTCGTTCGACGCGGAAACCGCAAACTTGTTGAGCTTCCTCTGCTCACAGAAACTTAGAGAAAAAGCACGGCTCAGAGCAGAGGAGGAAGATCCAGCCTTTGAGCACAGCAAGAGGCTGCTCATAGCACCATCCCCTTGCTTGTTTGGGATGGAAAATGTTGAAATGAGCCCCAAAGACATTGTTTTTTTTTATCTAAAATCAGATAAGCTGAAATGGGTTTCGAAAAGCAGAGACTTTTGAGCAAGAATCTGGACTGAAAATTGGAGAGGAGGAGTTGGTTGAGGGTTTGAGGAGGCTTGAGGAGATATATAGCGATATGGTGGAAAGCCAGCTGGCATGGGCTTTATTGTGGGCCGTTGGATTGGAAAATACGTAGATTGTTGAGATCATAACACGTGTTTAGGCGTGTGGCCACCTCGTGGTGGTCTATCCATTACCGCAAATATCGTGTAATCTACCATAAAATCCGCTCCACGTTGCAATCTTAGCATACTAAATAATTTGTCTTCTTTACGACATTTTTCTCACTCCCTCGAGTGTCGTATATAGGCTTACTCGCGACATCAGTCGCCAAAACTGTACGGAAAGGACATGTTCGTAAAATGAGAGACTTTTTATGGGCGAGTAACCTACGTGGTATGGTGAGCTTTGAAAAGCTTCTAGTCCGTGACCAAATAGTAGACGGCTCCTTTTGAAAAGTATGATGTAGAAAAACCTCGAAGCTTCTGTACAGAAAAATGTAAATAAAAATAATTTAAAATTTAAATGAAAAGGGTAGTTGAGTTATCAGGTCTAATATAAATTATGATTTTTGGAGGGACGTTTACAGTATACACGGATTTGGGTGGGCGAGGAAATTAATTGGGTGTCCAAGTTTTTGCTTGTTTTGTTAATGGGCCAAAAGCCAGCTTGTAGATCCGTCGACGTTGGTTATGATTGGACTGATTTTAAAATTTTTTTTTCTGGGCTGATCCAGTCCAGGTCACAATTGCCTGCTACACTACTTTACTCAAGGGTGAAGTGAACCATATCAAATGTAATGGGTGCGTATGCAATATTTGGTGACGTTAGGTTACTAGTGGTCTTTTGAGAACCGGTAGAGGGTTCAATTTTCTTAAACTTTCATCGGACTCAAAACGCAAATGGATGAAATGAGCTGTTGAGGAGTTGAATGAGATGCAAAATATGAGGAAAGATGCATGTCCTAATGGAAAATTGGTCATGGAAGACATTTTATTATACTCTTCGGCATCGTTTAGTTGGCTGGTCTGAACAAACATTTTACTAAACTTTAACCCTTTTATTTTGGACTTCAATCGTAAACTCATGTTCCGGTCCAGAACACATTAACGCTGACTAAAAACAGGCCACCTCTAATTAGACTTGTCATATCCAAGTGGGTACACCAAACGAGTGCTTTCAAGTTTGTTACATAACTCAGGCAAATAGGCCAAAAGGCTCTGGACAACATCAGAAAACAAGCATACCAATGAGTTACGCAAGGAAACTGCAAAAATGAACAACATGCATGCTCGAAGTTGATATCAGACGTATCAGCTTTGTCTGATATGGAATGAGGAACCTTGACTTTAGACATTAATGCCGACACCATGCATATGTATGATGGATGTGTGACTATATATATTGAGGGATTGAGGGATGGTGTCAATATTAAGGACATACCGAGAACTACCGGTCTCTCAAATAAATTTATTTGAGGGACATCTTTGTAGGGGCTCACTCCGTATTATATTTCGTAATCCAAACCGTCTATTTTTTAGACAATCATTCAAAGATCATCTCTACAAAAAAATCACTTGAATCCGATATCATTTGACCACTCAATTGAGTTATTGAAATTTTAGTACTTTCTTAAAGCAGTTTATTGATTTTGTAGGACACAATTGGATATCGAAACGGTTTCCGATTTGTCTAATTTTTTGCAAGGATGATCTATAAATGTAGACTTAAAAACTAGATTGTTTGGATCGTTGAAAAAAAATTTCATAGGAGACCTTAAAAAGTGTCCCTTAAATAAAATTATTTAAAAAATTTCTCAATAAAAGGAGACTAATATATATATGTTATATTACATTTACATGATGTTGAACAGGAAATCTGTATTTTCAGAACTCTCTCCCTTTCTCCCTTCACAGCTGATAAAGTCATAAACTACGACGGAAGGGTTTTTGTCCTTTTCAGACCCACAAAATGTCTAACAATTTTTGTACATAATACATTCTCCCTCCACCATAATTTGTCTTGGGCTACTGTCTTTGATCAACTAAGATTTATTATAATAATTGAATCCCAATACTTATGGCTGTGGAGATGACACGATCACTCCCGTGGTAGTTATTATGGGAGCCTCATCAGGGGATTGTTTCTCATTGATTTGAGATTGAATTGAAATGCGAAATTTTTTGAGAGTGATGGAAGCTGATTGTGGTAAGACGGTGTGCGTGTGGACACAAACCAGGATTGAAGCTTGTGGATGGCACAAGCATGGCATTTCATTTTGTCCTTAAGCTTATGGAATTGTCTTCCTCTCTAGAACTCACAATTCACTCAATTTTGTGTGAATTTTACGGAGTAATATACCCTAGATAATTCTTATTTCTTTCTCTAATGGTTTGTATTTTCTATCATCTTATTTATGTTGGTCCAAATTCTTTCCTCAGTTATGATTGATAAAAAACATAAACCTTGTAAGAGGTTTGTAACTCAAGTGGTTCAGAGCATTTATCTTTGCATCCGAGGTCATGTGTTCGATTTCCCCCTCCCCAATATTGTGTGTATAAAAGAAAAAACATAAAACTTCAATTTGGTTGCAGTTACTGCAACTCTAAGATTATAGGAAGAAATGAACTTTGGGGTGTCACTTAATGCAATTTACAAACATTCTTTTCAAACGGCTAGTCTGGTCCACTGAAATGGTAACAGAAAAACCAATTCTACTCTATTTAGGCACATTTTAGTATCTCCCAGTTAGGATCTTTTCTGATTCTCATTGATCTCTCAAAGACTCCATTTTGATTACTTTCTTTCTTTCTCTCATTCATTCTAATCTTGATATGTGTAAATGTAATTCAGTCTCTTTCTCTCTCTCACATTTTATCTTAAATCCTCCCAAAACCATCACTCTCTCTACATGGAGACAACCCAATACTTCTCTTTCAACCAAAAAGCGATCTGCACACCCCAATTATTCAGTTCCTCTTTTAAACTCTCCTACCCCATTTCCACTCTCCTCCACCACCACTACCGTTCCTCACCATGGCCACTGATGCCTCCCCTGCATTCAGAACCGTTCCTCAACCCCACGACTTCCACCCCGAAATATCGGTATCTCCTTCACCCACCCACGACGGCCTTGAGTTCAGGCAGTTCATGATTGCAGGCTCCATAGCTGGCCTAGTTGAGCACATGGCTATGTTCCCAGTTGACACCCTCAAAACCAGGATGCAGGTTTTTGGTGGGTCTTGCTCTGTTCAGCCAATCGGTGTTCGACAAGCCCTCGGATCGATTTTGAAACTTGAAGGCCTTGCAGGTCTCTACCGTGGGATTGGAGCAATGGGACTTGGTGCAGGACCTGCCCATGCTGTTTATTTCTCAGTTTATGAGATGTCCAAGGAGTTTTTCACACGTGGAAATCCAAATAGTTCAGCTGCGCATGCAGTTTCTGGAGTTTTTGCAACTGTTACAAGCGATGCTGTGATCACGCCCATGGATGTTGTGAAGCAGAGGTTGCAGTTGCAGAGCAGCCCTTATAAGGGTGTTGCAGATTGTGTGAAGAGGGTTTTGGTGGAAGAAGGAGTAGGAGCTTTTTACAAGTCGTATAAGACCACTGTTGTGATGAACGCCCCATTTACCGCTGTGCATTTTGCTACATATGAAGCTGCAAAGAGAGGGCTAATGGAGGTGTCGCCAGAGAGCGCCAGCGACGAGAGGTTGGTGGTTCATGCCACTGCTGGTGCAGCTGCTGGGGCTTTGGCTGCTGCTGTCACTACCCCTCTTGATGTTGTGAAAACCCAATTGCAGTGCCAGGTTAGAAGCTTTGTTAATTTGTTGCTTCAGCATGCAAGTTTTTAATCCAAATGTTAATGGATTTCATTGGGGTTTGAATGCAAAGTCTTGATGTTGTTTAGTAACTTGCAAGTAATTGAAAGCATGGCCTGAGCGATAAAGTTTAGGGATTTGCTTTAAGCTAAATTTATTATGAAGTCATGAACCAAACTGTTCTCTTTTCACATAGGGGGTGTGTGGATGTGATAGATTTTCTAGCAGCTCGATAGGGGATGTTATTCGAAGCCTCGTGACGAATGATGGATATCGAGGGCTTATGAGAGGTTGGGTTCCCAGGATGCTCTTTCATGCTCCTGCAGCTGCAATTTGCTGGTCTACTTATGAAGCATCAAAAACCTTCTTTCAAGAACTCAATGGCAGTGAGAGTTGCAGAACCCGATCAGGTAACATTCAAGGTTGCATATCTGCAGAAACCTCAACTGGGGTTATCAATTCTCATCCTGGAGCAGCAGCATTTGGAGTTACACATGCACAAAATCATCTCAGTCCAAGCTCTTGTTCATATAAAAACAATGATGTAGATATAAATTATCAATCGAAGGGGGAATGATCATTCCCAGCTTCTAACTGCTTGGCAAAAACGAACTATTCTTCATGGATTATATGCTCAGGTGCTTGCTACTCCATCTATTCTATTCTACATATTATAGGTGCAAACACACGAAGTTTTGCGACAAACAAGACAAGAACACAGCTAATCTAGTCAGTGTCACAAATTTGGCCAATTTCATCCATGTGTATTTCTCAGTTCCTAAATGTAGTTATTTCCGTCTCAGTTCTGTTAAAATAAATTCTTAAACCATTTTTAAATTACTAAAAACTTCTAGTTATGTACCTGCACAACTTTTTGAGAACAATATTACTTAAATGGTATGGAAGGGTGCTAGAAATTTGTCTACAAGGGCACGGTTGGCCATTGGCCAACATGATATCTGATCACTGCATCAAACATTAGAAAATGTTCAACCCACCAAACAGGAGAAAATATTAACTGGATCAAACCGTTCAACATCCACAGGAAAACATACATGAGTTGATTAAACCAGTTTTCATACAAGCAAAACGGTTCAACAACTTTAACCAACTAAATTACACAATAGTAACCGATGAGCATTTTGACCTTTTTTTAAAACTTCTCTACAGTGATGCCGTCTCTAAGAACCTCATAAGCCTCTCTATTCCTGGTTCTCTTCAACCCAGCTGTGAAATGGAGCTTTGATCCCTCAGATGTGATACAGGACACATTTACCCATATAATCACCTTTGTCTTCATCCCCTGGATGTCTTCTAGCCTTCCTTTCTTCAAATATCCAGTTACAATGGTGAAGAAACGCAAAACAGATGAATCTCTGTACCCCACTTCACAGGCTGCCGGTATGTAGACTGTAAGTTTTCCCGTCTCCTCATTAAATTCATAGTTGGTAGCATCACGAGGAAATATTCCTACTGCCATGTCAAAATCCTTTAGAAGCTCGGGCAATGGCTTTTGCATTTTTCCTGTGAAGAGAACACTTATTCTTATTTATAATGCTATGGAAATTTAAGAAAATAACAGACCTACACACAGATTAGAAAAACTTAATCAACTCTTTTCAATCTACTACGCCAACCCAATGACCCAGTTCGCACCAAAAAAGGAGAAAAATAATATAAAACAGTATGAAAGAGTATTAACAGGGATATGACCTAATCTGTACATACATCCTGAAGATAGCAGTTTATATAGTCCAAAATCAAGACCATTAAAGCACCACTCCCCTCTCCCTGGCTGTACAAATACAACTTATATCACTCAATGTTTTTCTTCTGCCTTGTAAAGTTATGTTATTTCTAGAAACCCCGACAGTAAGTCCCATTCTTAAACTCCATTTACGGCATCATCGAAAATCAAGCAAGTCAAATCCACATCAAAAGGGTCATATACTCGTATTTACCCTGCTCTGCATTAACCAATAAACCAATTCAAGCATATGAAAAAACCCTTCAACAACCACATTGCATTTTACAGCTCTGTCACACGCTCACTTTTAATTGCCACTATTATCTATCAAAACCCTGAATCAATTCTACAAATGTCAGAACTTTCTGACTTGCAAAGTCAGTCATATAATAGCATACATTAGGTTAGTGTAACAGGCAAAGTAACTAAACAGAGTGAGCAGAAAAAAACTAACCTTTGAGTTTATTAACCAACCATTTGGTTCCTCCTTCGATGCTAGTTTGCAATGACTAATCATTACACAAACAATGTTAGTATACAAATATGTAATAAAACCCACACAAAAAAGTAACGGAACGAAAACAAAACCCAAATTGGGGAAAGTATAAATCTTGACAATTAATATATATGGAATCAATCATCCTTCAGATTTAATAAAACAAAAATTTAACGAACGAGTAAATCTAATGACGATTACGAAAGTGGGTTACGCAAAGAAAACTCAGATCATACAAAGAAATCGACTTTCAGAACCGAAATCGTTAAGAACAAGAGAACCCTAATTGGATCCTAAATCACATCAAAAATTCAAAATCAAAACTAATGAAATTGAGATCCAGATGGGCGTAGAAAGAAACGCACGTTGATATCATCGCCGACGGAGGTGAGCTCCTTGTTGGCCTTCTGGCTGAACCAGTAGGAACCCGCCTTGTTCAAAATCTGATCCATGTAAAATGTTCTCCCTCTGTCTCGGCGATGTGTTGATGGGGTGGAAGGAACCGAGCAGATTGTTTGAGAGAGAACAAGGCTGGCCTCTGCGTCTCAGCCTTGGTTCTGATGACTTCTTCTCAGAAATTCTCTCCCACCTCAGAAATTTCCATTCAATTTCGGACTGCTATCCGCTCGTTCAATGTTCTTTTTTGCACGCCAGGTCGTTTCATTCTATACAATGGCGCACATAATAACCTGTGTGCTTTCCCTCATTTGACTGCGCATTACCGTCAAGGGAAACGACTGCCGTTTGTTCTTCATTTTGTTTATTCGTCGAAAAGTTGTTTTCGTATACAATTTCCTTATAACTAATTTTTCTTGGTTACATAAAATAATTGTGAATCTTATAGGTTTACAATGGCTTGTATGCACTGTTTGTTCTTCTTATACATATTGGCACAAGTATCGTATTGTAATTTTTAACTTTTTTTCTTTAATAAAATATTTAAATATTAATCCTTTAAAAATAGTACAACCGTGCGGATTTACTATGGTTTTCTTTAAAAAAATAGTATAGCGGCTATACTTGGTTTCACATTACGCGCTAGGTGGGTTCTATTTTTATTTATTTATTTATAAATCGTATAGCCCGCTGCGATACTTGCATTCATTTTTTAATTTTTTCCAAAATAGGATAGCCGAGCGGCTTTATTACCGTTTTTTTTAATGGTATAGCCGCGCGGCTATACTGGGTTTCACACAGCGATAGTATAGCCGTGCGCCTATACTTGGGTTCACACGTGATCACCTAGGCAATAAACTGGTCCCCTTTTTTCCATAAATCGTATATTTAATTAATCAAAATATGGGCTTTGGGCACTGTGATTTAAATTAAACATGATTATTTATTTATTTATTTGAATTATTTTTAAAATTCAAAAGAAGAAAATACTATTAAATTATTAATTAAAAAGGGATATAATATAACAAATTGATGCAACCTGCAATTTAAATAATTTTTAATTAAATTGATCATTAAAATTTAGAAAACAATTGAACTAGTTCTATATATAGCTGATTGATTGACTCTTCTTGGCCTCTAAAGGCCGCTGCCCTATTTAGACCTCGAAAGGAAAGTATATATAGGTAGATAGAGGAAGATATCAAAACATCAAGTTGTGTTTAATTCGTATAATTATATAGCTGTAGCCTAGAGTTTCGTCGTATCCAGAACACTGTTTCTAATCCAAACCCAGGTCCCGGGGAAAAAGCATGCATGCATTATGCATATAGACTTGATCACGGTGTTGCTGTGCATGCCAATGCCATTCGTCATCAACCTGTGTCATGCACAGGGCACCGCTTACGATTAATCCTTTTTCTTCGCTATGAAGTAATTGTTTTACTTCTTCTTCTCTCTCTAGCTCTTTTCGCCCTAGATATTTAGCTACTTCCCATTCTTTTCTATATGCAGCTACGATCCATGGAGCCAGCAAAAAGTACACAACCATTTTAATTATAATAATGTAATAACTAAGGTTGGTACATTAGTTTTCAATCCCAGTGCTCGAAAGTATAAGATATATCTGTGTGTATCCAGTCCAGCTACACTTGAGCTCAATGTTCGCACAATTTATTTGGTCTTTAAAATATTCTTATGCAATCCTACCAGTACAGATTTTTTCCCATTAAGTACTAATATTTCAGCAGTTGCTAATCTCTCCTTTCCTTTGAAAATTATTTAATAGCGTTTGGCATATCACAATCTTGGACAAGTTGAGCATCAGATTCATCATTCATAAAGAAGCTCATCTTTTGAACTCACACGATCCAGTTGCCAAGTTAGACACGAAGAATCGGCGCGAAAATGACAATGTTATGTCTTAATTCTTAGTTTAAAAAGGCTTGATGATTATAACAACACCTACATAGGAAAGAAGAAGTGCTTTTATGTATATATCAAAACATAGTTCGTAACTTTAGTGGTTTTATTTTTCTTAATATTGGAAGAGATGACAAGTTGGAATTCTCTTTTTCATGTACAATATATTAGCTGTGTTTAGTTAATGTCAAGTGGGATGAAGTCGGTGTTCTATACAAAGAAATTTGTTATAAGAATAGAATCAATCTAGAAGAAAGATATCAACAGGGTAACATTTGAATAAAGCAACCAAGTGGGTGAAATTTTTTGAATATATATGACAAATTAGAAACTATATCCAATTGTGTCCTACAAAATCAATGAACACGGTGCTTTAAGAAAGTACTAAAATTTTAATAATTCAATTAAGTGGTCAAATGATATCGGATTTAAGTGATTTTTTTTTTTGTAGATATGGTCTTTGAAATAATATCTACATAATAGACAGTTTGGATTAGTAAAATACAATATGGAGTGGGCCCTACAAAGTTGTTCCTCAAATAAACTAATTTGAGGGATCTTGAATGAGTGAAATACAATACGGAGTAGACTCTACAAAATTGTCCTTTATTTGAGGGATCTATAAGCTCTATATATTCCAAATGGGTCCAAATTTTGGCTCTACGCACTTTGGACAAAAAGGGGTCTCATTCTGATATACGAACGGCGGTGCAAGGAGTGTGGAAGAGTTAACGCTGCCTAAACATGAATATGGATATATCTTATCCCTATGGCTTACTTTACACCCCACTTGATCCTCATTTGGCAATTGGCAAATTTGCAACGGCATGTCTATTTTTGTTTTGAGATATCTAAACACTGTTGTACCTAGCTTGCTTTCTATTTTCAATTGGTAAATATTGGGGGCAATGACCAAAAACCCCATATGAGTTATGTGGTTTATATATTAAGCCATTAAACAAGAGTACGGTTTTATCCTATACAACTTTGAATTGATTAAGGTTGTAGAGTTCCTATCCAAAGGACCACAGGCAGTTGTGAATTCAAATTATGCACGGTCCAATTTCTTCAAATTGAGACAAACTCTGTTCACCAACCGGTGGTCCGATGGTGGCCAATGCACCTTCATCTTCACAACATTTGAAATACATGCATACAATATTATGAAAGCTTTTATTAGATGTAGATGTTCGGGATTCAAAAGTGAAACTTCGTTATCAATATTTTTATTGTTTTTAATTATTACCTTTTATTTTTTTTGAAATGAAAATCAAATTCTTGACCTAACCTAACGTCCTTATAGATTTAAACTATTCTAGTAGAGAAAATTATTCAAAATCATGAGTTGGGGAATGGTATTTAAAGGAAATGATAACTTAATTAAATGCTCGTTATTTATTTTTCAGGAGGGTCAACTGGTAATCTAGCAAAATTTAATAAAAAACAAAAGAAAAACAGGACAGGGTTATTATGTAACTTCAACGCGACCAACTTGGGCTTATTTCCCTCCCCTCCCCTTTTTTCAATCTTTTTCTTTTTGGCTCAAAGGACCAACTTGGTTCTATTTTATAAGCCCCACATGAACTTTCATCAATAAAATATTCACCCATTCTTGGCTTTGAAAAATGCAACCAACTCATCTCTCTGTTTGTGCGTGAGAGAGAGAGAGAGAGAGAGAGAGTGCATAAGTAGAAGAATTAAGATCAACCACCGGAAAAGCAGAGCCTCCTCTACCAGAAGAAGCAGCTGAAAGCGACCACTATTTATTTATACCAAAAACCCAAAAAGCTACACACCAAAATCCCCCCCACAACACTTAAATTACCCATATGCCTCCCAACCCGCCCAGATCCTCAGTCTTGCTCCACCGGATCAACGCCCCAACGTCTGCCGCGTCCAATACGGCGTCGCTGCAGTGCCAAAACCAAAAGGGCGGAGGAGCGCTTCTACTCGGTAACAATAATAACAATAACAAGAGGCGGGCCCCACTCCCGGAAGCGCTGGCGCGGTACCACACTCACGCGGTTGGGCCCGACCAGTGCTGCTCGGCCGTGACGCAGGAGATCGCGGCCCCGGTGTCCACCGTGTGGTCGGTGGTCCGGCGCTTCGACAACCCGCAGGCCTACAAGAACTTCGTCAAGAGCTGCCACGTCATCGTCGGCGACGGCGACGTGGGCACGTTGCGCGAGGTGCGGGTGATATCGGGGCTGCCGGCGAACAGCAGCACGGAGAGGCTGGAGATCCTGGACGAGGAGAGCCACGTCATAAGCTTCAGCATGGTGGGTGGGGACCACCGGCTCTCGAACTACAAGTCGGTGACGACGCTGCACCCGTCACCCGCGGGCGGGACGGTGGTGGTGGAGTCGTACGCGGTGGACGTGCCGCAAGGGAACAGCAAGGAGGACACGTGTACGTTCGTGGACACGATTGTTCGCTGCAACCTCCAGTCACTGGCTCAGATCGCCGAGAATTTAGACCGACGCAAGTAATTATATGAAGTAATGATTTAATTAATTATATTATACCTTAATTAGCTTCTTCTTCCCTTCATGTCTGTCTGTCTGTGTCTGTATAGTGAGCTAAGTCAGTGGTTGCCTATTGATGGTTATACGCCGTCGTTTTGTGTTCCTTAATGTTAAAATCCGATGAAACAGTCACAGTCACAGCCGCGGTTCAATGGTTTGATGTTGTTTAATTAATGCTTTATATTATGTACATATATTAAGGGAATTTTCTATTTTCAATGGTTTTGGTTTGTGTAAATCCCATATTAATTATAATATATTAATTAGAAAGAAGAAAAAAAGGGTCAATAATGTTATATTGGCAGAAGACAACGCAATGCATGATGGCTGTGACGAAAATGGTGTTAAAATTGATGTGAAAAGAAAGAGCAGGAAGGAAGGCAGGCAGCTAGGCAGCCTATTGTTTTGTTGATTAGCTTTTTTGGTTGATTGATATGCGTATGGCCAGTGGCAGTACTGACTGAGTATACTGAGGCAGTGGGGGCTCTCGTAGCAAGAAAACTTACATAAGTTATCTTTCGTGTAAAAAGTATTATGAATTCGTATCTTTTTGTATTATATAAGTACTAATTAATGATCATGTAGATAATGTCGATGGTACGAATGTTGTTAATCACAAGTCAATCAGATTGATCAGTTGAAGGGTTAAGGTCTGAGTTTAGTTTAGGGTCTGTAATTAGCAATTGAATTAGCATGGTACATACACATACGACTAGCTGTCTGTGTGTCTGGTAGCCAATATGGGAAAGCCAACCTTGTTAGAATAGAAATACGTACAGTTATACTATTTTTGGGTCCGAAAAATACAGCGGATATATATAGTTTTAAAATAATACATATACATGTACAGAAAATGAATATATGATAATAAAACTTGGCGATGAAAATGATGTAGAACAATAGGAAAGCTGAAAATGAAGACGAGCTTCATGATATTTGTGTGTTTATAAATGAAAAGAAGGTAGCAAGTAGAAATGAGATAGTGAAAGGGAAATGAAAAGCTAAGGTAGGAATGAATAAAGGAGGAAAAAAAAGAATAAGAAAGCAAAGCATATTGTCGTGTTGTTTGGAATGGAAATTTTAGAGCGGTGGAATGAAAAGCATGCATGGGGTTTTTGAAGCATATTTGCATTAAAAAAATATAGTGAACAACGTGACGAGAATCAATATCTTATTTGCCTGCCCTACCCCACCACCCTCGCAACTTGACTTTTTGATAACGCAACTAGCAACGGGCAGCTTCTAGCTTCAAGCTTCAAGCTTCAAGCTTCAAACTTCTAGCTTAGCTGTTCGTTGGAAAAAAGAAGAAGAGAAAGGAAACATGCAAAGCAATATTTAGTTGCAACTTGCTGTCTCTCTGTCTCTCTCTCATAGTCATTGGGGGGGTTAAAGAAATATGCAAGTTGGGTTGGCTTAAATGGTTTCTTTTGAATTGGATTGGATTGATCTGTGGCTGAGATTGTGTGTTTTGATTGTTTTTGTTTGAATGGGACTAAATATTTGCAAGTTGGCGAGCAAGTGGGAGGAGGGTGGAGAAGGAGGAGGAGGGATGGCTTTTTAATGATCCCCGTGTATTCTCTCTCGTCTACTTTTCAATTCCTTCACGCCACCCCAATCACCCCATATGACCCGTTCCATCTCTCTCTCTCTCTCTCTCTCTCTCTCTTGCTGACCTGACTGCATCATCATCATGGGTCTTCTATGGTTTTTTTGCTTTTTCAATGGAATTTATTGATCGATTGGGATTACATCACTCATGACCTAGCTACCTGCTTCAAAAATTCATCATCTCTCTCACCCAATTAATTTCATTCAAGAAAAATAAAATAAATGAATAGAGGGTTGCCTTCCTAATTTGTACTTTTGGGTTTGTATATATTTCAACAAATTAATGTTATACATACACAACAAATTAGCTAATACATTTCAAACTGGATATTAACAAATTAATCTACATGGATCAATTCTTACTTTCTGCAGTCAACATTAGTGTCCTGGAAACCGTGAAACAGGGTATGTATTTTGGTCAATAACATTATAACACGTGTAATAACACTTTAATGTGACATAACATTGGAGATAACAAAACAATGCATCCAATTTGAATTCACTTTTTCTTTTCAATTTTCCCATCATCTTTTTCTTCAGCCAGCCATTTTGCTTTTAGAACGTACAGAATAAGTAGTAGCTAGGGAACAAGGAGGGTGACATATATATAGCTAGAATGGGCAAGCCAGTGAGGTGTTGAGGGGGATGGGGTAGGGGATGCCATAGATAGCCCAGAAGATGCATCTGATCTATAATAAGAGGGTTTTTGAGTTTCCTTTACGCACAACATTTTTAGATGTGGAGATGTCAACCACATTATTTTTTTCCAATGTATTTTGGCACTAACATTTTCAGCTAATTACTCTAAAATCTAGCTTGTCGATCAGACCAGTCCAAGTCTTAGGCCTTTCAATGGTTCCATCCAACCAATTGAACAACAAGAGTTTTGAGTGGTGTCACATCCAATTAGCCAATTTTCTATATGAACCAATTACTGGTCAAGGGGACTTTTGACACATCAGTATTAGCTGCCTGCCATCTAGTTAATCTCAAGCTACAAATGAATTAACTGCTAATTATTCCCATTAAATATTGTCTATGTTCAGTTAATGTACTAATAACGACCCTTATTTGACCTTAATATATATATATATATATATATATTTATGAATTAAGGTGGAATGTTCATGTTAAGCACTAGTTCAAGTTGTTTTGTCCTGACTAAGCAAGGACAAGGAACCATATGAAACCCAGATCGATCTATTTACATATCAACATCTCACCAAAACTTGTAACAATATATATATGTCAAATATATAGCTTAGCCTAGGCACATTGCTGTAAATACAATCCAAATAATTAAAGTATTTTGGCCCAGAGCAGCACAAACCAATTCAAAACTATTGCTGTCAGTAAACTACCAAGAAATGCATTTCAGCTGCTCCTAATAATTCCTGGATAAGAAAAAACTTGATCATGAAAATTGTTTCTCACCCACCACTTAGAGAAAAAAGCTTCAAAAGGGAGAAACCAGAGACTCCCCCCCAACATGCAAGCATCCAATTAGGCCAAATAGCTATAGCTAGAAAGAAACAAAAAACAGAGTAATGATTCAAATACTGCCTAAAAAGCACCAAATACTTCCTACGACAACATGGGGAATCAGAAGCAGCTTGCATTCCCTCATTGCAATTCTTGTAGCAACTCTTCTAATTGGAGCTGTTTATCTGACCCAAGATGGTGGATTGCAGCTGTTGTACCAGGATTGTACGATAATTACCACATTGGAAACTAGAGCAGCAGGAGCAGAGGACCCAAAATTGTCAATTAGCAGCAGCAAAAGCAGAAGCAGCAGCTGCAATTTGTTTTCAGGGAAATGGGTTTCTGATAACCAGTCTTATCCTCTCTATAAAGAGAGACAGTGCACTTATATGTCAGATCAATTGGCTTGTGAGAAGTTTGGGAGAAAAGACTTGAGCTATCAGAACTGGAGGTGGCAGCCCCACCAATGTGACCTCCCTAGGTCTCTCTCTCATCCCTCTTTTTTCTTTTTCTTTTTTTCTTTTCTGGGTTGTAATTTCATGCAAAAATATAATCTGGGTTGTTCTTTTGGTTAATGTTTTCATAGGGTTTTTTGAGTTTTGTGGGACTTTGTTCATGTAATATTATAAGCTAGGTTCAATGCCACAAAGTTGCTCGAGAGGCTAAGGAACAAGAGGCTTGTGTTTGTTGGGGACTCGTTGAATAGAGGTCAGTGGGTTTCCATGGTTTGCTTGGTCGAGTCTGCCATCAATCCAGACCTCAAATCCATGCCCAACAAAGCCAATGGCTCTTTGCTCATCTTCAAGGCCACTGTGAGTTTCCTTTTCCTCTCAAAACCCAATTTATTTGGGCCTGATTTGTAATTAGCAAAAACTAAGGCCCAAAATCACATGTTTGCATTGCAGATTCTTCCACCAACTTAATAAAAACAGACAAAACAAAGAAACAGAATCTTCTGCTGTCAGAAGTCTCGGTTTCTTATGTTTCCTTCTCTGATTAGTTTAATATAATTCTGATTAAGACGACTAATGTTTGTTTAATCTGATTTAATTAAGGAATACAATGCCACGATTGAGTTCTACTGGGCCCCATTGCTGGTGGAATCAAACTCTGATGATCCAGTGAACCACCGCGTACCAGATCGGATTGTAAGAGCGCAGGCAATTGAAAAACATGCAAGGCATTGGACGGATGCAGACGTTCTTGTTTTTAATTCATATCTCTGGTGGAGAAGGTCCCAAATGAACGTCTTGTAAGTATAGTTTTGTTTTGCTATTGCATTGCATGACCTCCAAAAACCCAACCAACGCTTTATGATCAAAAATTAGGTAGAGGTTAGATAGAACCAACCATTTGACTTTGCATTAAAACTTATTATAATTTTGGTTTTTTTGGGAATGATTAAGGTGGGGATCTTTTGAAAGCCAAGATGGGATTTACAAGGATGTTGAGCTGTTGAGGGTGTATGAGATGGCTCTCAAGACTTGGTCAGATTGGTTGGAGATCCATGTTAATCGAACCCAAGACCAAATTGTTTTTTGTTAGCATGTCACCCACTCACCAAAGGTACGCTTTATTTTATTTTATTTGAGATGAAAAGACGACGATAGTTGATGTATTAATTAACAATCGACTATAAAAATTAATATTAATGTAATAAGTACGCATCAATGAATCACGATGTCTTGTTGCAGTTCTAAAGAATGGGGCGAGACAAGTAGGGAGAATTGCTACAAAGAAACAGAGCCAATTACAGAGGAGGGATACTGGGGAAATGGATCAGACCCTAAAATGATGCGTCTGGTTGAGAATGTGCTTGATGGGTTGAGAGTAAGAGGTCTAGATGTACAAATCCTCAACATAACCCAACTCTCAGAGTACAGGAAAGAAGGGCATCCATCCATTTACAGGAAGCAATGGGAGCCTCTAACTGAAGAACAAGTATCAAATCCCAGCAGTTTTGCCGATTGTATACATTGGTGCCTCCCTGGAGTGCCTGATGTGTGGAATGAGCTCCTCTATGCTTACATTTTTCAACAATAACAACTTCTGTTTGGAAAAAAAAATTTCCAAACAGATCAAGCTTGTAACATCTTATCTGAATTTGTAAAAATCATGAATGTTGATGGCATGTTTACTAATCCGTAATTAGATTATGAGGAATTGAATTGAGGATGAGTTGGATTAAGGAGAATTAGATTCCGGATTCCTATTGAAATTGCTTACTAAATCATATGGATTGAGGGGAGTTAGATTTCGGATTCTTATTGAAGTTGTTTATTAAATCATATGGAATTGGGGATGAGTTGTGCTAATTACTAAAATGTCCTCGTTGTTAGGTTAAAGTAGATGACAAATTTGGAATTTTTAAAATTGTGTGATAATATAATGGGTAAAAAAGATGAATTCCTAATGAATTAGTTACCCAAGAATTGAATTCCTCCAAAATCAAGAATTCAATTCCTAATTTTGTGTGGATCCCACTTACTTTTTAATTCTTTAATGCAAAATAAACATAGAAATCCTCCATAGTTAGAATTCAATTTTTGATAAGAATTCCAATTTCTAATTAGTAAACACACCATGAATGAATTAGGAACATAAACACAATGGTTTAACTCAAGTAAATTTTTACTAAACATATCAAAACAGTGTAAAATTTAATGTCCATTTTTACCACTGTGAGATTTAATATCACATGTTTCAGCATTAACTTCAAACCACATGGCCTGTTTTAGCAAATCTCAAAGCATAACAAAGTTAGATTCTAAAGAAGTTTCACTTAATGTTGCTTTACCTTTATTTAGACAAAGTCTCTGCCTGTTATATACTTTTCTAATTTACCAATAAAAGTCTTAGGCCCTCTCGTTAGGAAAAGTCCTAAAAGAAAAAACAAAACAAAAATGAAGCTTGGTATTTTGGGATTTTGGCTTCTCCTGAACAGTGTGAGGTCCCTGACTGCAAACAAACAAAAAAACCCAACACAAAAAAAAAAAAAAAAAAAAAAAAAAAAAAAACCAAAACCAATCATGATCAACATTTATGATAATATCTTAATACTAATTAAGGTATAATCTGACATGTAATAATAATATATGCATGCTAATAAAATCTTAAAAGTAATGAGCAGAGTTGTTCAGCCTTAAACTTCCATAGAGTAAGACAAATTGAGCTGATGATTTACCAAAACATTCCAAAACATTAGGTATTTTTTTAATAATAGACAATTATTTTCTTCTCGCACGGTTGGTGCATTAGCTTAGCCTTAATATTATTTACCTGCCTGCAGCACCCTAATAAGTTTTTTTCAGACAGTGACTATGATTACTTGTAATCTCTGACGCTTATATGATGATGATTGAACAAATGTTAAAAAGCCCCTTCATAATTCTTTCTCATTCAATTCTTTGGTCAATCAAGCAAGACTCCGTCTTTCACGATGCAGAGGTGGAACAGAAAGAAAACCCAGTTTCCTGTATTGGTGTTCCTCTTGTTTTTGTTTATAGTGTTCTCAAATCTCCACAGTGAAAATAGCATTCTGCAAATTCAAGATGGCCATGATCGTGCTCCTCGCCATCAAGATTCAATCACTTATGTAAAGCCAAATCTTTTCAGCCCTCAAAACCAGGGTCCAGGTATGGCAGTGTTTGGTTTAGCTAAATAGGCCTTCTGGGTTCACTTTTCTGCATTTGCTGAATCTTTATGTTAATTCTTGATCAATTTATTTACTGGGTCTGTTAAATTAGTGGTATTTCTTTGATTTGGTGAAGTGGGTTGAAGTTAGTGTTTTGTGAATTTCAGAGGTTTTGGATAGATTCAGTACATGCAACTCCACCAAAGAGTACAGTGGTCGGAAAATTGCGTGGACTGACCGTAAGCCGAGGTACGGTCACCGGAGAGAGACTTTGGAGAGATGTGACGTGTTCTCAGGCAAATGGGTGTTTGATAATAGTTCCTATCCGCTGTACAAGGAATCGGACTGCCCATACATGTCTGACCAGTTGGCTTGTCACAAGCATGGCAGGTCTGATTTGGGCTACCAGTATTGGAGGTGGCAACCCCACAACTGCAACTTGAAGAGGTAAAGAGGTGCTCCTCTTTCTTTTAATTGTTTTCCAATAACCAGTTTAGATTTTCCTTTGTTAATGTGCTTGGGTTGGAACAAGAATTTTTCTCATGGGTTCTTGAATCAATAAACTGGAAATCATTTTGATGTGTTTCAAACTCGTGTCGAATTACTAATTATATTTCACTGAATTGACTAGTATGACTAGAATGGTATATAATTCAGCTGCTGTTGAGTTTCCTTTTGTGCCTGATGTGAGGTTTCACTAATAATTTTTTTAATTCCCCTGTAGATGGAATGCAACTGAAATGTGGGAGAAGTTGAGAGACAAAAGACTAATGTTTGTAGGGGATTCATTGAACAGAGGGCAATGGATATCAATGGTGTGTTTGTTACAATCTGTGATTCCCGCAGATAAGAGATCCATGTCGCCGAATGCTGCTCTTACCATTTTTAAAGCAGAGGTAAACATAATTTCCGTCTAAGAAGTAAGACTGCAACTGAACCAAACCTCAATCTCAACTAACTGGGGCCTTGGTATCCATTAGGCTGCTCTTGTCTGACTAAGGCCAAAATGTGTTTAAGTTAGATAATACAATATTCATTAGGAAACAATGAAAGCAATAATAAATGTTTTCGAACAAGGACACACATGAAGTTTTGGGTGTGCTTGCCTGATTTCATTGCATGGCTAGCTGAAAGATATAATCTTGAATATCTCAGAGTGCGGTTCTTCATTGCTTTCTTCGTGTCCTTTGCAGGAATATAATGCCACTGTGGAATTTCTCTGGGCACCGCTTCTTGTAGAATCTAATTCTGATGACCCAGTGAATCACAGATTGGATGATCGGATAATCCGTCCAGATTCTGTTCTTAAGCATGCATCAGAATGGGAAAATGCTGATATATTGATTTTCAATTCCTACCTGTGGTGGCGACAAGGCCCAGTTAAGCTGTTGTGAGTATGGTGGCATTACCATCCAGGTTTCAGTATATATTATATAGAAACATAATGAATTGATATCCTAATTGATCAGCTTACAATTCATACAGATGGAGCACTGAAGCTAACGGTGCTTGTGAAGAGTTAGACGGTCTTGGAGCCATGGAGTTGGCCATGGGTGCTTGGGCAGATTGGGCTTCTAAGGTCAATCCCCTCAAGAAGCGGGTCTTCTTTGTTACAATGTCTCCTACACATCTCTGGTTAGCACCAAGCCCTCCTAGAATATTCTTTTTATCCTACCACCTTTGCTCATATTTCTAGTGAAAGTTTTCAATCTTGGAAATAAGCTTATTGAGACTTGAATGAGGTGGTCAACTAGGCATTGTCCTGGCATACACTGGTCAACTTTAGGACTATTTTAACTATACAACTATATTATGCTAAAATTGAAGTCCATAAAGATTAGAGTCTCCAAGGAGTTGGACATTAGACCTGTCCAAGATACTCAACCAGCATCCTTTTGTTCACTTAAAGGCTAGACTTGTGGGGTGACAGCTACATCTTGCCATCCGTATTTAGCTGTCGCTTAATCTTGCCATCTGTTAGAATTAAATCCTCCATTTGAAGCAAACATTAGGATTAATACAAAATCCTGATATTAGTCTAGTTCTAGTTTTAGAGAGGACCTTAAACTGAAATTTCATACATCTTTGGCTCAGCTCTATAAAACTACATTTTCATCCGTTGGAACCTTTATCCTATGTAATTTCCTGCATTTTTAGGAGTCGAGAGTGGAAGCCAGAAAGTGAAGGTAATTGTTATAGCGAGACATCCCCCATTGATTTGGAGGGCTACTGGGGAAGTGGTTCTGACCTGCCTACGATGCACATGGTGGAGAAAGTCCTCAGCAAGTTGAGTTCAGAGGTTTCCGTTCTCAATATTACTCAGTTATCGGAGTACCGGAAAGATGGTCACCCTTCCGTTTACCGCAAATTCTGGGAGGCGCTGAAGCCTGAACAATTGTCAAATCCTGCGAGTTATTCGGATTGCATACACTGGTGCTTGCCTGGTGTACCTGATGTATGGAACGAGTTTCTATTCCATTTCTTGTGAACAAATGTACAATTCTTTCAAGTCCTTCTTAGTGGTTTCGTACAGCAATTTGCCTTGGTTTTCTCAACTCGTGGGCCATTGTTACATGATTCCATTCTTTGCAAATATAGTACAAGCATTCGACTTATCCTCTGTTCTAGCAATATTAGATCCATGTATGTATGCTGGATTTTCGTCAGTATCATGACTTCATTTATGAATTCCTCCAAATCCAATACATTATACAGGGCTTATGAAGTTATGACCCACAACTGCAAATAAAATTGCATTTATTTGCTTCCTCAAGCAATGATTATGTACATCAAACCCAATGCACAGTAAAACGAAAATCGAGCTTCATATTTGATGATGAGCACTGACACTGAGCAACATGGGAACAGTTTCCTAAGTAAAATAAAATGGAGAGAGAGAGAGAGAGAGAGAGCTACAAGGCGTTTATAACTTTTGAACTCTCATATGCAATATGCCAAGGCAACAGGCCCCCACGCCAAGTTTGGACCTCCAGCGCTACCAATCCAGTCCGAGCAAGCCCTAGGTCCCATCAGCCCGAGCAAGCTTAAGGGCAGATCTTGTCTAGGCTCAAGCCCGAAGGGGCTGACGTTAGCGAGCCAAAAAAATTGAAAAAAATTCAAATTTTTTTTAAAAAAAAACCAAAAATTATGGATGTTTTCCCTATAAATACATAACAATTTTATTCACTTTCCACACCAAATCCTCATACAAACTATTCTCCTTCCAATATTTGTAAATCATAATATTTTTTCGTCTTGCATTTGTAAATTGTTTATATTTTCTTCCATATTTATTTTTTTCTTGCATAATCATTTTATTTCTTGCATTTCTAAATTGTTTATAATTTGTTGCATATTCTTTTTTTTTTCTTGCCCTTGCTCTAGCCTTTTGGGGTGGAACCAAAAAAGACAAGGCTACCACTATTCACATGAATAGTGGCAGCCTTTGCCTTGCATTGCCTTGCCTTAGCCTTAGCCTTTGGGGTGGACATGCTCTAAGAGCACCTCTACCCCAAAGGGCAAGAGTAAGGCAAAGGCAAGACAAGATTTGACACTATTCACATAAATAGTGTCAGCCTTGCCTTTTTTTGTTCCACCCCAAATGGTAAGGGCAAGGGCAATCACTATTCATTTGAATTCATTTTATATTTTTTATACTTAAACCATTAATTTTGGCATGAGAAGTGAAAAATAGGACTAGGTATTTTTATATATATATATATATATAATTCTAAAAATTATGGTTTTTTTTTCAATTTTTTTAATTGCTGACGTCATCAATGACGTTAGCAAACCTAGGCCAGATTTGCCTTTGGGCCTGGCCAACCTTGTGGACGCCATCAACTACCTGGTCTTGCCATTGCGCACTGGAGCTAAAAACTGGGCATAGGCCCCCTCCTGCCCGGGCAAAATAGCTACGCTGGAGGTGCTATAAGGGAGATAGCTACAACGCCTTCAACCCTTCACAATTCACTATTGTACAAACATTCACTCACATAATAGAGATATGTGGACAAGACGAGATACGTTACAGTCATCCATGTGCGCGTGTGTGATTAATAATGTTAAACCACACACATTCATCAAGGAAGAAGAATCTGAAACGGATTCTTCTTAATCACAATAGTTGACTTGCTCTCCAAATATTTTGTATATACTGTCATTCAAGACTTTTACCGTTTATATCTTTATTGTGCAATTATAGATATTGTAATAGTTACACGAAGGAATATAACTTGAATTCAAACTCTTACATGGTATCAGCCTAAACAGTCTATTTCTCTTCCAAGGGATAGCTTCTTCCCTCTCTCTCTCTCTCTCCAGCCGAACCTTCAAGGCCTCTCCATTTTCCTCATTCTCTCTCTTCCTGGTCACTACTTCTCCCATTTCATCGAGCTCACCAACACCGACTACCTCCTCTGGCTTCGACAAATAAAACATTTTCTCATTGGCCATGGCTTGTGGAAATATATTGATGGCTCATCTCCTCAACCTTCTCCCTTTTTGATCCTACACACCCTCTCCTAACCAAGCACCTACTCCTTCTCAACCTAATCCTACCTGTGAAACATGGTTCCAACAAGACCAACTCATTGTCAGTTACCTCACCAACACTCTATCTGAATCAATGTTGTCGCTCACCATTGGATGTGACTCTTCAAAAGCAATTTGGGATTGCTTACAACTCCACTTCTCTCAGACTTCGATGGCCAATGAATTAATTCTCCGTTTTCAATTCACAGACATGCAAAAAGGAACATAAACTGTGGACCAATACCTTCGTCAAGCCAAATCTATTGTGGACTCTCTTGCTGCCATCAATGAGCCCGTCTCCAATAAGGATCTCGTTACTGGAGTTCTTTGTGGCTTGGGTCCTGTTTACAAAATGTTGGTAACCACTTCTTCTAAATTTTCCTCATCTTCCTGATTTTGCTGACCTGCGTGCTCGATTGCTTTCCTATAAAGCTCAGACTATTTGCACTGATCTCGTTCACACTAGCAAGTCCACGGCTCTCATAGCCACTCAGTCTCAACCATTTTTCTCTCACCGTGGTAGCTCTTCTAATCGTGGCATTGGACATAGGCGCAACAGTGGTAGTGGTGGTCGCGGCCACTAAGGTTGGGGCTGGAACTCGCAGCAGCATCAATTCCAACCATGGTCTTCCAATGGCTCCCCTGGCCCCTAAAGTGGTTGGCAACATTAGTCTAATCCCGCCTGAGGTAACAACTAGCAGTAGCAACCCTCATCCTCCCAATGGCCCAACTATTCTCCATGGCACCATAGGTCCTAACCCTAGTCACTGTCCTCATGGCTCATTATCAACAACAATCGATCCCAGGCTCCTGGCCTCTTGGGCCCCCCATGCTGCCCCACGTACAACACTGCCCAACACACTCACACAGATTGTCCCCACCTCTTCCATGGCCCTGAAACTTTTCCTCCATTTGTGGGTGCATAATTTCTCCAATCTCCTGACAATACCTTGAATCTCGACACCGAAGCCACCCATCATATGACTAGTATTGCCACCAACCTTCAGAACCCCCAATCCTATATGGGTAATAACTCCATATATTTGGGTAATGGTGATTCTCTAACCATTTCATCCACTAGTACTCTTCCTGTTTCTTTAGGCTCTTCCGCATATTCTCTTCGTAATGTTTATCATGTTCCTTCCCTCCGTATTAATCTTCTTTCCATAGCTCACTTTACTCGTGATAATTCTGTCTCCTTTGTATTTAGTCCCAATTCTTTTCAAATTTATGACTTACAAACTGGTACTCTTTTTTTCAGGGCCCATATAAAGATGGTCTTCATCTTCTCTCATTTCCATCTGCTTCTCTTGTCAAGCATGCTTTCGCTTCCATTGATTCCACTGCTTGGCATCGTCGTCTTGGTCATCCGTCTTTGGCTGTTTTGTCTCATATTTCTTTTTCATTAAATTTCAAATTAAATAATGAATTTTGTAATACATGTGCCCTTGGCAAATATACTCAATTACTATTTTCTATTAATGAAATTCATACCACTCTCCCTTTTTTATTATTCACTCTGATGTTTGGACGTCCCCTGTCAATTCTAAAACTAGTTTTCAATATTATGTCTTATTTACAGATAAATATTCCCGGTATACATGGATTTATCCCATGCGTCTTAAAAGTGAGGTCTTTCACCATTTTCAAACTCTTGTTTCCATGATACATAACATCTTCAATTCCTTCATCAAATTTCTTCAAAATGACAATGTCATTGAATATGTCAACAACTCTTGCACTCAATACTGCCACAAATTAGGTATTCAACCACAGTTCTTATGTCCCCACAACAAAGTGGCCTTGCTGAACGTAAACACCACTACATTGCCACAATAATTCGAACCCTCCTCACTACAGCCCATGCCCCTCACATACTTTGGGTTGACGCGGAACTTATTACTGTACACCTCATCAATCTTTTACCTACCCTAATCTTATCCTGGTAAACCCCATACACCAAACTCTTTAACCAACCTCTTGTCTATTCTCATCTTAGGATTTTTGGTTGTTCTTGTTACCCACATCTTGGTGCTTACAGAGAAAACAAACTTGTCAATCGTACCACTGAATGTGTGTTCCTTGGCTGCAATACTCAATATAAAGGCTATTGCTGCCACTGGTCATGTATATACCTCTCGACATGTTTTATTTAACGAAACAAGTTTTCCTTTTTAGCATTTGCAGGTCTGATCCTTCCCGGAGTATACTGAAATAAATTTCTATCATGTGGTATATGCCTCTCATTCTCCAGCACATGCGACTGAGGCCTACACAGGATATTTGCCACGTCTGGCAGCTCCATCATTCCACAAGCTTCCAGCACCTTCATCCTTTCACGAAGCTTTTGGCACCTTTATTCTTCCACAAGTCGTCGTCCCCACACCATGACACAGCACGGGTTCTAGCCGCGCAACACCCTTTAGTCCACATGGCGTGCCTTTTTTTATGTCAGTCCAGCCCCTGCTCCATACATATTCCAGAAGACATCACATACCACCTATGTAACCTGCATAAGCACCTGCTAGTCCTTGCTCCCCTTCCCATTACGGACCTAGCTTCTCCACCACCTATCGAACCAGCAATGCCACCCCCTGCTCATCTCATGCGCACAAGTCTGCGTAATGGCATCTCTCAACCTAAAAACCGTATCGAAGACACAGTTTGATACATGGTCCCTCGTGCTCTTTTACTTGTCATTGATGATATTGAACCCACGTGTTTTTCTCAGGCTTCCAAAAATCCAGCATGGCGCAAGGCAATGTCTGAAGAAATCAATGCCTTTCTATAGAATCAGACTTGGTCTCTTGTTCCTCAATCTCCCACACATACTCCAGTCTGTTATAAATGGGTCATCTGCATCAAGCATCACTCTGATGACACTATTGAACGCTACAAGGCTCGCCTAGTGACTAAGGGATTTCACAACGCCATGGCATTGACTACTTTGAGACCTTCAGCCCTGTTGTCAAACCAGCCACAATTCACACTGGTCTCAATCTTGCTGTTTCCGGACAATGGTTTTTACGGCAACTCAATGTCAAAAATGCCTTCCTTTAAGAACACGTATATATGGTTCATCTGCATCAAGCATCACTCTGATGACACTATTGAACGCTACAAGGCTCGCCTAGTGACTAAGGGATTTCACAACGCCATGGCATTGACTACTTTGAGACCTTCAGCCCTGTTGTCAAACCAGCCACAATTCACACTGGTCTCAATCTTGCTGTTTCCGGACGATGGTTTTTACGGCAACTCAATGTCAAAAATGCCTTCCTTTAAGAACACGTATATATGGTTCAACCCATGGTTTTGCGAACCTTGCTCATCCCACTCATGTCTGTAAACTTCACAAGTCTCTTTATAGCCTCAAACAGGCTCCACGTGCATGGTTTAATCATATCAGCACCTTTCTCTTATCCCTTGGTTTTTCAAGAAGTTTGGCATACTCTTCACTTTTTATCTTTCAGCAAGGATCCCACACCATCTTTCTCCTCATGTATGTTGATGACATTGTGATTACTGGCAGTGATTCCCCTATTTTATAGAATTTTATATATGTTTTAAGCTGCTAATTGACATCAAGGACCTTGGTCCTCTTAGTTACTTCTTGGGCTCTTCATCTCAATCAACTTAAGTATGTTCATGATTTGTTACACAAAAGTAATTTCCTACATGCCAAGCCTGCTTCCATTCCTCTTGCGGCCAAGTTTGTTCTAACTGCCAGTGATGTTTACTTGCTCGCTTCTCCCACAGAATACCATGAACTTGTTCTTCAATATTTCACCCTTACCCGCCCAGATATTTCCTTTGCTGTTAACACTGTGGCCCAGTTTATGAGCTCTCCTCACTCTCCTTACATGGTTGCCATCAAAAGGATTCTCCATTATGTTAAGGGCACCATTGACTTTGGCCTCCATTTTACACCCCAAGGTCCTTCCACTCATCTCATTGTTTACTCAGATGCCGATTGGGCTGGGTGCCCAGACTCCAGCCGTTCGACAACTGGCTACCTCATATGCTTGGGCTCCAATCTTATTTCATGGTGCTCCAAAAAGTAGCCAAAGGTTTCGCGCTCCAGTGCGGAATCTTAGTACCGTCTTATGCATGTGCCGAATCTTCTTGGCTTTGTTCTTTGTTACATGAACTGGGTGCTCGACTGCTTTTCTAGTTCCCATGCATTGTACAATCTCAGCATAACTTATATGGCGGCAAACACGGTATTCCATGCTCGTACTCGCCACATTGAACTTGATTACCACTTTGTTCGTGAGAAGGTGGCCCTTGGGAGTCATTAAGTTTGCTTCACCCCCTCTGTTGATCAACTTGCGGATCTTCTCACTACGCCACGACACCATCTCTTATGTTCCGAACTTGTTCGTCCAAGGAAGAAGAATCTAAAACAGATTCTTCTTAATCACAATAGTTGATTTGCTCTCCAAATATTTTGTATTTACTGTCATTCAAGGCTTTTACTGTTTATATCTTTATTATGCAATTATAAATATTATAATATTTACACAAAGAAATACAACTTGAATTGAAACTCTTACAAATAACTTAAGCGAAAATTACAAGATAAATGCGAACAGATACTCATAAACATAACTACTCGTGTACTACACATATCAAGTAGTAAATTCGAAAGCCAAAACTAGTTACTGTGAATTTTGTACAGCTCATCTTATGTTGAGTGTCTTTAGTATGTGCGCACTGCATACATTCACAACATGATTGCTATGCATTGTCATGCATGGATGCATGCAGAGGCAGGTGTAGAGGAGCCATTAACATCCATATATTCATAACTTTGACAGGAAGATAGGGCGCCTGATCCGCTTATGGCGTTGGCTGCATTACTCCTGTGAAGACAACCATCACCCTACATTAATATCAATAATAATAATAATAATAATATTAATATTATACACCGCCAAAAGATCCGTCTGCTTCTGCTTGCCAATGGCCAACAACATAAATCTTGGGGCTTGTTGGGCCCCACCCCCACACGCTATATGCTCACATTTTATATGAAATATAGCTTGATCTCCGCTTTGACTTTTTTGACTCATTGTTTTTAGGGTCCCTTCGTTTGTCCGTTCCAGCCATGGGAAGAAGATGATCACCTCTTTTACGGGATCAAGCAAAAGATTGTCCTACTATAATATTACTCTCTACTGTACTTTCAAGCGCTGCCACTTGACTTGTCAAACTAGTTGAAGATTACCAAGTTGACTGTTGTTTATTTTTAAAGTGAAATGTTTTACTATCTAACTACGTACATATTTATCTGATAATAGAACGTTACCCGTTATTTATATTAGGTTAACTTAGTTACAATACGAATCTAATTGTAATTTGGTGCTGACCCATTGAAACACTTTGAATTAGCTGGATCATGAGATAGAGATCTATATGGTCCCAGTTGCCCACATTGATAGCCGATTAATGGTCCAGAAATGGCCACCATCATCACCGCCACCGGATCTCTTCACTAAGACTGGCCCCTGCAATCTATGAGTGATACGGGCTCACCGAGCCACAAACCTAAATTCATCATTTTACTGCCAATTTTATGGGTCTACCATTTGTTTAAGCAACCCTTTTTAACAAGAGAGAATATTTCCAACTTAATTAATAGGAGATTAGAATGATTGGGAGAAAAAATAATAGGAGAATGATGAGATATAATAAGAATGAGAGCGGGACACGTGGAGGGAGAATTTAGCTCAAATTAGAAGAGATAAACGTGCAGAGGAGATAAACATGTGCAAATCTAACAGTTCTCTTTTGGTCCAATTGAAATCAAAAGGATAGTTGGTCCAATCCCAAATTAGAAGGTGAAATGTTTCTTTCAGTTGTATCGCAATGGAAGGGAGGAGGAGGGGAGGGAGTACTTAGAAGAAAATAACATAATTAGATCGTGATTTGTCCTCACAATCATACATTGAAAATGGCAATGTGCGCAAAATCCATCAAAAGAGGACATCTGCAAAAGAAGTTGTCAAATCTAGTAGATACGTATCTCCTCCCAATTCAAGCAACCTAACCTAGGCCTAACATGCATTTCAAATAAGAAGAACGTTAAGTGACGTGATTCGTGAGTTATCAACTGGGAAGAATGTTAAGTACCGTGATTTGTGAGTCGTAAACTGTTGATGCATGTGATTTATATAATACGTTTCTTTAGCATTGTTTGAATTTGAATTGTGTTAAGTAAATTCCGAATACATGCGATTATTTTAATCTTAAGTATTCAGAATTGAGAACAACGGTGATATGATGAAGTATAGTCAAATAATATTTGTTGGGATCTTTGACTTTGTCATGGGTGGCATCATGATTGATGATGAGTGAATTCAGCGATCCAAAAGACTAAAAACCAGCGAAGAGTGCGTGGTGCAGCAGAGCATGGCAGGGTCCCGTCATCAATTCGTAGCCCAAGAGCATGATGACAAAAAATAAGAGTATGACCAAACTACCCTCCAAGAAGTAAGAAGGAGCCGAGCCCTTGGAGGGCATTTTAGGGAAGAATGTGCATCGGGGAGCGTGAAGGGGAGTCTGGAATTTCTGGCCCCTTCTCTCTGGGCATGTAGTAAAAGTAGGGTTTAGCGAGGGAGGAAAGGAGGAGGCCCTTGCTGCCTGGGACTCCGGGTAGCAGAAAATGAAAGTCAGGGCTCTGCAATTTCCAAGGCACTCACTCACTCACTCTCCCAGGAGTGACCAAACTCTAAAGACCACAACATTTTTATTTATTTATTTTTCATCATCCAACTTCTTTTTAATTTGAGATTACCAAAAAAACCTTATGTTAATGTTAAAATGTTATGCATTTCATTTCATGTGCATGCATGCATAATGCATTTGATTGACGCATGCAATGCAGTGCAACACATGTCGTTTGTTGTGACATAAAGTTTCTCAGACCGACACCAAAACCAAACAATTAGGAAACCGTCCTAAATTGTTTGTGATGAAATTCCTAAATTGTGCCTCTACACGCAGCTCCATTACATAAATACCCCCAAATAGAAAGACAAATATGTAATTAAAACTAGTTTAGAGTTTGATAATTGATACCAATCAATTCGTAAGCGTTCAATTACATGCACAAAACACCGTACGTATTTTAAGAGAGTAAGAGGAAGAAAAGTAACGTAGTCGGCAGGGGCATACAATTAAAATTAAAAAGATATATAAATTAGGTAGCTACTCACAACACAAACATGAATTTGTCAAGTTTTTTAAATTTTAATGACGTTTTGTAATTTCGCATAAATTTGTATATTTTCCGACGTACCCTCGTTTTAGCTCCCCAGCTGCTATAAATATCGGTGCTGCCTTCTCATAAGTCTCATAATCAGATTTCAGAAGCATTTAAGTTACTCTGCTGCCTCTCTTTACCAAAAGGGCTAAAAGGCATCTTCTTGGTTTTTAAACAGTATGGAAGAATCTGTTAAGCTCAGGAGGGATAGCGCCATTCTTGGTTTGGTTTTAGACCATGTATTGCGCTATCCATCCTGAGTTTCATGGCTTCTTCTTGCTCTCTCTCTCTCTCTCTCTCTCTCTCTCTCTCTCTCTTCTTTGCAGCCAAGCCAAGGGATTGAAACTTGTGGCCTTGTAAGTATATATGTGTGTGTATGCTGCTTGAAAGATGAAACATCTGCAGAATCAGTTTGGTTTTATGTTAATTTTGTGCTTTGCTAGCTGTTTGTTTAAAATGATGAGCCCAGTACTTGGTTTTGCAGTTCATTTTTCTCTCTTCCTTTTCATCAATCTTGCTCAGTTTAAATCTCTCTTTGTTTAGAAGCTACATCTTTCTTGAAGCTTACCCAGAACCACTAGGAAAAAAAACTAATTTTCTCATATTTGCTTGGTTTCCTTCCTTGTATACCCATTGTGAGCCTTTAAAATTAGATAAAAATATACCAAAAGAAGACATGAGATATTGAAGAACTTATCCATAGTCACATGTTAAGGTGGGGCGAAGGATGTTGACCACTTCCAACCTGGTCATGTTATAAGACAGGGTCTCAGATATTTCTCTTTCATTTACCTAAACTTTAGCTAAAAGGTTGGTCCATTTTCGTACGTTTAGATATTATTATTTTTCCATTTCAGGTAAAAATAGTTTCCACTTCCTTTGTTTGCTGCTTCCACCAAAATATCATTCATTCACTCATCACTTGCTTAAAATTTTCTTTTATTTTCCACCTTTTCTTTCCAAGGATTCTGTTTTTCCTATGTTGGATTTTTGTGTATCTTTGGCTAAAACTGCTCTTCACATTTAGAAATCAGAAAACTGATTTTTGTGCAAAGATGGATTTTAGTGTGACTTGAGACTTGCCAGGTAGCTTTTGATTTTCCTAATCAAATAGAGAGCTGTGGTTCTGTGTTGGGTTAAAAACTGCAATGTCATTACTAATTGTTGTGTTATTTGTCTCAAAACATCAAAGGGTTATCTACTTTGGGCTCAATGATTGCAGGTTGTTGCAATATCGGGAATGAATGAGAGGATTGAGATGAGGGCCAACCATGAGTAGAATTAGTAGCCAAGGCTCTTTGGTCAAACAGATTTTTACACTGCGAAACACTTACATGAAACGAAGATATCACCATTTTGATATTCCTAGCCAGTATGTCACGAGTGATAATTTTGATTAATTGGGTATAGCAAAGCAGTGCTATCCCGTTTCATACAAGTTTTTTTTGTAATTTGAGAACTTATGAAGAAGCTTCACTTGTCCAATCTACCTGTTCAAGTTTGACTTAATGTACCACAAGGTGGAAGGAAAAGTATTTCTTTTTATGCATTGCACTGGATATGAAATCAATTTTAGTTATGGACCTACCAATCTTATTTAAATGCGTAGGAAAATGTTTTATAGTTTAAGTGGTTAAGAGCATCTTCAAGAGTCTTTAAATTTTAGCTAAAATAGCTAAAAAGCCACTATAGCAAATTACTTAAAAAGTGTTTTTTCTAGCAATGTTCTCTATTTTGGTTAATCTCTAATATTGTATTATTTCTCTCACCTCCTCTCTAAATTAAAAGTTCATTAAAAAAATCAAAAAGTAAGGTGAGAGAGGGTTGTGTGTCTAGGGAGAGAGAAGAGGAAGAAATGAAGAACCTTCAATTTCTCCCTCCTCCTCTCTAAATGTAGAGAGCTACCAAACTTAAATAGAGAGTCAGATAGCAAGTCTGTAGGAGCTGCATTTGCCCTCATTCTAGCCAAAATGGCTAAGGATCATAGTATAACAATTCTACTAGAAATGCTCTCACAACAGTTATCTATGCACCCGAAATCATGTGTTCAAATACCCCCTCCCCTCTTATCTCTTGTATCAAAAAATATGTGTAAGGGCAAAACTTGAAGATTATGCACCAAAGCCAAAATAATATAAAAGCAAAACAAAGGCCAAAAAAGAAAAAGGAAAAATAGCAATTGTTTAATTTCATGACTCATTGGGCTTCAATTCATGGCAACCATATACTTTTTAGCCGCGCCGTAGACCCGTTAGGCCCAACAAGAGATATTTTCATGAGCGCCAAATCTAACCGTTAAAATCGTAAATAAGATAAAACAACACAGAAACATATGGTTGCAGGCCTTCTTCAACATTACACACTGTTTCTTCATAAAAAGAGTCTTCGTTTTGTCTGTTTAAGAAATTTGAAAATGGCGAGTGGTCTCTCACACCACCTTCTCTGTATATATTCCTCAAAAACGAACCCACCATTTTCTAAAACACGAGCACTGATCAGAAACCCAAAACGTTCCATTGGTCTCCGGACCCTCCTCAAGTCATCGTCTCCCAAAAACTCCAACACTTCACTGCAAAGCTCGCAGGAAGAACCAAAGCCCATTGTCACTCCTAAACGGACCAATCGCCCCGGCCCAAACCCACCTTCCAAATTGTCTTATTTCGACTCCTTCTTCATTCGGCTTCTCCGTTTAAGGTAAATTAGATTGTAATCTTATGCTATTTACCCAATTGCAAATTCATGAGAGACCAGTTTTGGTGTTCTGTTTGTTTTTGTAAGATGGTAATTTTGAATTTTGAATACACAATTGCAGAGATGAAAGTTTTATGTTTGATGGGATTGCGGTGGACATTTTGTCAATTGCTTTGCCTGCAGCTCTGGCTCTGGCTGCTGACCCCATCACCTCTTTGGTTGACACAGCCTTTGTTGGGCATTTGGGTAAAGCTTTGTTCTTTGGTGTTGCTTAATTAATAAAGGATTGAGCTTGTTTTTTAATTAATAGTAATAGTATTGTGTTTGTGTGTGTGTGGTTTTTGTGTTGTGTAGGGTCTGTTGAATTGGCAGCAGTTGGGGTGTCTGCTTCAGTATTCAACTTAGTTTCTAAATTGTTTAACGTTCCATTGCTCAACATCACCACATCTTTTGTTGCTGAAGAGCAGGCATTGGCTATTAAGGCCGAGGATAGTTCAAATTCAATTGGTCCTGATGGTAATTATTAATTCCTCTAGGAAGCCTTGCATATTTGTTGTTTTTGGTTCATTGCTTTAATAAAAAAATGTGTGTGTGTTTTTTTTTATATAAAAAGATTGCCAGGGTGATAGCCAAAGCAAGAAGCTCCTTCCCTCGGTATCAACTTCGTTGGCTCTTGCTGCCACCATTGGCATTGCTGAAGCTGTTGCACTTTTTCTTGGGTCGGGTGTGTTGATGAATGTCATGGGTATACCTGCTGTATGTCGTACTTAACCAACTATGAGCTTATGTGGCGAATGCTAAATTATTACATATCTTAGTTTCTTTATTTGTTTAGTTAGTTTTTACTGTGGCATTTTTACTAGTATACAGCAAACATTTTTAGTCATTTTCTGCAAAATATAGACTTTATCACTGTGTTAAATGAAAGTCTGATAAGGATGGAAGAGAAGGATTAGCATATGTAATTAGGCAAAAATTTTAACTGCGGGATGTGTATTATTTATGCATTATGCAACTGACTGATGATGTTTCTGTAGTTTTTAATTGAGGTTTGCTATTGTTATAGGATTCACCCATGCGAATACCTGCCGAGCAATTTCTTGCCCTAAGGGCATTTGGTGCTCCACCCATTGTAATTGCACTTGCTGCACAAGGCACATTTCGTGGATTTAAGGACACGAAGACACCTCTGTATGCCGTTGGTAAACTTACTATGAGTTGCCTTGTCCTAGACATATCTTTTATAAGTATTTTCTAGCTGATTAAATGACCAAGTCTGCTTTTTTTTTTTCCTTCCCATTTTTTAAATCTCAGTTGCTGGCAACGTACTTAATGCTATATTGGATGGGATATTGATATTTATTTTCAATTTTGGAATTCGCGGTGCCGCTATTGCTACGGTGATTTCTGAGTACGTCAATGATGTGGTAAACTTAATTATACTGGTGTATTTTGATCTTGATGTTCCTATTATAAAATTTTGTCAAATTTTCTCTCTAACATAACTTTTTATGTCTATTTCTTGCAAGGTATTTGATCGCTGCTATTCTTCTGTGGAAGTTGAATAGCAAAGTGCTCCTTGTCCCTTCTTATATTGATGGGAGAAGAATCATAGGTTACCTTCAATCTGGTAGGTTTTTTTAAAAACTTGCTTATAAAATGGTGACTATAGAGATGTTTGCTTCAATTTCTAAATATGTTTGTTCTATTTTGCAGGGGGTCTTCTTATTGGCAGAAGCTTAGCAGTGGTGTTAACTACGACACTAGCCACATCCGTGGCAGCTAGAGAGGGCCCTATACCTATGGCTGGTCATCAGATTTGCATCCAAGTTTGGTTGGCAATATCTTTGCTTACAGACGCTTTAGCACTTGCTGGTCAGGTGTGATTTTCTTGACTTTACAAGTGTCATGTCGCATATGTGATCAAATTACACAATGAATTGGAAAAAATTATCATTGTGATGTTGTTTCTTCAGACACTTCTTGCCAGTGGTTACTCCCAACAAAACTATGACCAAGCACGCCGAGTTATATATAGAGTTCTACAGGTTGAAATTCTTCTCTTTTTAACTGTTTCATTCTCATCATTGACTGACATCCTCTTTTTCCTCCACCTCTTTTATGGCATCAACACCATGGCTAACCCGAATCTCCATTTACCGTTCTTTGAATTTCAAACAGCTTGGCCTGGTGATGGGAACTGGTTTGGCAGTTATATTGTTCATCAGTTTTAAACCGTTTTCTAGCTTATTCAGCACAGATCCACAAGTTCTTGCAATTGCATGGTCTGGTATATTGGTAAGGAACTTAATATCTGAATAGTTTACATGTTGGAAACCTATGTACCTGATGTGGACACTGTTTTTCAGTTTGTTGCTGGATCTCAGCCAATAAATGCTCTAGCATTTGTTCTTGACGGACTGTACTATGGAGTTTCAGATTTTGGATATGCTTCCTATTCGATGGTATTCCCTGATCCTATCATGAACGGTAATCGGTTATACTATATATTGTTCTCTCATCTCTCTTTTTCTTTTCATGAGTAGGTACTTGTAGGACTGATTTCTTCAATCTTCATTCTTGTTGCTTCTCCTGCTTTTGGCCTTGCTGGAGTCTGGACTGGGTTGTTCCTCTTCATGGCATTGCGTGTAATAGCTGGAATGTGGAGGTAAATAAATTTCTGTATGAACTCAAGTCACACATGAGGTTGAGGACCACCTAGTTTTTTCTAGGCTAAACGGTCATAAGAGTGTAATGCTTCTCACTTCACTATAGTTTTCTCTGGCTATCAAAAGCTGCAAACATGTGCAACTTGATTTCTCCCTGATAAATATTATTCCACTCCAGGTTGGGCACAAAGAGTGGACCATGGAAATTGGTCTGGGATAAGAGGAAGCTGGAAAGTTAGTGTGACATAGGCTCAATCTCCTAGTAAAGGAGAACACAAACTAATCAGGGGATTTCGAACACAAGTAACTGCTCCAAAGTTTGATGCTGATGGAGTAACCCGTTGTCTCTGCTCCAGTGATGACACGGGTTATGTTCTGGTGGTCAAGGGCCTATCCAATTACTAAGACCGGCCAGATCAACAAGAAGGTGGCTTTTATTGAGCTTCTGGCTACTCACAGGATTTAGTATGCGAAGGACGCAGAAGTTGATCAGAGTTCCAAACCAAGATCTCTTCCCTTCCATACTTAACCAGGTTCTTGTAGTTTAGGGGCTTTTTGAATTTTGTATATAAATTAATGCTGTTCATGTTTCTCACAACTGTAGCCCCAAAAATGTCTCAGATATATATACATTTTCTCAAGGAAAAAAGGCAACCATTTGTGACAAAATAATATCAGATGATTTATGAACAGTTTTATTGCAAGGAAAGGAAAGAATAGTCTTTTTGTTATTGAAAGACTCCAAAAATTTCAATTAGCGTGGCTCAGGATATGTTTGTTAAAACACGTACAGGAGGCAACTTTAATATCAACCAAACAAAACCAAACCAGAGTGTGGTGGCCAAAGGACATAATATGATATTATTAAGAGAATCATGTTGACACCTACAAAATGTTTACAAAATGACACAGATTCTAAAATGAAAAGACAATCACAATTGGAAGATGGAGACTTGTTTTTTTTTCCCTGCAACAAAATACAGCTAATTCACTTAGTTTGATCCTTGATCCAAAGAAAATCTCAGAATCCTTCTGCAAGTCTGCATGAACATGAATCACAAGCACTGCAGCACAGAATACCAAAACGCATGTCGTTGATTAAACCTCCTTTGTAGAAACATAAACTACAATATCAACAAGCATCCAATTCAGCTAGTCTCAACTAAGAGTAAGGGAACCATGAACCATGAAACACCTGCTCTTCTAATACACCTGAATCATAATTTTGCCTGAACAAATCTACATCAAAATCGATGCCTAAACTTGCTTCCTCCATATGAGCCAAGCTTCCTGGTATGTTAACCTGTGGTTGTGTCTGTAATTGGTTAGGGAGATTAGGCAGCCTTCCCCATTGTTGGTTCTGAGCATCAATGCTGTATGATTCTTCTACAGAACAATTATGCAAGTTGGCAAGTCTGTTCTCCTGCATTTCGATATCATTTGAAGGCCTAATGTCATCTGAGCAAGCATAACTATCTATGAAGCCATTATGGCCATTTAAGTTCGTAGTTTCTAGAAGACCTCCCTGCAATTCTTGATCCGTCATTGATCCCTTAATTTCAACATCGTTAGATGGCTCAAAATCGGCTGTTACCAGATTGCTGGCCACATTTATCTGCTCATTATGCATATAGTGGCAGCTATCATCTAGGCCATTGTGACTTCCGGATTCCAGAATCATGGGAAATTCTTTCTCCATGGCTTTGCTCGTTACCGGTTTCTCAACATTAACATCCTCTGAAGGGTTGCAATCATTTCTTCCATTGCATTCCACATCTACAAGCTCATTATTTAAGTAATCGGTGTTGGACCTCAAAAGAGTCTCCAAAGATTCCCAATCATTATTATAAGGCTTCCCATCAGGTACTGAATCAAGATTCACAACCTGTAGCTCATTATGCAAGTAATCAGGCCTACGGTTGAAGCTTTCATAACTCCCGGTTTGAAAAACACTTGTTTCTTCAGCATCATTTCTGGCAAGCTCATACTCAGTTTCCGATTCGCATTTCACATCTTTAGCTTCTCTTAGAGTAGCATCTAACACCTCAGAACAATCAGTTTCTTGCTTCGGCTCTTTATGCACACAATCCTCAAAGAAGTCAGATCTTTCCTTCAATTCGCCTGCCACAGATCGAGAGCTTTCCATAGCACACTTGCTGCTCATGTCCAATCCCTCTGCCTCATCCCCATTATTATATGTTGTTGAAGACTCATATGATGATGATGTTGTTTTAGTTGTTCCAGAAGACACAGAATTAGAATACTTCTTCAATTTCATAGTGTTTTGTGGAAAGTTGAGCCTGGCCAAACCACCATACATGGCCCTTGCAGCTTCATCATAAGCAAAAGCAGCATCATAGGCTGTAGGGAAAGTACCAAGCCAAAGACGGCTGTTCTTCTTTGACACACCACTAGAATTATTTGGTTCTCGAATTTCAGCTACCCACTTGCCCCAAGTCCTCTGCCTAACACCTCTATAAACACAATCTGAGTTCTCAGGCCCTCCTTTCCCTTTCATACACCCCTTTTTGGACCCCTTAGATGGGGCCCTCTGAGTCTTTTTCACTCCATCTTTTGCAAGATCAAATCTGTCATTGTAATTCTTCCATTTAGCCAGAGTGTCCTCTATTGAATCACAACCACTGCGTCTCTTGCGCAATTTTTTATCCCTGAAAGAAAACAAGTACCACAAAGAAAAAAAATTAGAAGTTTCTTTAGACTGGTCGAAGTTTCATGAAATTCAAAGTTGGTTCTGTAACTTTTAAACAACGAACATGGACAAAATTTACAGGCCCCCAGAAAAAAAGACTTCAAAATTTCCCAAAACTTCCAATTTCTCGTAGTACACAATCGTAATGGTGAAAGATAACAAAGTAGAGGAACCAAACACAAAACCCCAGATGGGGAAGTTGAAAGAAACCCCATTATAAAAGAAGAAATGAAAAGATGCCTCAAAGAACTCACCCGTCAGAAGCCTCAGACGTCATGGGAACTCAGAAAGATGTCTGCTTTCCTCTTCTCTTTTTGTGGGTCTGCTTATTCTACTCTTCTCTCAGGCTTCCTTCTTGTTATGTGTAAAAACTGATAAAGGGGTTTATATAGGGTTTAAGTACGCGTTTAGTCTTTTTCCTCTTGAGCAAGGTTTTGAGGCGTTTGACGAGTTTGGTTTATCTGTTTTCGGCCAGCCAGTCAGGAGGCCCCCTGCTGCTGCTAATAAAGCAAGCTTGTCGTCACTATGACTTGGGGACGAAGGCAAACTCTGAGATACTCCCGAAAAGGATATGTGTGAAATGATGACATGGACAATTCGTCGCAGGCTTATTTAAGGCATCCTTTTGTGACACGTAGACTTTGTACCCTGTTTTGTCCCATCGTTTTCTTGGCCACGAAGACTTCTGTTTGCAATTTGTCCGTGCTCTCTCACAGTTCGCTGATTTCTTTTATATTAGTTTAATTGGCAGTTGGTGCTCCAATATAAAGCTGGTTTAATAGTAATTAGAATTTAATGCACCTCTGTTTTTTTTGGTTACAATGCATGCACATCTGTTTGATTAGGAAGAAACTAGTGCAAGAGTCCTAATCTTCGGTCAAATAAAAATACTTGAATACGAAGTGCCGTTGACGCAGCAAAAGGTAATTTATTGAGACAATAAAGAGTCGAGAGTTCAGCTTTTCTGATTTCAAAACCCAAAAAATAATACATAAAAAGGTTGATTTGTTTGTTTAATAAAATTGTTCCTCATAAGACCTCTAACTCAATGAAAAAAGAGCTTAACTTGCATACTAGAGGTATTAGGTTCGAATTTCCACGACATTATAGTTTATGTGTGTGATAAATCTCCCCCCTACTTATGTAGTTTAGACCCTATCCCTGTACCAAAAAAAAAAAAAAAAAAAAAAAAAAAAAAAAAAAAAAAATCCCATCCATCCATCCCATACTTTATTATACTAAAATAGTGCATTAAAAATGTTTTGGTCCTATTTTATCCGAAATTCATGATGTTTATGCTTAGTTTTTTACCCCAAAAAAAAGAAAAAAAGTAGGAGGTTTCATAGCTTGTAACAATAGCTTTCAAATAATAAAAATATTTTAATATAGATAACCAATAATGAGGGAAACTGAATAGAAAGTAGGAGGTTGTTTCTTGCAAAATTCTTCGAATCAATTCATTTAACTTATCTTATATTTATGAGTTTAGACACAAAAAAGTGGGAATAAGGTTTGCCCCTTTTTAAGAGATGGGACTTGGATTGGAAAGCTTGACCATCATGAACGTGAACAAGCCTCCCTATATAATATATATTATCCCATCAACCATTGTCACACGGTCATACTGTTGACAAATCACAACACAATGAATTGCTTTCCAATCACAAAAGTACCACCAAATCAGACGCGTGTGACCCCAAAAAACGAAGAAGTAAAAAACAGACAAATTTTGAAAATCTTCTTTGTTCAGTTTTCTGGTAGGCACAAGGCCCAAACATGGAATCTACACGGGCCTTGAGCAACCCAAACAAACAGTTTTCTTTCTGGGTACTCATGGCGGGACGAAGGCCCAAATATGGTCACTTTACTGCTCTCTGACCATTACTTGCAATTTTATGCCTTTCATTTTTGACACAATGACGAATTCTTGTGATGGGAGCTCCCTTTGGTTGGCGGTATTGCTGGTTATATGGGAACCGGACAAATCTTACAAGCTAACAATCATGGCCCTTGAACTGGTGGGCAAGGAGGGTCCTTCCCTAATTTTCTGAGATGGCAATTGTGCTGCTTATCGTCGGCCTCTTGAATTTGTGGTTGGCATATGCTTGAATGAATGAAAGGAGAAACAAACATAGGCAGGTGAAAGATGAAAATATTGCACAATCCATTTGCTTTCTTCTTCTTCCTTCTCTTATAAATGGGCAAGATACAGTAAGTGCACATATAACTGAAAGGACACCGGGTATCAAATCATCCCCATCTTCAAGACCACGAAAACATGCCACAACGTAATTAGTACAAGAAAACACTTCCATGGTTCCAACAGATCTTCATCTCAAAAGTCGCCAACTGCGTGATGCATTGAAAGCAATGCCATGGCAACTAAATCTTACATATACATGAGCTACCACACCATCAAGCCGAGCACTTTCCTGTATGCTGTGATTCCAACAGAAAACCAAGACAAACGTGAGAAGCAGAACACTACACAAGGATTCACCGACTTAATTACTCCTCATTTTTGCAGGGGAGAATATAGCTTCCCACCATGAAGGATTCGCTGATTCCAGAACAAGATAAAGAAGACAAAGGTGAGGCACATAAAGCTGAATTTGTGAGCTGGCTTAAAATCTCTTCAAAATACATGAAAATTGGTAGTCATGAAATTTGTGGACTGATTTTTAATGGTAGTCAACCTACGACAACTCCAAATACATGAAAATTGGTGCTAGAGAGATCTTCCGTTCATCATTTCATTCACTTATAAAACGATGTGATTCCACACAAGAGTAATTATTAGTTATCATCGTGGAACAGAAATTGAGGGTCCGCAGATAAGGGGAATAAAACATTTGAAATACAACCATTTCAAGACAATTACTGACAATGAGGTGCCCAATTTTCGTATAGAGGGTGCAGAGGGGCTGAGACAACAATCTACTGTAAAGGTAATGCCTGTGCATGCATTTCTCACCTAAAAATGAAAAAAAGACTGTTAACTACAGTGGACAACATACTAGGTACACTGGACAGAAATCTAGAAATAGCGGTCCCAGGCAGATGATATGTGTTGGGGTTAATGGGAGTGGACATGCTCAGCTACCAGAGAAAGCCTTCAGAAAAGAACCCTAAAAGGAACTAGAATCTGGACTGGAGTAAGAAGAGATATGTTGAAAGTACGGAAATGCTAAATTTGTATATGGAAATACTGCAAGATTCAATATGTAAAAAAAGGAACACAACATTATGTGGAAGAAACAACGATCAAACAATTTTAAGAGACAATGCAAAACATGAGAGCGATGGTCACCCGTGTAATGTTGAGCTTTGTACTAAGACTTTACACAACATTAGTAATGTCAGATAATTCACTAATATAGGTTCATTGCTTCACTCAATACATGAAATAAACTAAACAAGAAGGAAAAAGAAGATTACCCTGACATCACCACAAAACACCATCGGCAAGAATCAAGCAATTACTCCAACGCAGCAGACCTTGCAGCTTTGTACCTTAACTTCCTATTGAGATTTTCCTGCCAAAATTTGCCAAAAGAATGAATTCACAACTTCCAAATATGGAATGCAGAGCACACACTTGGCATTGAAAATGAAAAAAAAGAAAAAAAGAATAATGGCATACAAGCTCAATATTGCAATTGATAAATTCATGACAATTTGACTGCATTGACAAAATCCCATCCAAATTTGCAAGCAATTTCCCGAAAATTTACTAAATTCAGTAAAGGCTCACCTGCTCAAGAACCTTAGCGGAGCTCTTCTCAACGAGCGTGGTCAAGCTTTCAATCTTCACAAGCATTTTCTCATACAAATCCTCCACGCCAGTCGTGTAATTCGCAGCCTCCGAACCCATTAGCCTACTGAGGCTCCCAACCTCTAACCCCTCACTGCACATATCCAACTCGCTCTGGTCCTTGTTAACTTGCCTCAACTGATCCAAACTCTCCTCTCCTCTGTCCACGATCATCGGGGAAACCCTCAGCTCGAATGGCAAATTGGGAAAAGGCGAGTTGGGGCTGAAGTTCTCGTACTGCGCTCGAAACGCCGGCCCAATGTTGACGATTTGAATTGATTTGGGCTCGAAGGAGTGTTTGGATGCACGGAAGTGGTAGGCCCGGTACTCGTGGGTGTGGATGGTCTGATCGGTGATCGGAGAAGCGAAGAGGAGAAAGAGGGAAGGAACGAGATTAGGGTTGGAGGGGCCTTCTGAAGGGTTTTGGATTGGGAACGTGAGATTGGGGTTGGAGGAGAGAGCGTTGGAGACTGAGAATTCTCTGAGAGAGGGACGGAGATGGGTTTTGCGGCGACCGGAGAACCAGCCGAGGAGGTGGGCGGAGGGGGATTGGGCCTGGGCCTGGACCAGGCGGCGAAGGAGGACCGGGTCGACCCGGCCGGAGGAGTTGTAAAAGGAGTGGGTGGAGCCGGAGCAGAAGAAGCCGGTAATGGTGGCGATGAGAGTGGCGGAGGAGGTGGAATTGGGAGAGTCGTCGGTGAGGGTGGGGGCGATGTGGCTGACGTGGCCGAAGATCAGACCGTCGACGGAGCCTTGGGAGGTTGAGAAGCGTTGGATCATGGAGGCTAGGGCTGGCCCTGATATTGCTACTTTGTCGATGGAAGGGTCTTCCATTGCATTAGAAATTTGAGCTCTGAGGAGAGAGAGCGAGAGAGAAAGAGCTCTTACAGAATACAGAGAGTCTCAGGCTAGTCACCAGATTGCGCGAACAAGCAGAAGTGAATTAAATGGCAGTTGGGTTGGAATGTAATTTTACCATATTGCGCGAAAAATATGGGCAATATCAAATTTGTATTTATTTATTTATTTTTTTAAATGGCATTTTATTTTAGGTATAACATGAAAATATTTGATTAGAAGAGAGTGATGGGAAAGTAAGTGACTAATTTGGTTGTCAACACTTTTAAGTGCTGCAATTTCATAACTCAATAGACTTCTGTTTGTTTAAAAGAAACACAACTTGGATAAAAAGAATACATTTTATAATTTATTATCATCCTCAACCAAAAGAATCAAACAATAACCTATATTTACATATACTATTTTATAAAGAATTTTCAATGCCTACTTCTTCCTAAACCTGTGAACAAAGTAATTTTATAACAAAACTCTCCTTTATAATAATAAATAATAAAACCCTGACTCTCATTTGTTGTTGTTGTTGTTGATGGTGACAAACCCTTTTTACTCAGTTGTTGATGGTGGTGGTACTACTTCTGTGCCTTCTTCAGCAGAGCCAACATTTGCCTCAGGCTGCTGAATCTCCTCTAGCTGATGCAGAACTTCCTGAGCTTCTGGTCGCGCCGCTGGAGATGGATCCACGCAGTGCAGAGACAGTTTCAATGTGTTAAGCAGCACATCACCTATGGTTGGCACATCCCTCATGAGCTCCAAATCGAAAACTTCGTTTGTCCACTCCTCTTTCACAATGGATGCCACCCACTGGGGCAAATCCATGCCGTTCATTGGTTCCCCGGGAGACTTCCCTGTCAGGAGCTCCAATATGATCACCCCAAGGCTGTACACATCAGTCTTTGTTGTGCTCTTCTTGGCCTTTGAGAGCTCTGGTGCATTGTAGCCAAGGGTTCCTGCAGTGGCAATCACATTGGTGTTTGCAGCCGCCGTCATGAGCCGGGAAAGGCCAAAGTCTGCAATGTGAGCGTTGGTCTGCTCATCTAGCAGTATGTTGCTGGATGTGAGATTCCCATGTATGATGTTCTCCTGGTTGTGCAGGTGGCAGAGTCCACGCGTCACACCGATCGCTATGTTCATCCTTGTTGGCCAATCAATGATGGTTTCGGGCCCTCGAGCTGCATAAGATGCTACATTAGCATGTTGGCCAGCATTTACAGTATATAGTTGTATCAAACAATCAGGAAAACCATGAGCTATAGTTGAATCAACTTACCATGAAGGAAGGATGCAAGACTGCCATTAGGCATGTAATCAAAGACCAGAAGCTTCTCTCCCTTAGGTCCCAAGTAATAGGCCCTCAGAGCTAGGAGATTTGGGTGCCGGATCTTCCCTAGTGCCGCAGCTTCAGTTTCAAACTCCTTTTGACCCTTTGTAGTCTTTTCCCTCAACCTCTTCACTGCAACTTGATTACCTTCCTCTAATGTTGCCTTATATGCAGTCCCATATGTACTCTTTCCCATTATCTCAGCAGTGGCACACAATAGGTCATCAGCTGTAAAAACAAATGGCCCATCAAAGTGAACAAGCTTTCCACCAGCTTCACCGCCATATTCCACTCCGGTGGTAGCAGGAGCCGCCTTGTCAGTGCTCCCAGCAGCAGCCTGCTTGACAGTTTGATCATTCTTTCCTTTTGAAGCAGACCTTTTCCTGACCAAGCAAACAAGCAAAATGCAGCAGAGTAGAAGCAGAACCGCTAGGAGGGCACCTGCTGCTATGAGAATTATATCTTTCGTACTTAGTTTGTGGTGATGCTTTTTCTTCAAAGGCCGTGTTGGTGGAGATGGAAGAATCTGAGGTGGGGGAGAAGAGCAAGGAGTTGAAATGTTATAGCCACATAGCTGAAGATTCCCCACAAAAGAGCTGGAATTGAACTTTTTGGAGAGGAGGGATGGGACTGGGCCAGAGAGATTGTTGTGAGAAACATTGAAGGAAGTGAGATTGGCTAGGCTGCCAAGTGAAGCAGGAATTTCTCCACTGAATTTATTTTCAGATAAATCAACTTGGTAAATTCCAGAAATATTCCCAATAGATGCTGGAATATGGCCACTGAAATTATTCTTCCTCAGGTTGAGTACTGAGAGGTTCTGCAATCTGTCAAGGCCTTCTGGAATTTCTCCACTGAATTTATTTTCAGATAAATCAACTTGGTAAATTCCAGAAATATTCCCAATAGATGCTGGAATATGGCCACTGAAATTATTCTTCCTCAGGTTGAGTACTGAGAGGTTCTGCAATCTGTCAAGGCCTTCTGGGATGTGGTTATCGAGGCGATTGCCCTCTAGATTCAATGAAACAAGGGAGGAGAGGTTGGAAAAGCTAGAAGGAAAGCTTCCATTGATAGCATTGTTGGATAAGTCTAGCTTTTGAAGCCTAGTGAGCCCCCCTAGTTCATTGGGTATGGTCCCAGTAATCTGGTTATTGTTTACAGAAATCTCTTCAAGAAAACCCAACTTGCTCAGAGAACTTGGAATAGTTCCAGAGATCAGATTATGATCAAGGGTCAGGATCGCAAGTTGGTAGCTTCTATTTCCTGTTCCAGTACCCCAAGTACTTGGAACAGAACCAGAGAGGTTGTTGTGTTGGAGAGCAAGGATGGTGAGGGAAGGTGACTTGGTGAGACTAGGTGGGATAGTACCAGAAAGTGAATTGAAGCTCAAATTGAGCCTGAACAACTTGGTAGAGTTTGCAAGACTAGAAGGAATTGTACCAGTAAGTGAATTGTTGCTTAAATCAAGAGTTTGAAGAAGAGGGCAGTTACCAATTGAAGGAGGTATAGAACCCGAAAGCCGGTTATGGAAGAGGTAAACCCCTCTGAGATTGCGAAGGAAGCCAAGAGACCAAGGGACAGGGCCAGCCAAAACGTTGTCGTGGAGGCTGAGCTTTCGAAGTGCTTGCAGCTGCCCAATCTTCTCAGAGATTCTGCCCCCGAGTCTCTTCCATGGAAGCTGGATTGCAATGACCTGTCCCTTGACGCACTTGATTCCTGCCCACCCACCTGAGCAGGCTCCATAGCCGCTGTCATTCCAGCTGCGCAAAACGCCATTGAAATCGATGAGTTCACGCTTAAATGCTCGAAGCGCTTGGTAATCGGATTTGGTGACAACCACACCATCTCCTTGCTGACCCAAAACAGGTTGGTATGTCAGAGCCAGAAGCTGAACAAAGAGCAAGGCATACATGAACAAAAACAAATTATTAAAGCCATGCATAATCTGAAATGGACAGAACTTATTTTCCATGAACATCAAAGAAATGCGATGTTCAAGAAGATGTTCAAGAAAATAAGTGAATGCAAATGATGAAGGAACTGAAAGCTTTTCTAGTTCAGCTCAAGGTCTTTACAGTTGTAGTAGAGAGAGAGAGAGAGAGAGAATCTTTAGAGGTGATGAACAACGAAATGAAAGCTAAATAAGAGGGGAGAAACAATTGAGGCGGTTGGTGCATGTGAGAATCTGAGTGGGTTGAGACGGGAGAAATTATTGTATTGGAAAAGAGACGAGCTCGGAGACACAGTCAGGGTGGGATGGGGTCAATGTCCTGAGTTGAAGACTACTTCGTCATGGTTGTTTATCTGTAACGGCTAGTTTTTTTCTCTCTCGTGCATTTCCACCATATAACGGCTGGGTTGAAAAACCGGGTTCTCTTCAGATTCTCCAACGGCTATATTTCATAGGCCACATACCCGGCAATTTTGGCATCCAGTGAATTATCAATTTGGTACTACCATACCAGGGGTACAGCCAAAATGACTGTAATGACCTCAGTGGATCTGGATGTTGAGAAACTCCTTTTGCAGACGTCCTAGACCGATTCAAGCTCAATGATGTCCATTAAAGTTTGTCTGGCAGTCATTTGTTTCAACTATGAATTTTCCCTTTTGGATGATGGCATATGCATTTTAACAGCATCGTACTTTTGCTTTCTGGGAGGGTTTAAAAATTACAGTAATTGACATGATAGGACTTCGTAATGATTAACTTCAGACTTCTGGTAATCATCATACGCAAATCGACATAATCATCGTTATAATAGAGCTTTGTTTTGTTCTGCCTTGAGCAAATTAAACAACAGGGATTCAGATTTCGTGCAAAACGTGCAAGATTTATCTAGTAATCAAATTTGTAAATTTTTCAAACATTGTTCTTTAACCTGATATTCGATCACTGTGATCAGTTGGCACGATGGATATATATGCTAATCATCGAGTGCTATCACCAAAACCAATTAAAAAGAGCATTGGCAGGTTTAAAGTATATAAACTGACCAAAGAGAAAAACAAGGCTACTTCCATCATGATGACAAAGGCACTTTCTCCCTCTTTTAAGAACAACAAGGGCACAAGGGAGGAGGACGACAACCCAGATTCAATATTTGCACAAACAGATAACTTAACAGTTCATCAGCCTCCTTCATCAGGGCCCTGATGTGTGAACTGAACTAAAACTTTTCCACTATGCCAACGGTAATGCATCACTTTTATCAAAATAAATACTGCGACTAACAAAGTACAGAGCAATCACGGGAAATCTGCAGGTCTCATAAGCACTCTTGAATATGGGGATTATTCAACATCTACTATATGGCTAACATGAATGGCACCGTATTAGAACTATCCCGAACCTTTAAGCTCAGCGTGATCCATTGAATTTTACGTTCTATGTGACTCATTTATCTAACGAGATTCTTTAAAGCATGTAAAAGTTCAACCAAAATGTTCTTATTGTCTAAAATTTTCACTTGTCATGAACTCGATAGAGGCAAATAAATTGGTGAAGCAACCGAGACAAGAATTCACCACAGGGTGGATGCCCCCATGATGACTAAATCTTAAACATCATCAAGACCAGGTATCAGCAATGGCATCACATATCAATAATGGCATGATCCCAGCTTGTAAAACGAAGTGAAACCTTGAATCAGGCATGTTAGACTATCCCACATTCCAGTGCTAGATTTCAAGTGACATTGAGTACATAGATCTATTGGCAATCTAAATCCTAACCAAAGCACATCTGAATTGCATCAGAAATATATAGATTACAGAAATTTGTCAACATTTCTTCAAGTATTTGATTTGAACAAAAGACATTGTAGAAGAAACTAGAATACATGCATTCATCCAAATGAAAGGCATACAGATCTGAAACTCATATTCATAGAGATAAATTATATAATGCAGATTTGCAGAGAGTAGAACAAAAAGAATCATTTATATCAATGATCTGTGGCAGTTACAATTTGTACTCGACAAAATCAAATCAAGAAATAGAGGGACAGAAGTTCGATTGATAGATCCACCGAAGAACCATGAAAAAACATGAATTTTCTATCTAAATTAGAACGAAGATACACAGATCCATACAAATTGCGCACAACAAAACCCACCCTAAATATGTTTGTAGGACAAAAACGTCAACTTTATTATTACTTTTTTCTTTTTGTTGTCTGAGAACAAACTATAATATGAATTTAACTACTTATACCATCATCATCTTGAGCGCGATCCAACGACAATGGGGAGGAGATAGATAAGATCAACCGCGAGCGGCGATGACGGCCGGGGCTGTGGCGGCAGCGACATTGGAGGCAGCGCCGTTGAGGAAGGAGAGGAAGCCAGTGGAGGCTGTAGGCTCTTGCTCGTCCAAGAAGAGGTCCTCGGGAACCCTAAAGGCGCCGTGAGCGAAGACGACGGCAGCACCGACGAGGAGAGCCGAGATGAGTAGGGATCCGACGGAGGTGAGGAAGACGACGAAGATGGAGAAGGCGATGAGGCCCCAGAGGGTCTGGGTGTCGGAGAAGGTGCGGCCGAAGATGACGAGGGGCTGATCGGAGGGCCGGAAGAGGTAGAGGAAGAGCCAGCCGGCGAGGAGGCCGAGGAGGACGAGGAGAGAGAAGGGGTGGGTGAAGAGGGAGACGGCGACGATGAGAGCGACGGTGGCGAGGTAGTTGACGCGGAAGTAGGAGTAGTTCTTGCGGACGCGGCCGGTGGCTTCGGAGAGCGACTCGGGCTTGGCGAAGGCAGAGCGATCTAAGAGCTCGGACCAGGGGCGGCGCTGGGAGAGGCCGTTGCGGAGATTTTCCGAGATGTGGGTGAGGAAGGCGCGGAAGGCTGGGGTGGCGATCGGGGCCTGGGATTGGACGGAGCCGGCGGTGGTTGTGGACGTGGTTGAGACTGGAAGGATCGGAGGTGGGGTTGGGTTCGACATTGCGGGTCAGTGGATCTGATCTGATATGGGATTTTGGATCTCGGATCTGATGTTGTGAATTTTGGTTTTGAGGGATTTTGGGGGGTTTTTTTGGTTATAAGGGAAGGAGGGAAGGGGGGTGTGGGCTAAGAAAAGGAAAGTCGATGGAAATAGGAGGGGAAGTAAATTAGGAGAGGGAAGTTTTACGGTTCTTCTTGCTTCGTCTTTACGCGTTCGCCGTCAAAAGCCGGGTGAAATGATATCACCCGGGAATTTTCAATTTCCACTCTCTCTTTCCCAGAGGATTTTGTATTTGTATTATATCGTCACAAAGTCTCAAATCCACCGCATAAAATCATCTCCAGTCTACATGGACGGCCTAAAATAAAACAAGCAAAACTTAGTGGATCCACTTCATACTATTTATTTGCCTTAATTTTATGACTTCTGTTTAAATTATCAATTTATGTCTAGTTTTAATTTGCCTAAAATGTGTTCAACCCAAATTTCAACTTCTTTTTTTTAAAATCTTTTTCTTTCAATGAAGTGCATAGTGAATCACGTAAAAATTTTGTCTTACACCATTAGATTTACAGGAAATCTAGTCGGAAGAGCTCTCCTGTTTGGAGACAGTCCAATAAAACAGCACATGCACTGAGTAAGTCCTAAGGCAGAGATCAATGGAGAGAGTTTCAGAAAGTCTAAAAGAATACGGACTAGATCAAGAAGCTATTGGTGATCATGGGGGCTCTCATGGATTGCAATCATTATGGGGGCAGGAAACTATGGCTACTCTGCACTGAAAGAGTGCACTTTCAAATATCTAGTTAGGAAGGCAAGCCAAATTTAAGATAAACAGACCCGAACAGATGCATACACCAAAGAAATTAACCTTAAACCGGGATTGCCAACTATGGGTACCATAACATCATTGATCATTACCCAGGGAACACGATTCCCAAATGCGAATGTAAGCATACAAAGCCTTCAAAAGTTCCATTAGGTTCTACTAAACAAAAGCACACATACAGAAAATGCCAATATCCTTTCCAGTATTATCAAAGTACTGTGGTACCAAATCATCACTAGATATAAAGCTGTCTCTGAATACAGAGAATAAAGTTGAGGAGAAATTTAAGATACTGCTCCGATGGAACACGCGCCTTAGAAGGTAGACCCGTTCCATCCAAAGTTGGAACCCTGCAGAATAATAAAACACCAGAATCATCTAAAGTGGCAACAAGTAGAATAAATTGCAAATCAACATGAATCATCTTGAGAAAGACTAACAGGAGCTATGCTTAAGACTTTAGACAGTAAAGACTTATTTACATGATCTAGTTCTGGTGTAAAGCATGCAAACACTGTGCATATTCTTGACTTTGATGGGCCTAAACAAACAGGAAGAATGCAATGAGAAGAAACGCATGCACGACATGACACTTTTCTATGGAAAACTTGAAAAGGTGAGATGGCTTGCCTTGGTGTCATAGAACTTGAGGAAAAATCGTGACTTGGGCACAGACAACTTAGTCTCAAGAATTGCGGCAATTGCAGCACTCAACTTCTTGTTCACATCAGGGTTAAGGCCACCAATGGAGACCAACTCACCATAGGCAGCTGGCTGCTCAGTCCCACCAAAAGCTATGGGTACTGATCCCTTCAGCACAATCATCACATACTGCATATCGACAATCACAATTTACATAAGAAGATCTCAAACACGACCAAACAAAAGAAGACAATAGTTAAAAAGGGAATTAAGCAAACAAGTAATGGAGCAATACATCACATACAAAAGCATCGAAACATCACTATAAACCTAAAACAGTAAAATTCCCATCCAATATCAGTGGAAAACTAAAACACCTTCTCAAACAATTCCGAAACAGAACTTAGGACACATCGGGTTAGTTGTTGGAAACTCGGATGCTATCGTTAAAAGGCATGCATATAACTCTATGATTGCCCTCTTCCACGAATACTCAAGAACCCCAAGGCCACCAGTTCGGTTAGAGAACCCTTTTTCTATGGTAAGCAAAGCGAACTACAGAGGAGGTACATTGCATTGCTTTCCATAAAATATTAAGTTACTAAAGCAAACCTCAATCTCTAACATCTACCACTCACTAATATTTCTCATTTGTTTGGTGTTCAAGTTATGCATCGTAGAATCAAAAAAAATTACTGAAAAGTCAACCTAATCAAAATTCCTAAACCAAAAGTCAAAATTAGCAAGACTTATAAACCTACTTTTGTTTAAGCTAAAATACCAAATATTGATCATCAAGCAAAAATAAACAAACTAAATTCGAAAAGGAACATGCATCTACCTAAAATTTAGAGTTCAACACAAAAATTCTAAAATCTGAGTAAATAATGCGCGCGCGCGAGAGAGAGAGAGAGAGAGAACCGTACGGCCTCGGGCTTGTTGATAATCTTGGCGACGGTGGAGGTGGCTTCGGAGAGGATAGAGGAGGTGTCTACTCCTTCCAGGCTGACGTTAGCTGAGATGTTGAGGCACGGCATCGTTTTCGTCTCTGAAACTCTCTCACACTTGACTGCTTCTGCAAATGCTCTGGTAATAAAAAAAACCCTCACCCTCTCTCTCGTCTTGTCCCCTTCTTTTTTATGGGAGAGATATAATCTCAGTATAATACACACATTTTAACTTCCCAAAATGCCCCTTCGGCCATCAGCACACTTGAAAGATGGGTTTGGCCCATTGTTCTCATTCTTTGAGCCCGTATTTGATTCGATCAGAATTAGTGATTTGGATCCGTTCTACCTCTACCGACCTACTCATATTTTGTTTCAGACAACTTCCTGTTTGAACTTGGGCCTAATTTTGGGCCGAGGTCAATTTTGACAATTTATATACTCTCCCACAAAATAGAGAGAGTTCAACCTCCGAAAACCTAAAGGTTCTTCCTCAAGGTTGGTTTTACGGAGGATGAATTGGGGTCTAAGATCAGGTTGAAAGGCCTAGTTCGATGAAATGTAAAAATGACACACAAAACAATATAAGATGTTATTGTTCAAAGTGTCATATGTTCCTAACATATTTGAGTACTATTTATCTTTTGACAATAGCCATATCATATACAATTTGACATGTTATTTATTAATCGGCACATAATGTTAAAGAAATGTATATACAATAATAGGAGAACAATATCTCTGTACATAAAAAACGTACTTCTTTCTAAAAGCCACACCACTTCTGTGGTCTAACGTAATATTTTTTATTGACAATCTTTTAACATAACGTTTCAAACCGTGTGACAACATAGCTCTATAAATGTTGCTGCTACAACCAAAAGAATGGTCACCTATATCCCTTCTGAATGCAAAATATAGAAAAATAACATGGAACAGAGAGAGACAAAGTGGCTGGATTTCCTTGACTGATAAAGTTTTCTTCATCAAAAGGGGCAGAAAATAAACTACTTTTTGGGCTGATATTTTGTCTACCAAAAGGACAATACAACAACAATATTACTAGCGATAATGGTGTGGCATCGTGTATGCTTTTTATTTATTTTCTTATTTTTGGCCTGAGTTACGTGTTCTGTTTAAGATCAATTTGAGTCGGTCAATTTTCCCACAATGATATTGATAGATTAGAACAAAAGAAACAGAGCCATGGTACCAAATTCTACGAATCATATCAGAGAAAAACCATTGGTCACTTTCATCTGGTGGGTTTTGTCCTGCTACAAATAGAAACAATGCATCTTTAGCCTCCTTTATTTCTTTGGCCAACAAATGCGGAAGAAAATGAACCTAAACCTCAACCTTTCTTTTATCTTTTTTGAATTCCATATCAGAGCTTAGACCCTGTTGCAGTACTTATATCAACAACTTTAAGAAAAAATCTGGTCTTTGGGATTGAAAGCTTGGCCTCCATGATTGTGCCAAGGGTGGCAATCAGCTGCCTCTTCACTGGTTTGTTAATTCCACCCATTGCTACTAGCTCACCATATGCTGCTGGCTCACTGGTGCTCCTGCCAAATGATATGGGCACCGATCCCTTAAGCAACACCATCACATACTGCACCAAAAGCAAAGTGTGTGTTCAAGGATTAAACATACAATTAAATGGGATAATTAAAGAAAATCTTGATTTGGAGTAATTCTGAAAGGGTAAAAAGCGTTTTCTGATAAATATTGTTCAGCAAAAAAATTTATAAGTGCTTCTGGAATCACACTTCCAATTTTTTGACATTCTTCTAAGAAAAGTGCTTCTATACAAATATTTTATAAACAAAAATATTTCCAAACAAAACCTTAGTGTGTCAAGAGTCGAACTATGCTGAAATGGGTTGATGCAGACACCAACCAACCGCAAGGCACTCATATTATTGAGTGGGAAAATGCTCAAAAGCCGGAAACAAAGTGGTGGGGCTCCAACCAGTGGACAGACAGCTACTCCAATACTTAAATATCATCAAGTGGTTCCTATTTATCTTGTTTATCCGATGAAGCGGTCCCAAAGAAGAGCTCAGCAGCTGACTTAGGATTTTTAAACTCAGACCAAAATTATATACAATGGTCATGGCTTTTCGAGGATTGGAGAAAAGCCGCTCTGGGGCTGCCCTCCCTAGTCAAATGGGACTAGTCTCACAGCTCAGTGCATGTTAGGTTAAACTGGGCTAATGTCACAGCTTGCCAAACATTCTTCTTCTCCCTAACCACTAACTCCAAAACTTTAAGTTGTTACGAAACGCCAAAAACCAAAGAATTGTAGATGTAATGGGATTAGAGGTGTGAACTCAAAATCTCCTACGAACTAAATACTAGTATAATTTCAACAAATTATTAGAGAATGAGTCAACAATGTATATCAAAACACATCACGTATCATATCAGTAAAACCCCATTAGGCACTAGCCCTGGACAAAAACCAGCATAAACAAACTACAATACGCAGCCCTGTTGTGGTTTGACTACCAGACCAACTCCCCTTGCTCCTCCTTGAGATTTGCACAGATTGCCCCCATCTGCGCTGACTTTGTAACATGGGGGCTTGGGGGGCGTCCCAAGAAATTCCAATCTTACATGGTTGAGAGACCTCGATGCTCATTGATTTACAGAAGCCAATTCTTTTCAACCTGCTACTCTATTCATACAGAATCTGGGCAGACACTAACTAAAAGCAATTGATATGATTTTAGGTACTAAAAAGAGAAAAAGGTAACCCAAAATCAAATCTCCCTTGTGAATTACAAAAAAAGCAAAACACAAAAGCAGAACAAGTGATTTCCCAGTATCTAATTGCTACAGAAGAACAGCCTCTAACCTTTGCTCGGATCAACTAGAAGTTAGCTAGTGGGTCTAGACTCTATAATTTACTTATAAATTATTGGTTTTGGCCAGTTGACATTACCTCATTTGGGTTTTTTTTGGAATAACGGATTACAAAATACCAAGTACCATGCATGAAATTGAATTAAGAAACTCAACTTTGTGTGTGTGTGTTTCTGAGTGATTGGCATGAGTGACGAAGAGAAAGAAACTTACGTCTTCAGGCTTTCCAGTGATGGAAGAGATGGCTTTGGTGGCTTCAGAAAAGATGGAATCAGTGTCAAATCCATCTAGGTTCACGTTGGTGGAGATGTAAAGGCAAGGCATCTTCTGATCTTCCTTCTTTTGAGTTTTTGAGTTTGAACTTGGAACCCCTATGTTCAAAAACTTGTTTGTGGGTGGGAGGAAATGTGAGAGAGACAGAGAGACCAAACACCTTTTCTCCATCCTCAATCTTCCTCTAATATATATACACTTACAAACTTGGATACTTCAAACAAATACCAAGTATACCGAATTAAACGTTTTCAATGTTTTGCCCTCAAATTAGATACTTTTCCTTCTTGCAAATATATGATTAGACTGATTATAAATAGATGAGATGTATATTACACTTATAAAGACTGAGGAATCAAAGTAATATCTTCTTAATCTTATTTAGTGCTAATTAATTACGCTTTTCTTTTATGAACAAAAGTTTAGAGGGAAGGGAGAAGTACACATTTTTTAGAAATCCAAGCAACCTTCTCTCTAACCTTTTCCTTTGGATCTTCTCTATTTTTTGCTTGACATGTGTCATTCTCCTTACACTTAAAACAATGTCATTAATATATTGTATAAGCTAACTTATGCTTTCCAAGTTTACCCTTATTAAATGTATTCAATTTATCCATAAAAATTTGACAACTTTCCTACCATCTTATTAAATTTTGTTTAACGTCAATTACTTTTTTTTTAAGAAAATATTTGCTTTTAAAAAAAAAGGAAATGTCCCTTTTTTTAATAATAAAAGTCTAAACTTGACGTTAAAAAAAGGGGACATTTCCTCTCTTTTTTAAAAGCAAACATTTTCTTAAATAAATAAAAATTGACGTTAAAAAAGAAATATGGTAAGAAAGTTGTGATTTTTTTTTTGATAAATTAAATACATTTAATAAGTGTAAACTTGGAAAGCAAAAGTTAGCTTGTATAATATATTAATGACATTGTTTTAAGTGTAAGGAAAATGACACATGTCAAGCAAAAAAGGAAGAATGTCCAAAAGAGAAGATTAGAGAGAAGGTTGCTAGCATTCCCCCACATTTTTTGTCAACTAGTGAAATTGCTTTATAAATTTTGAGGAAAAAAAGTACTTTTGAAATGAAAAGAATAACATACAATGTACAATCTAAAAGCGAATATGCAACCAAGAGACTCATAGGTTTTTATCTATTCTATATCCATATATATAAAGTCAAATGCAGATAATAGTGAAACATTCAAAATACCATTAATTAAATGAGGATAAATGGTAAATTCACACTTTTTCATATTTAAAAAATTAAAATTAAAAGAAAAATCGGATAATGGATCATATTTTTATGGAACACAGCTACCCACGATCTTTTTTAATTCTAAAATAAATTTAATTATTTATAAATAAAAATAAAAAATAAATAAAAAACCTCTCTCAAGCACGTACGGAGAGGATAGTATATATAAAGCAAAAGGTAAAAAATGGTAAAAGATTCAAAATACCAAAAAATGTCATTGGTTAATGCAAATATTAAGAATTAAAATTATTAATTAAATGATGATAATATGGTAAATTCACATATTTTCATATTTTTTTAAAATTAAAATTAAAAGAAAAATTAGATAATGAATCCTATTTTTAATGGAACACAACTACCCATTATCTTTTTAAATTATAAAATAAATTTAAAATTTTTATAACAAAATCCCACGTAAGCGCGTAAGCGTGTGCAGAGACTAATTACAATGAAAGAAGTTAATGGTTAACTCATATCGCCACTCACTCTCGCGACTCGTAGACTTCATATTTTACCTCAATTTGCTTAGTCATTTTTTAATATTTAGTGTGGATTGAATAGCGGCCGGATTTGATTGTCTCTGCCAATCACAAGATGCAATATTCTTCTTCTTCTTTTCTTTAATCAGTTTTATAGTAGTTCTGCCTTCCCTGTTTTAATTTTCTCCCTTAAAAAACCCTTTAAGTCTCCATTAAACCAGAGATGGATTTGACAGCAGACGTTGACTTGTGAAATTGGACTGATTAAGGAGCATCATTATGAGAATTTTAATCCAAATTTCTCTCTTTGTTTTAGGGAACGTGGTCTTTAAGCACTAATTAGTAATGGAAATGACCCGACAAATTCATGCATTGAAGATTGAATGATTTAGAGGTTTCTAAATTCTGTTCAAGACACAAATATGAACAAGGTCAACAAATGCACGTTGTTAAGATATAATGAATTGAATTCAACTCAAATGGTGCTCAATCCATCTTCTTGTTTGTTTCATGTTTTTCATATGGGTAATTGACTGGTTATAAATATTTCCTTATAAAAGTGATAGTCTAAATTAACCTAAATTTAAATATGGATGTAACTCATTGTCCTAACTAATTAGAAGTTAAGTCACGTCCGCCACTATAAATAAGTTTTTTAAATTAGTTACTTTGCTGGACTAGTTAAACCTTTCTAATTAAAGGGTGGAAATGGAGGAAGATCGGCCTACCTCTTTGGGAATGGCTATTGCTTCTAAATATTATTATATTAGACATTGATGATTATATTAGGTTTAACGCCATGAGATACATGTAGTTTGATTTGATTTATGGATGCAAAACATGTGTTCTAAAGTCAAGCTATTCTTTCCCACGTGGAAAAACTTACAGCTGCGCAACCTTTCATTATAAAATAGGGTAGATAATCTTCTTTTCCACGACCACAGGTGCTGTTGATGTGAAGAAAACAAAAATATATGAAAAGCAGGAACAAGAAAATTTGAAAAATCGAGAAGAAGTTAAAATATATGCAGGCTTCTCTGTTTGGGAATTGTCTTTTTAATTTTTACGAAAGCCAAAATATTCTCACGTGCAAATTAATTCATTTTTTTAAACACATATTTTTAACTTAAAATATGTATATTTACATCATTACTTTCTGAAAATTTTAAATGTGTATATAATATATATTGTCAACCATGATTGATTGAAATTAATATATATCAGTCACCCTTTGAAAATTAAGAGAAATTATAGAATATTACGATAGTATAGTCACATAGTACATATTGTATATGTTAAAAGTCACTTTTAGTCCTTATAGTTTGACACTTCAACAATTTTTGATTATGTAGTTTCAATTCCGTCAATTTTGCTATTGTAGTTTCATATTTGTAGCAATTCAAGGACATGTTAGTATTTTGTCAAATTCTTTAACGATGCAAGGGTCAATTTCGTCAACCAAAAACCCTTCAGCGTAAAAGCTTGTTTGAAATTCTTCCAATTTTATATTAGGACTCGAAATTCAACCACTAATCCCAATTTTTTAAGGATCCTAAATCCAAATGACCAATTTCAAGCCATAATATGAAATTAAGAGAGTTTCAGACAAGTTTTTATGCTTAAGAATTTTGGGTTGACGAAATTGCCATTTACATCGTCAAAGAAATTGACGAGAATACTAACTTGTCATTGAATTGCTACAAATACCAAACTACATGGTCAAACTCAAAATTGACGGAATTGAAACTACATGATCAAAAATTGTTGAAGTGACAAACTACATGGACCAAAAGTGATTTTTAGCCTATTGTATATGTATTATAATATGTGTGTATGATATTGTTTATTTTTCAGCAAAAAGTCATTGTTGGTCCCTGTAGTTTGTCATTTTTACCACTTTGGTCCATGTCGTTTCAATTTGATCAATTTTATCCATGTAGTTTTCAATTTAAGCAATTCAAGGAGAATCCTAAATTTCTGTTAAAATAGAGTCACTGCCGTTAGTTGCTGAGGGGCATTTTGGTCCAAAAACAAAGGTAACGAAAAAACCATTTTAAATTAATAAAATAAAAAAATGAACCCAAACTCTTCTTCTCTCCACGACAGCCCCCTCCCACACCCCCACCAACCCATCCAATCTTTCTCCCAAACTCTCATCCAAAACGCTTCAATTTACCGGAGTTAATCAATTTCTTTTGTTTTTGTTTTAAATTTGGATTTCAAGTTAAAATCCAGTTGTAATTATCTTTTTAAGTTCGGTTCCAAATCTGGGGGGCAGATTGGGGATGGAGGTGCGTCGGGGGTGGGAAAGAGAGAGACGAGAGGTGCGTCAGGGTGGGATTGGGTGGGGGGGGGGTGTGGGACCCACCGAGTTCGACCCGTCGGATGTTCTGGTGGTCGACGACATTCACAGCTCTTAATTCACGATTTCGCCTCCGAGAAGTCGCACAGAGGTGAGGAGCGATCCAGCATTTGTTTTCTGGGGTTGAGCCGAGGAGATCTTGAGGTGGGGCGCAATTGTTTGGGAGGCAATGGCTGGAGGCTGACGGGACAGAGGATGGAGGGTGGGTTAAGAAAGGGAGAAAGGGAGAGTGGGGTCAAAATTGGATTGGGGAGAAATGGAGAAAGAGATCAAAGCTGTGCATTCCTTTTTCAAACCCCATTAGCCATTCTTCTGCAACTCCTCGAAATCAAACCCAAGCTGGATTTTTTTTCTTTTCTGGGTTTCATTAATTAATTAATTTAATTAATTCGTTTTTCTGGGTTTGATTAATTCGTTTTTCTGGATTTTCTGGTTTAATTCGTTTTTCTGGGTTATGTGGTTTTCTGGCTGAGAGAGAGTGAGAGAGAGAGAGAGAGAGAGGATGATTGGTTGAGAAAAGGCTTGGTTTTTATTATTGTTTATAATTATGTTTTAAAAATATTAGTTTTTTCAAAGAATATTAATGTTTTATTATTTTAAGGATTTTTATTAGGGAGTTTCACTAAAACACTCAAAATGGGGGCTGAAATTATAAAAAATCCAACACCCAAAACACTTTATAAACACACCCAAAACCCATCATTACACACACTCAAAACCCATTTATAAACACACCCAAAAAATATACAATTGTTGATTTTGGGTGTGTTTCTATGTTTAAATAGTGCTTGAATTTTTTATAAATACATGTCTAGGATTTGGTTTATTTATAAATTTGTATTTTTATTATTATTAAAATTTCATTTTGTATTGTTTACTTTTAAAGGAATTAATTTTTAATAATTTGACGAAATTGCCCTTCTCCAATTAACGGAAGTTAAATAAATTTGACAG